GATAGAAGGGCGTTTTTCCATATACGTATCTAGATTCTTTTTCAAAATTAGACGAAACCAAACTGCCATCGCACGAGGACTTTTATGACTCCATGCGAAAGAGCAACATAACCAGGGAGGATTACAAGCGTGCCTGGACTGTGTGGAATTTGTTCAAATGTAAAACTTTAGGCGAATATTCAGATATTTATTTAAAATCCGACGTTTTACTTTTAGCCGATATTTTTGAAAACTTTAGAGAGGTGTGTCTGAAAACGTACGGTCTGGACCCGAGTCAGTTTTATACGACACCGGGTCTATCATGGACGAGCGCCCTTAAGGCGATAAAGGTCGAACTGGACCTGTTAACATGATACACTTCTTGAAGCACGGTATCCGCGGAGGAGTCAGTCAGTGTAGTGTGAGAAAGGCCGCGGCTAATAATAAATTTTTACCTAATTACGACCCTTCCAAACCTACCTCTTACGTCATGTACTTGGACACTACCAATTTATACGGGGCGGCCATGTCACAATACCTCCCAACGGGAAACTTCGAGTGGTTGGAGGAGGGCAAAATTCAAAATTTAGATATTACGCGTATCCCCAACGATTCACCTAGGGGCTATATTTTCGAAGTAGATTTGGACTATCCGGAAGTGCTGCATGACGCACACAACGAACTGCCTTTTTGCCCGGAATCCATCGTTTCGCCAATCGCGAAAACCAAAATGAGAAAACTTATTCCAAATTTAAACAATAAACGTAATTATGTATTGCATTATAGGAATCTGCAACAGGCTTTAAGCAACGGTTTAAAGCTTGTTCGCATCCATCGCGTTTTTGTTTTCGATCAATCTCCCTGGCTAAAACAATACATAGACGGCGATGCGTAATACAGCTAAAAATAAGTTTGAAAAAGATGATGTACATGATATGTACGTCGAACTGAAGAATAAGGTGGCATTGTCTTACGCGGATGACAAACGACATCTTATACCCGGCTCAGAGTACACCATCGAAATTTAGTTGGTTCAAAGGACAGCGGGAAAATCACTGACTGATCGACCACATACCAAGCAGATATTTCTTTTGGCAAACTAATATGTTACGATTCCTTTAGATGATTGTTATTTATATTTGTGTTTAATTTATGTATCTATTTATGTCCATATATGCTATTTATATATGCATATCGTTCGAATATATATATTAATATGTGTCTATCCTGATGGGGTTTTGTATATGATTAATAAAACAATTTGTTCGATATTAGTGTCATTAAACGTCTTTTTCCCTGTTGCATTTTATTTAATCCGCAAAAAAAAATGTTGTCAATAAATTATTATATTTTAAGCGACATCGACGACCTTTTATTAGTTGAATTCTCTTATCGTCGCCGCCGCCGCGAAATCGTCGTCGGCTAGGCTCGGCTAGGCTAGACTAATGTAGTGCGCGAAACGGGTTCGAGGTTCGAATCCCCCGACCGCGCGCGACACACCGGTCGCTTTTTTCACCTCGCGCAAAAATACGTCAAAACAAAAAGGCACTAACGCAAAAACTACCCCTAGCGGGGCGAAATTGCCAAAAAGGCACTAACGCGAAAACTACCCCCTACCCCCCATTAAGGGTGACATCTGGCGATCGAAACCTGAGCTCTTAATGGGCGGCGACATCTCTCGTAGAATGGTCAAACTATTTTTTTTTTTCGGTTGCTTGGGAATCTGTAAATTTGCAATCACAAAATCTCCCCCGGGGGACGGGGGATGGTGAAGTCACGAATATAAACTACTTACTTATTATGTTTTTTAATATTGCACGGAATATCGCGAACACCCTGTACAATACTTAAAAACCATAAATACGAAAGTTTAAGCTGTCTATATGGGCTATATCGTCATGTATAAGAAACTGACATCTAAAACCCAGATTTGAAGTTATTGCCAATTTTCAATAATTTTTTCAATTTTAATCATTTTTCAGTTTTTTTGAATTTGTCAATTTGAAAAATTGTCAAGAATAAAAGTTTATTGAGTCGTTTCCTCTGCGCCTTCTGGTTCAAGAATGTTTTTGAAAAATGGTCTTTTTGTAGACCCTTGCAGACGCGATTTTTAATAGGTTTCGTCACGGGGCAAAGCTGCATAGATGTGCCAAATATGAAATCGATTGCTTCAAATTTCGGACACTTATCATGTTTCATACCAAAGTCGAAAATCGCGAAAAAAAGTGCGGCGTCGGATCAGGGCCATTTCTTATAAGTTATGTGCCTCGTGGAGGGTTAAACAGGAGGCAAATTTCAATTTTGTAGCTCCAACGGTTCGAAAGTTATTCAGGAAAAACCAAAAGACGAGAACCGAGAACGGAGAACGGACGGACAAAAAAAATTTTTTTCGACGTTGATAATTTCTGTGCCAACGGCGATCCCGTAGGACTTACCGTTATCGAGATAGAAAATTTTTATGCGAGTGCAGATACAAAATTCGATTTCATCGATTTTAGAAAGTAACAAGTTATATATAGGACTAACTATTCCAGAGGGAACGTACGATTTAACAGATATCGAGAAATACACCAAAAACCAAGTGAAAAAGATATTTAAGGAAAAGATCGAGAAGACTACAGAACAGTCGGATGAAGTAGTAAATATTAACAAAGTACGCAAGAGTTCGTTTTAATACGAGCAAGCAACGATTTAGACGCGGTGATATTTCTAGACGACAATGAACCAAAAACCACAACTCCCGAAAGCCCTAGTTTCGCTTAAAAAGATACAATGGAAAATCCCAAAAATAATGACAAATATTGCCGAAGAACTTGCTCTAACGAAAATCATTTAGTCTAATAAAGAGATAACAATCGATTTCAGATCTTCGGAAATTATTGAATATTCATCTCTGCCCGAAACCACAACTCACACGTGGCCCGTAAAAACAACAAATAAACTAGACACTCCGCGTCATATAATTACCGCCTTGCACGAAAATAGGAAAGGTCAAGTAGAAAAGGATATGAGTCAATTTGATGACGTCGATTTAACTAATAAAAAAATATTTTTAAATTCGGAACTATATCCGTACCACGATTTAAATCTAATTTAAAAAAAAAACAAGTATTCTACTCTGTATGATATGTTTGCCAATTTTAGGCATTCTTATTACGGAACGTTCAACGAACCAATTTTCACACCGCAGCATTTCAGAGAAAAATGTCCCATTACACACATCGATTGTTCTCATCAAAGAGAGTCTTTACAAACTGGCGGTAATATCAAAAAGGATACATCGGTTTATTGTCTCATTTTACATGACAAAGTATTTAGTTACAATCCGCTCACTAAAATAGTAAACAAATCTAAAGGATTTTAAAACCAGATTCGCAGATGCTCAAAAAATTTGTCATAAATATCGGGTGACACGGTACATTTTTGACAGTTGTCATCATGCGGATCGTGGCGCTAGATATGCAAGGCTTTAATCTGAATGATGGTGAAGGTCTCGTCGCTAAAGAAATTGCAATTTACGACGGAAATCAAATGGTCCACTATATTATGAATTCGCCGAGAGATTTTTTAACGTTGACTCATGCTGATAAGCGAAGCGTACCTTGGTTCGAGCGTTTTCACCACGGATTAAAATATAGTACAGGTCTTATAGAATATAACCTTATCGACCAATTGATTAGGTGGTTGGTTGAAACAGCGGACATTATATACCTAAGATGGCAAGCGATTTTTTAACTTCGAAGATCTAACAACTACAGGTACCTCGACCTTGGATTGTTAATATTGAAAAATTCGACGACAGTTCGCTGATACGGCTCGAATTTGAATTGGATCGATCTGAGTAGTAGATTACGTATGCGTGCCTTACGAAACTCTGTATTATTATTCAATTGGTTATAGGCTAAAATTATTATATGAAAATAATAATAACATGTGCTTTCAAAATTTGCTATTTTATTTCTAGCGGCAACCTATAAAACGATTGTGATAATTGCTATCGCAAAACGTTATGAACAGCATCTGGCTGTATTATTTACTTAGATTATGCGCGATCTCGGTGACCTAATCATCTCGCTCCGCGATAGAAACTTAACGCCGCCGGCCGGGCACGCCTCCCGCGACTTAAAGTACAGAGGGCAAAAAAATTGCCAAAAAAGTTCAAACACAAAAACTACCCCCTTCCCCCATTAAGGGTGACATCTGGCGATCAAAACCTAAGGTATTAATGCGCGACATCTCTCGTACATTAATCAAAATAAATGAAAGGATTGGTTGAGAATCTGTAGTAGTGGCCCTACTACATTTTAATTCTAAACAACGATATCCAAACCCTCAACTCTTTTTTGCCTAAATATTTGAAGAAAATGCTGCAGTAAAAATGCCACATCCGAACGTATTGACCATGTGTTAGCCTGGTTGTGGAATGCCTTAAGAGTATTGGTTAGATACTAGCCACTAGAGATATAGAGGCCCCGTCTACGTTGTTAATACCATGAAACAAAATTTAAACCAAACCTTGCATTTATCAACAACTTGGCCGTTGACAGATCGCCAAAAAGTTTGGCTGCGGCATTTTTCCTTAAGTATTTTCCCAAAATATGTCTGGATCTTATTACTGTTCTGCGAAACAAATTAAGTGTGAAGATATAGCTGTTTAGGAAGAAAATGACGCAAAGTGCAGGTTAGAGGCATGCGCGGAAGATCATTCCCATCTCTACGAAAATATTGTTGGCAGAAGCGCATCAATTTTTACCGTAGTGGCCCTGTTGACAATAAAGAAACTTGTGCAAAGTTACAGGGTGAATTGTAGAAGCATGGGCGGAAAAATCATAAAATTCTCTACGAAATGAATATTTAATATAAATGTCTGTAAGTTATAATTTAACCAATCTTTATAAATTTTTGTACACTTTTCATCTCGCAGCGTTATTCAAAGATACCTAGTCAAAGGAAATATTTTCAACAAGGCTCTTCTTAAGTACATAACTGAATTTTAGTATATATGTTTGCTTTTTATATAGTTAAAATAGAGAAGCCCAAAACGGAGGTGGCAATCGCGACGGAGAAGTTAACGAAAAAGAAAAAAGGTGGCAAGGCTCTCATCAAAATAGGCAAAAAGGCACGGAAGTCGCCTCGGACCTCTCCCGATATTGCGGACGTCGAGGGCGACTTAGGGGAACGATCGTCGCCTGAAGCGGAAACGGAACGCAAGAAGCCGGACGAGGAGACGACGACGCGGACGGAAAGGACGTCATCGCCAGCCACGGACGCGGAAGCGTCCACGATTCCATCGGCGGAAGTTACCGATGCAGACGTGGAATTGTCGGAAGCGGAAGAAGGCAAAGGTTTAGATATTAAGAAATTGATAGTTTCGTGCAGGGTTTACGAAAAATTAATTTCAGAAGAGAGAGACTTTTCTCCGCAAACTAGACGATTAAACAGGGCTCTAAGGTTACCGAAATTGCAGTTATTACAATTACTTGTTTCACAATTTAATATAAATGTGTGTTTGTTTCTAAGAATATGAATACTAAGTTCAATAACATGAATACCGGCCAAAGTCAACAATTGCCTACTTATAAAGTGAGGTAAATACGACTCATTGTGTCTCCGGTGGAGCATGCCCCTGAAGGCTCTCTACTGGCTTTTGAAGACACCTTCTGCTGCGAAGGAAGTCTGCGTAATAAATATTAATAATTTGCTTAGTTGTTAATACTTGTATTAAATTTCGGAACTTTGTGTCATCCTCCCTCTTCAGCAACTTTTATATTGAGAGAAAATTTGTTTATTTGTTTGGGGCTATGAATTTGGAAATAATTTGTTTTAGTTTGTCAAGTACAAAGAATAAGAAGTTTGGTAGAACCACTTTTGCACTTCTAATTGTTTATCACCTCTTAGAGAGCAGATATAATCGCCTTTTCTGTGAACTTTACAGCCTAACAATCACAAGTCATTCAACTAGACAATAAAGAAAAACGGTCGCATGACTGAACCCTGAGGCACTCTTATCGTCACATTAAGCTTTTTTACGTAATTTTGTTGTTATTAGGGTTAGTTTACTATGGTATTTGAACATATTGTTCTCTATTATTGAACTAGGAGCCTGTCCAGTTGTATGCTCTACCCTTTAATCTGTAGGAAGCAAGGTCATCCCAATGTTATATTTTGACCTAGGCAAACGAATGGCTTGCTGAAGTCACAATTATAACTCACAAATTACAATGAAAATGGCAAATGTATAGCAATAGTAACCTGTATTGTCTAATATATATTTACGTTTTCTGTTTTTTTGTTAATATTAGTTCATTTAAGAGCACGATAGTCCCGAAGAAAACAATAAAACTGGCGAGACGTCGATTTCACAAAAAAAGCCTACATAAGAATTTTTTTTCATAAATTCAGCAGAAAACCGAAAGAGAGGCTGTTAAATTTTTGTTTGACTTGTTGATAGAAATGCTATTAAAATGTTAATTTTTAGTTGATAAGGTGCGAAAAAAGAAGAAAGGTCGGAAGCCGAAAGCTGGCACGCAACGAGCGAAGAAGACCAAATCACAGGACGGTAAATTGGTCAAAAGGGACTACTTTGACACCCTCTTAAAATAGTTTCCGACCCAAACTGAACAAGGTTGAATAAAAATTATACGTGTAACTAAAAAGTAACTAAAATTTAGTGTTATATACAAAGGTTGTTTGTATACAATTAAAAACTTTATTATTTTAAACTGAACGCTCTGTATATCATGACTTTTTTAACACCTCGGGAACTTCTAAATATATATCGTATATAATATCTATGCCAAAGTGTTACCGTTTCTAAAATATTTTGAATTTTATGTCAAAAGTGACGTTAGCACATTTCTCCGACTAAAGGCCTCTGTTATATATAGTGATAATTTCCTTAAAGAAGTAACACCTACAATTTATTGCCAATTTTTAATAATGGTTTAAGATTATGCCGTGTAATTAAGTAATTATCACAGTAGTTAGTTAAATTTGACATTTTATCAAAAATGTTTTGATTTTTGCTGAAAAATACTCAAATGGAGAAAAACCTGACAAGAAACACTGTTAAACACTAGGTGAAAGGAAAATTTTACAATTTTATTACCATTATGGATGATAAGGTAATAACCAATAAGGCAACCGCATAAAAATTGCGTTTTTACTAGTGTTTTCTCCATTATTTAATTATTTTTTTAGAAACACGTTTTACAGACATGGAATCATTTTTTTTTGTATTAACATAATAATAAGTTGTTGCGCGACATAAAACTGTCAAATACTGATTTATAAATTCACACCAAGCCAACAACGTTTTCAACTAGACAAAAACTTATACAATGTCACCCTTTTTAAAATTCAAAATCCGAAGAAATTATAAAAGTGGGGTGTTTCAGTTTGGAACAATAAGATTTTACGATTTTTTCATTTAAATTGTTAATTTTGCTTTTTATCACCCTGTATTTATCCACTAAGGTAAATGAGCCCAACATATATTACAAGTGCCTGCAGTTGGAAAAATCGATATATATATATATATATATATATATATATATATATATATATATATATATATATATATATATATATATATATATATATATATATATATATATATATATGGTCAGTTTTCCTTGGATTTTATAGACGACAGCAATTTTCCACAAATCATATATAGAAATTCATTTCGGTTAGATTTGCATCAATTAAAAAAAATCCCTGTTTAAAGTTTTGAGGAATATTTAATATTACCAAGTTGTTTCCTTTCGATTACACATGAGTGATTATGAAATCGATAGAGAAGGATTTTTTGCAGTATTACGAAAAGAAAATCAAAAGTAAGTAAATTAACTTAAACTTTTGATTTTTACACATCGTAGAAACATATATATTTTTTTAAGTTAAAATGATATAAAATAAAAAAACGCGAGTTATCTCACCACCTACGATCCCGGAATGCTGAGCCATCGGAGTCTTTTTACTTCATGTAAAAAAGCAATTTTTCATTTTCCCAGGAGTGAGTTAAGATATATTGTTATATAGAACATCTTGTTAAAATAAAAATTTTATTTTAAAAAGGCAACGGTCGTCCCGAGTAGTCGATAAGTCGATAAGATTTCCTGAAATTCACTAGTGTACCGCATCGCGACGTCGATTTTTCGTATCATCGATTAACTGGAAAACGGATCTATTGACGATTAGTGTTTGACAGAGTGGATTTCTGATAATTGATCATGGTGAAATAGAACCAAATCGCTAATTTTCGCAAGGACAAGAATTTTCGGGACGGGCAATATCGCCGCTCGGACTTTAGTTTTTATAGAAAGGATAGTCATCTAGTACTGTAACTTGCAATTGCTCATTTATGTCGAAACATGACCAATTAATTGATAATATTGAAACTGTAACGTAATAATAAAAATACAAGTTTAACCAGTTCAGGTCAGAAGGATTATTTTTCATAGAATTTTCATTGAGTTTTGCACATCCTGAATTTGATTTGTTCTTTTATCGGTACACATGAAACGACTAATGATAGCCAAAACTATATTAATATTCTAGATATCTTGGAAAATAGGGTTGAAAATAAAATATCACCTATTCTTCAGCCGAAAAGGGGGTTGATAAATGTACTTGGATCTGTCCTTTGATACTTTGAGCACCTTATTAAAAATTTCTGCACAACCAACAAGAGTTGGCTGAATTTATTTTAAAACAAAATTCTCTAGCTCTTAACATTCTGGCGAAATTTAACCAGACCTTCCAGCGAATGTGTCAAAATGACAAATACTTAGAATCGAAGATTAATCAAATAGGTCTAATTGTTGTTGTTTAGTTAATTCCCCTCGTAGAATACCAATAATGTATCCAACAATTTTTGAATATTTTCATCCCTATTCCAGTGGTTTTCTGTAAACAGAATGATCCAATGTTAGGTTGATTTTCTATTGATAAGTATATCTAAGAATGGGATAATATTTTTAGGCCAAATAATAAAAGTATCATCAGCCAAGCGCTTCCATAATTTTGGTTTTACATGGAAGGTGTCGATTGCTTTCTTCTCCACAAATATATTCGCGATGGAGGGTGATAGTAGAGAACCCCACTTTTGTTCATACATTTGACCGTTCCAAGAAAAATATGTCCCAAACAAGCATTTTTCAATTAAGATGAGAAGGTTTGGTCTCAGATTCTCAGTTTTTAATATATCTGAAATAATGTTGATACTTTCAGGGACTTTCGTAAACAGGGATTCTACCAGAATCTAACCAGAATATCATGTGGATCCAACGTAATGCTCTTTAATTGTTCAATGAATCGAAAGGAATGAAGTACTTGTGTTCATGACAACCGTTTTCTTTATCTGCTTTTAGAATTACAATGTCGGGATTAGATTTTAGAAATTTTAGAGCAATACGTTCAGGCTTTGGAATATTGAATGTCACGCGATACACTGGCAAAAAAGCCATACTAAAACTATTGTGAAATATTTACAAGAATCTAGTCTGCATTTTGCTAAAAGAATGTCGCAAGTGAATATGAATAAATTGAAGTATATACCCATTAATTGTTGGATGTCACAGACTAACCAGTGTCTGATTAAAATACAAATCTCAATCTCGAAACAGTTATTATAAATAAAACTTTAGGTTTTCGACAAAATTTATGTATGTAGACCGTATTTGTAATTGGTGTGACCGTTCGGTGTCAAAATAGTCCCATTTGGTGGTCACCATATTTCGTATACCATATAAGTTGTGAAGAATTGGGTAAATTTCGTGTTAATTTCTTAGAGACGCCGTTGGAAAAAACAGATACCGACGATGAGGAAAAGGAGCAGGAAATTATTTATGTGCCGGTAGGTGTTACTTTTCGATAATTGTATTAGCAACTTTACAATCAAAGTAAGATAAAAATTCTATACGTATAATTTCAATGGAATTAGGTATAATTACGCTGCATAGCCTGCATTTTGGTTTGCAGTACGTGTCTGAAATAATGTATGTCACTGTTCTTTGGAGTTTCATTTAATGGATGGAATATTTTTGTAGGACGATTTTCGGTATATATAACAAGGAGGAACAAGATATATAAATATATGCCTTTTCCATTGTATAGCCACATTAATTGATACAAAGTGGTCCGTAATGAATGCGTCAAAGGGCAATCCTATATTAAACTCGTGATAATAATTCTATTGGGTCTAATATGACAAAATGTGTCTCGTTAGTGTTATACAGGGTGTTTAAAAGGTTTTTAAAATATTGACATGAAAACTTCGATTCGGGTTTTTTTAGTAATAGGGCATGCGATCACATTTTATTTTTCACATAATATGTGAGATTAACAGTCGAACTCTCATTAAAACACATCTGCCGATAATACCCAATCATCTTCATTAAGATCGACCTCCATTTTTGGAGTTCGTATGAGTCATAACGTTGCTCCTCTTTCGTTGTTTGCCGACTATAGAACAACACTGGTTTTAAGTTTCCATTTTTTTTCCATTGTAATAATATACCTCCAAGGCCTCGCCTAGAGCGTCTGTATGTAATGGTGTTTTTTTTCGATGTATAGAACTTTAATTTGGCATTACTGTTCAAGATGGGGATCGATTTAACAGCTGTCAAGTGATTTATTCTCAGTTTGATTTGGCAATTCATCATGAATAGACTCACGCCTGAACAACGCTTGCAAATAGTGCAATTTTATTTCGAAAATGCTAGTTACACCCTATCGTTTCCCTATATCGAACTAACTAGCTAACTTTCTTGCTAATAACGTTGCGTTACTTTTTTTTGAAGATTAATAGATGATTTCCAAATAAAAAACGTATATAACATCTATTTTGGTAAAATAGATAGAAATTACAATTCCGATATCTAGCCTCCATTGACTTCGGTCTTCTCTCGTGCCATGTTCTTTTTTGACACCATTTTTTTTCGGTGGTGTGATATTCAATTCATTGTTTGTTTAGGTAATCAGTTGTCATTTTGTCATTCATACGCTGTACATGGCCCTACCAGATCAGTTGTTTTTTTGTGATTGTGTCTTGACGTCCCATTTGTTCCCGAATACTTTCATTTCCAACTCTTTCAGTTCTTGATATTATTGCTGATCTTCTAAGTGCATCGGTTGATGCACAACAATTTTTTTATGATTTTCTGTCATTCTCCAAGTTTCTGAACCATACATTAAGTTACTTTTAATTAGAGTGTTATATATTGTATTTCTTAATTTCCGATATATTTTATACTACAGAGGATTCCGTTCAGGCAGTTAATTGCTTTTCGTGCCTGTATCACTCTTGTTCTTATTTCTTTGTCATCTGAACCTGTTTTATCCAGTGTAACCCCTAGTTATTTGTACTCTCCACAGGCTTCTATTTCCTCTAAGTTTTCCAATTGTAGGTTACCACTTTCCCTTCTTACGAATAGATATTTCGTTTTTTCAGCATTCATAGTCAGTCCCCAATGTTCATAGGTTTCTTTTAATTTATGTGTCATATATTCTAGATGTTCTTTATTCCCTGCTATTACTGCCTGATCGTCTGTAAACTGTAAGCTAAATCCCGTTCTATCTGTTATGGGTATTCGCATTCCCGGACATTTTTGTTTCTATTTCAGTAAAGCTTAGTAAGGCTTCTTTAACATAAATTTTAAAAAGCGTTGGTGATATACAGCGCAACTGGCGAAGCCCCTTTGTTACGCAGATATCTCTGGACACTTTGTTTTCTGTTTTTATTTTTGAAGTGGAGTTGTTATAAAGGTTTTTGATAGCTTGATGGAGGTGCCTTGCAATACTTCGCAGAGCCTGCTAGTGGGTATATTATCATAAGCTTTCGAGAGATCGATGAATAAGATATATGTTTCTAAATTAACTGGGGACCTTTTCTCTATCATCTGCTACACATAATCTGACTCTTCCAATTCCAATTTTGACACTCCTCCTTGTGACCATTTTTGTAGATGGAGGATATGTATGCTACTAGGAACTTCTTGACCATTCAGGCACTTGTTAACAACTGTTGTAACAACGTTGTTATTAGTTTCGCAGTGCCGCATTTTAATGATTCTGAGTATATTCCCCCTGGTCCACATGACTTACCATTTTTCAGTTTGGTTTCTTCTTCTATTTATACTTGTTCTCCTTCAATGTCAATTGGCATGTTCTCTTTCTTGTTTCTATTAATAGCTCTTTGTTGTGCTGTATCAATTGTTTTTGTGACATATTCTAAAAGGATACTTTTCTAGTGCCTGATGATCGGCTTCTATTAATAAATCGCCATGCTTCTGTACACCTTTTTCCGCCAATATACCTGCCTTCTTCCCTCTATCCCACATCTAATTTTTTAATGATTTATTTTATTTCGCGTTTCTCGCTTAGCTCTGTTATATGCCTTATCTTCTATGGATTTAGCATTTAAACATTTTAGGTACAGTTTCAACAATTTCTGTAACAAGAAAAGATTTTATGTATTTCAATTTTATCGTAGAAAATCGTTCAGGAATCGGTGACCGATTTTATACTTCATGGCAATTTTAACTGGATAAATGATGAGCCGACAAATAGCGAACGACGATTCGTGTACATGTTTCGCAAGTCGGAAACGGGGGTACCAACATTCGAAGCAATGGACGACGCCGATGCCGAGATGCCCGGCTACTTCCTCGTGGGAGTTGTAGACGGAAATATGGCGCGTGGAGTGTCGTTTCTCACGCACCAGGTAAGAAATGCTTTACAAAACAACAAAACACTTGTTGGGATCGTTTCAGCATCGAAACATTTTTTATAAAAAAAATGTTGTTCTGTGTTTCCGTAAAGGACCTACGAGACTTTTATGAAAGCGGATAATTTTTAAATACTAATACGATCTGCAGCGGCCGCAAAATATTGAGGCAATCTAACATATGCGGCCATTTTGCTGAGTTGAAATTCGGCATATTCGGAAAAATTTTTTTGGGACCGACTCGATTTTCTCGAAAAGCGTGTGTCCCAGCGTGTGTTGAGTCAGCCTTAATAAATAAATAAGACAATTACTTAAAAACAAATAACTATAATAATACGAACTATAAGCCGACAGTATAACCGGAAAAACTATGATCTAGGCACTCCAGAGTCTCTCGAAATCAACTTGTTTAGAAATTCACCATACCGAGAAACATTAAGCCTAAATGTCATCGTAACAAATGTTCATCCAAAACCATACATCTTTTTAACTAATTTTCAAAAAACACGAAAAATTTCGGCCCTTTGTCCAAGTTATTTAAATCAGAAAAAAACTAAAAAAAATCTTTCAAAAGTGTTCAACCAGGAATACAAACTTTGAGTTGTTGAAGATCTGCTGCTTGATTTTGAATGGTCTGGGTAACGACTTGGACCAAGAGTTTGAGTAGTTTTTGGACACCCGTAAGAGCACGTTCACTTTTGAAAAATTCGTTCTGGTATTTAAAAAAACGTGCTCTCGTCTTCTGTAGTCTCAAAATATTTTCTTAATCCAGATAGTAAGGAAATCTATAATAAAACAGCTGCTGGTGGTCAGCTCAACCTCCACTTCATTGATAGTGTAGAGAAATTATTGTTGAACTGTCAAGCTTCTTCCACCATAGAATTGCCCATTATATCCATATCCAATAGCCTGGAAAATAGTTCTGGTTATAATATAATATTTAATTTTAAAGTATGCACTTAACTTTATCACGGGGCCATTAACAACATATTTTGCAAATTACTTAATTTTTACTGTGTAGCTTCCTTGCTTAAACCATGTAACAGTATCTCCACTACATAAAAACGGTGATAGTAGGTTAATTTATAATTATAAAGGTATTGCTTTGCTGTCCGTGTTTTCCAAGATCTATAAGAAACCCTTTTACGTGCGTCTGGGCAATATCTTCCACTTCATGTGTTACTCGTAGTATAATTTTCAAGCGATTTTGTTGGCTAAGATGGAACATGGAAAGTTAGAGGATAAATTTTATAGAACCTAAGAGGATAAGAGATTTCCACGTAAATATTCCAAATACTTACTTCCAAGGGGGCAGGTACGGAACTTTGTGTAACGATGGGCAAGATTACGGGCTCCGAAATACGTATTAAACATAATATCGTTTTACGCCATCTGATTTGTCCTCCCACCAACAAGCTTTCTTAGAAAGCAATAATTTATTGTGAAATATCAAATTCGCCTTTCGTAAAAACTCTCAACTGTCACTCTATAGCCATTTTCTTCTCAATTGAGATCAAAATTGAAATGTATAATCTTCGATTTAAAGCGGGTTTTTGAAGTTATAAATGTTAATGTGCTACTCAAAAAAATATATAATTATGGTATTAGTGGTAATATATTTAAATTGTTAAAATCGTTTTTAAATAATAGAACTCAGGCAGTATAAGGAATGGAACTAGTAGTTACATCTCAGGATCTAGGAGTTTTCAAGTACTCTTTTGTTCATTGAATTTTTTAATATTTTACCACATTTTGGTTAGTTTGGTTGGTTTATTTTCGTTCACACCTATGTGATGTAGAGATTAGGAAAAAGGGTTTGGATAAATCTTTTACGCGTATATTATTTTTAGCTCGGCTTGACCCTTTCCCATTAGCACTGTTAGCGAGTGCTTTGGTATCTTTCTATCTTACGGTTCCGATACGAGGCGATTGTTTTCCAGTAGTTCAAAAGGAAGTTAGTGAGTTATGCAAGAGTGTGCCAGGGCTATTAAAATCATTTATATGTGAAGGTAAGTGTTGGTGATGGTGGTACTCCGACTCCGACTCATGCCATAAAATATCGCATATGGAATGCTCGTTGGCCGCTGCCACAGCAGTCGCAGTCGGAATTTTATTACTCAGCTGTTTTTGCATTGTGTCTAGTCGCATCTTATGGTTCTTGTGGAAGGCAATACAGATTGGCTTATTTATTCGACAAATCGGCGGAGACGAAGAAAATGATTTGATTCTCGATAGACTAAAGGCGTTGGTCGAAGAGAATTATCCTCCTGAATCGCGTGCGAACTGCACTGAATTGAGCAAGGGACAAGGAATTTAGGAGGTCGCTCCGGAATATCATTGAATCGATTTTGAGGAGTGTTCTCGCCTTCAGATTAAGAGACGTAACATTAGATACAAGGATGTACAGAAGAAGTTACAAGCCAAAATGGATCTCTCTTTGGGTACAAGCATGCTCTCTTATTGCAGACGCTAACGGTATTGGAGGAGATAAGATCTCCATTAAATTTTCCGAGGTTGCTGCCTAACAACAAGGACGCTTTGCCTTGCCACTATCCTATTATATCCTCCACTTCATGTGTTGCTCGTAGTATAATTTTCAAGCGATTTTGTTGGCTAAGATGGAACATGGAAAGTTAGAGGATAAATTTTATAGAACCTAAGGGGATAAGAGATTTCCACATAAATATTCCAAATACTTACTTCCAAGGGGGAAGCTGCGGAACTTTGTATAACGATGGGTAAGATTACGGGCTCCGAAATGCGTATTAAACATAACATCGTTTTACGCCATCTGAGTTGTCTTCCCGCCAACAAGCGTGCCCTTCACTCTAAAGCTAGTCAAAATATTAGCTCAGGTGCTAAAGGATTGTAGGTCTTTCTAATACTTAAGAAAAATCACAAATTACGACAAATCCTCAATATGGGTCAGTTGAACAAGTATAGATCCAAAGAAATTCCAAGCAACGATTCTCCAATTGCTGCACAAAGGCGTCTACTTGGCAAAGGCTTATTATCACATACCAATAAGAGAATCTCACCCCATTTTCCTTTCAGACCGAGGTAAGGGCTTGTTTGTCTTTCGATCACTCCAGTGCCCCTCCTTCACAAGAGTTATGAATTGGGAGCACATTGTATAAGATGTTGAAAGCTTGCCGTCTATCTGGAGGACCTATTATTTGCTTACCAAGATCTTCAAGTATTAGGGACACGTAAACATAACAGTGGATCTTCTAAGCTACCTGGGTTGGACAGTAAATGTATCCAAGTGGATTCTCAATCCTTCTAGAGTAGCCGATCTTTTAGGCATATCGTGAGATACTCTAAAGCTATTGCCAAAGAAGAAACGCTGTCATATGGAGAAAGAACTTGGCAAGGGAAACGTGGAGATGGAAATCTGCTACGATTCTGACAGGACGGTTTCGCGTCCAACATTTCTCCTAGAGAGTTTGTTTACAAGAAGGTTACGAACAACCCGATGTCTAGACATGAGTTTTCTAGATAAAGAAAGATCTTTGATGAACGACGAGCAATACGACTTACACCAGCCTGGGTTAGGCTTCTTACCAGATCTGCTGAACTTGGTCCTAGGGATTTTAAGGTTTTGGAAGGCATTTTCCTTGTACCGAATTTCGTTCTGGGTCGCTACAATTCAACAGCTGACTCTCTATTCGGAAAACGTTGTTTCCCTGATTGCCATTTAAAAGCATCCAAGTTTGCGATGTCTTTGCTATAAAGGAGTCGAGTTTGGTTCCTTTGTACTTTGTTCATAAGGTATCATCCCGCAGAATTTGCCCCGCGATCGAGCACTTTATCCTAGGAATTTCGAAATGGCAAAAGGTTTTTTGGTGTAGCAACGCCGTAAATAGAACGATTACGGACACCATTCGCATAAATAACCTTCAATTATGTCTCACAGATGTTTCGACCGATATTTCTCCTCCCAGCACAGATCAAGTAGTTTTGGAGGTCTGGAAGGTACGGGGTGGGATACCTTAGTCCATCTATTGTTTCCAGATAATATTTTCTAGCTGCAGTCTACATGGACAAAATCGAACTGGAAAACGTATAAACTTGACATTACTTTTCATTTTGCAAGATAACTTTGTAATTAACGACGATTCAATTCTGTTTTGGACAGAGCTAGGTTCAAATTGGTATCTCTCAACGGTAATATCAGTGGTTGAAGTTATTTAAGTACCCACCCCCTTAGAAGCTTCATTCAATTCTTTTTCTTTCATGGTTCTGGAGGAGAGGAGTATGCAGATAGTCTACATTTAAGTCTCTTATGTTTTGCTAAACTAGTTGTATTTAGTTCATATATGTTTTCCTTTTTTTGTATTAAATAAATATATACTTAGAAGTCCCTTTTATCAATCAATGCATCAATTTACCTTCTCTTATTTGTGAACTAGCTAAAAGTGCTAATATGTGAAAAAGAATGCAGGTAATCTCATTTTTATCTCATTTTTCTTTCTCTGGAGTAGAAAACGTTGTTATTTTTCAGTGTCAACTGTTTCGTGAGATAAGAATATTGACTCTTTCAAGTGATTTTGATGTTAACTGAATATTGAATTGAATTTGGATAAGAAAATTCCTAGCCATAAATTGTTCATTATTGCCAAACCTTTTGCCTACTTTAATAAAATAAAATAAAATAAAACAACCCAACGAACAAAGTAATGACGCTCCTCCACACCTCCACCGTCACCTTAACTTTTCAGCTCTTTTTGCCTCTGGCGAAATTGTGTTTTATTGAACCTGCTTCCAAGAAACGGATGCCTAAAAAAGTGAGCGCCAAGGAGGATAGAACTTTCCACGGTACTTCGATTTTTGGTGAACACGAATATAGGAAATCGTCGATGGAGGTGGCCGAGAGGGCTAAGCGGGGGATCGAACGACTGTCGATGACTGCCAGCACGAGCACCGCCCAAGCTTTCATCGAAGAGAAAGATTCCAAGTCGGACACTCCCGTCAAGGACGAATTTGTCACTGAAATCGCGGCTCTGTCTTCGACTCTGCAGTGGTATGTTTTTAATTGTGGTGGCAAAACCTTCAAGCTTCAATCTAACAAGAATTTAGTGTTGGCACCTTTGGAAAGTCCAATTTATCCATTTGTTTGTCAGTCAATAAACAGGTTTATAAAATTGACTGAGGTGGCTTTTACTTGATGAAAATCCATTTATCAAAATAAATAAGAACTAAAAGTTCAGAGTTTCTCGAAATTATATATTTTCACATTACAATTGTTTCGACAACACCGTGTCTTTATCAAATGTAATATTTACAAACTACATGCTACTACATATACCGAAAAATGACAATAAAACCTTATTTAATGTTGTGAGAATTTAAGTTCAATAAGGGAGAGGTATTTAAATCTAATTGATCGTTAAGCAATGTAAGCAATGTATTGCTTAACGATCAATTAGATTTAAATACCTATCCTTTATTGAACTTAAATTCTCACAACAACATTAATTAAAGTTTTATTACCATTTTTTGGTATATATAGTAGCAGGTATTTTGTAAATATTATATTTGATAGACACGGTGTTGTCGAAACAATTGTCATGTAAAAATATACAATTTCCTGAAAATCTGAACTTTTAGTTCTTATTTATTTTAACAGGTTTATAATCTAGGAGAAATTTGTTTAAGGAAATTACCTACATAAACACTTTTTTTGTAATTATTATTTTATTTTATTTGAATTTAACGAAATAGATTTTTAGAATTTTTTATTTTTCACTAATAAGATTGTTTCCAAAAGTCATGAAATTTACACAAATAACTATTTAAGTAACAATTTTGTTTAATTTTCTTATTTGTTTATTAAGTGGTATTTTGTTTTGCACGTGCACTTGTAGGAAAATTGTAAGTTCTAGAGGGTAACGATCAAGCATTTGTTTAAACATACATTACTTGCTTAAATTAATGCCAATAATCATCAGTTTTCACCAGGATATTTAGACATTTTAAATGAACAATATTATTCTATATTCAAATTTGGAATTGAATATAGAATTGGAACAAAAAGGACCCGATGAGTCGTTCATAAAATTTTTGAAAAATTATAATAATTTTAAAACGGGTTTAAAAACGTTTTTTTTTTTATTTGCGGTTTAACCAATTTACAAAACTTTTACATTTATTAAAGGCAAATAGAGAGAAAGGCAGCAGTATAAAAGCTAGAACAAACAAAACAAAGAACAAGAACAAAATGCTGCAATTATGACCCTCGACTAAACTCTCGAGCCAATCATTCAATTTTCTCTTAAGCACAGCTATTTCAGCCGCACACATTAATCTGGAAGGTCTTTATATAGAGAGCCTTTTAGCCTAGGGTCACCTTCAGATTTAACATTGTATTGTATGTAGAATTGAGGAAAGAAAATGGTATTAAACCTATTTTGCTGGGCATAGCATCAAGTACGCATTGATAAGGTGTTTTAAACATATAAAGATTAAATATTGTATTATGTTTCTTTATTTTATTTTACTATTATGTTTACTAATAGAAATTATAATGTAATAAAGAAATTAACATGTAAGAATTTTTGAAATGTGCTTTGCTGGACTTTTCCGACTCTCAACATTTTTTTTTTTCAAAGAAACTTCCATTATTTACAAAACTTCTGGATTTCTCCTGCGTCAGTTTATATACTGTTTTAGGGGGACGAAGCTAAAGGAGGGGAATGAACATTGTCACGGATGACTGATTCCCATACAGGGGAAAGGTCGCGGTTATGGTTGTTTGGTTGCTTATACATTTCTACGGATTCCTGGATTTTTCGTTTGTAGAAGAGTAGATTATATGCAAGAATTGTATAGTTTTGTCGAATAAGATTTGATGTCCGGTTTCATAATTGGGTTCGGAAACTGCTGCCGCATGTAAACTCCTGGTAGCTCAATCGGAATTTTGTCTTTGAAGGATCGAAGATGTCGCGACATTTTCTTTTGTAAATCTTATTGGAAGGTTAGAGTGTACTGTATTTTGTGGTGGAACGCTTAATATCTGTAATGTGGAAATTATTGGAGAGAAGAGCAGATGTAAGACATTGTATTCCGGGTCAGTAACTCGAGTTGAGAGAGTTTAACGGCCCTGTAAGAACGGGATTTAAAACAGATGATTTTTGGGCAGGATAGTAATGTGACAATGCATTAAGGTATCGGTCGGTGTAGGTTTTCTGCAAACAATGATTCAATGCTTTCCTATTAATAAGAATAATAATCTATTATTACTTTCTAAAATGGTAAAACATATGTTACGGTGTGTAGAGTTTAAATGGTTAGGAAAATCTCATAGAAATTCTTGACCCTGAGGCCAAATTACAAAATTATTCTCAATTAGCTTCCATAATTTTGAGTTTAGGTGGAAGGCGTCGAGAGATTTCTTCTCAAAAGCTTCCGTAATTGATGATTAGTATTAATAGAAAACCCATAGCTGTTCCTGACGTTTGTTCGTAAATTTGAAGAAAAATATATTCCAGAGAGCCAGGACACACTTTACACTTTAGCTTATAAATAAATAAAATCACAAATAGCCCACAAGACCAGCAACTTTTTTTTTAAATAAAGAAAATTGATGTGACTTGTCAGTCCAAAAATTCTTATTTAATCAATATTACAGGGTGTGCGAACACGTGGGCGACGAAATAGATTTGCCGATGCCTAATTTGACAGATATGCTGGCGACCGATCGCGATGAAGATGAGCTTGCACGTGACGATTCCGTAGTGGTCAGCCTAGAAGAAGTGGTGATGGGCTGGGAGCGGCATATCGCCAAAGTTCTAGAGACTTATCTGACCAAGGTACCTGCTCAAATCAATCGAGAAAAAAAACTCAGTCTCGGATTCTATTTTAAGACACCCGTCGGTAACGGACCGTTGCCAGAATACGAGTACTGGCACGAGCGGGAAGCCGCATTTAGCGCCATTGTGGAACAACTTAAAAAACCAATGGTTCTACGAATCAGCGACATCTTGGAACGGGCAGGTTCTTCAGTGATGGCCGCATTTGGTCACTACCACGCGGAACTGAAGCGGTACTATGCCCAGGCCAGGGACAACGTCAAATTTTTATCAACGATCAGGAGACACCTGAAGGTAGGAAAATCAAGACGATTCTATCCACTGTTCCACCCAGATCCGTAAACACAATAGCTTGGCTTACCTCAGCCCCCGCAACGTCTAGAGAGTACTGTCAATCGTACTGTTTCCAAAGCTCATATCAAACGCTCTCTTTTCAACTTCCTTTTATGAGTAGAGCGCTGTTTTTTTTTGTTTACGTAGTAGTACGCTAAATAGACGGACTATAAAGGAAAATATATATATCCAGAGAGTTTTTTTTTAACTCTAAACTTATTGCATTCAAAACAATAAAGAATCAGTCAAGCAAGTTTTGTTTATAAAGCGCACAATTGGAAAATCTGGAACCCGTTCGCTGAAAAAGCTAACCCCTAGGTGACCTCACGACGCTTTTCCGGCATTTTGCTCGCAACTTTAACTAAAAATTGTTATAGGACATTTTTTCATTTTCCATTGAATTCTGCATGGAATTTTTATATAATGTCTTTGCGAATCTTCCATCCAAAGAAAATTAGCCAATCATCGACTTTTGTGGCGATTACCTCTAGAATTACATTAAAGAACAGTCCTTTCTCTACATGCACCTTTTAATATAACTTAATTTTTTTATAACTGAGTTTATGTACTTTGAGCTTGTTTCCATACCTTGATGTAGAGTCCTCGGTACGTGGTTTTCCCTGTAGTGCTACTGCACAAATGAAATAAGGCGGCATTTAAATAACTCTGACCGTAACAAACGCAGCAACGTAAACGAACTTTCACAAAACTGCCCCGTTTTTCACAATCTTTTTTATGGTCGCGGGATATGAGCTGAAGAATTGAAGTATGAACTGTCGTTTGAGTCGTAAGTCCCAGTCCCATTTAGTTCTTCCTCGCCACAAAGAATATTATTGAAAACGTAATATGAATGTTTTGCTAATACAGGCAGGTGGTAGTCTTGACAAAAGTAATCTGTGACTCGACTGGCCAATTAACTTATGATCTGATGGTGATTAAAGATATCCCATTTCGGCGTTGCTTGTATAAGGCAAGTGCGAATTTCTTCCCCCTCCCTGGCAATGTTATCATTTGTCAATGGCGGATTATAGTCTGTGATTTCCCAAAAAAGGCAGAAGTGATGTCGCAGCTAATAAACGTATGGGCAAAGAGAATATTATCTTTGCAATCCTTTAAAACTATCGAATTTTGTAACACATGGGAACTGCACTCGTTTTGCTTAATATTTCGGAATGTTTGTCAGGCGGAGAAAGACCTATAATGGAAATTTCTGCTGATTCTAACGTGTTCATCAATTGACCAACTCAACACTTTTTGTTGGCAAGATTGCTCAACCAATCGTTATGCGAATCATGTCTGTCGAAAATTATCTCTGCGGATATCCTTTTTACGAGCCGTTATTGACTTTCAGTCAATATATATAAGGACGTCGTGAAAACCTGCTCAGAGTACATAAGCACAGCTATACAGAATCCAAAGGAGAATAGTCAGTTTTGGGGTTTGGTTTTCTATCAAAAGGGCACGAAGTCCTACCGCATCTCTCAGATCTCAAGTTTGATTCTTACTAGGACTTCAATACCAACATTTCAAAATTTTATAATTTTCTTCTTTTATTCGTCGTTCTTAAGGCCATAACAGCCAAGGTCTCATCCGGGGTATGCCCTAAGGTCCCGTATCCATTATCAGGTAATCCATGCGTAAGGCAACTTCTTGCAGATATGGATCTTGAGTTTTCACTACATATGATATTTAGGTAATCACCGACAGTAGCGACTTCAAGAAGATCAAGGAGTGTATCCCAGACTTGATGGAAGGCCTTCATCTAATCTGGGTGCTGTCTCGATACTACAACACAGACGAGACGATGGTGCCTTTTATGGAGAGGGTGGTCTGGTGCTTTTTGGACAAGACGCAGAGGCATTTGGACAACGCGTTTCTCTTTAGGTACTGCCATGTCAGTCCGTAATTCAGATGATGAATAGTTGGTAAGCAGGAGACCAATCGAAGATGTGAAGCGGCTGTCGCATGAGGCCAAAGAGATGTTAGAGACGTGGAAGTCGGCGTACATGGCGACGAGGCAAAAGATCGAGGATTCCGGTAAAGGTCAAAGGTGGGAGTTCAACAGGGGTCGATTGTTTGCGGCTTCGGATTATGTGGCCAAAGTATGCGACGATTTATACAAAGGAGCTGTGGTGAGTTTTGATTTTTTTTTATGACCAACTACATTCACTACATTATTTTTAAGCGAACGCCTCGGGTTACGATGTGAAAAGGCAACAAATAAACTTTAAACTATAAGATTAATTAGAAAACTAAAAACAACATAAAAATTAAAAAAAATAAAAACATTTTAAGGCTACGACCAATATCTAGTGTAACAAATTCGCGAAGTGTCATTCGCAAGCTTTAACATTTCTGGGTTTAACGTCTACATCCTGTTCCAAATCTCTAGCTACTTGTACCACTTCGTTATTTACACATATGATCGTTGGTCCATGTCCCTTGGACGGTACATTGCAGCTTTTGAGAAGATTGTTTCAGAATTTTTTGTTGAACAAAAGCGGGGACCCCTTTTTTTGCTGCTTCTGGCCTCGTTCCCCATTCCGTTTTTATAGTAGTTATTTGATTATAGGTTGTCAGTGATTTTTTATTTTTCATTCGCATCAAGAGATCAATTAATTTAGAATGTTTAATTCTGCCTTTCTCCTTGTTTCGACATTTCTGTAATAAAGCATGAAACATAAAACATAAAGTATCTATGGTGTGTAAAAAAAATATAATGTAGGGTGAAAGCTTTTGCTGATAGAGTCAAGAATAGGTTGGAGAACTACGATAATATTGTCGAAAGTAGTTTCATTATTAAAAATAAAACGTCTCATTAGGTAGTAAGCCATTTCAAGAACATATTCGGACCAGAACTAAGATCGATTGTTAACGATCCTCAAACTATCGATAACGTGTCGAAACGCGTCGACAGATTAGTTAGCAGCATAGAGAATACCGATTTCGACATATTCGATATGAACTGCAAAGAGAACTGGGAGGCGATTATCGTCAATTACGAGAAGGAAGTGCGCAAATTGGAAATCGAGAGTACGAACTTTATCGAACAGAGTTTGAAAATGATCAGGTAAGGGATGATCGCTGATTATCTTAATTTATTTGAGTGATTTTTGGAGGATAAAGGGGTTTTCAACGTTAAAATGATAAAAACCTAGCATAAAAAATTGATTAGTCAAAAATTTACTGCTTCGAAACAATTCTAAGGCGCAGTTGAATTCCTTTGAATCCGTGTAAATTTCAATACTTTGTATATTTTATGAATAATTTTTAAATATAATTCAAAGAAGTCGTACACACACACACCCTGTATACAAGACCCTATATAAATAAAACATGTCTTTTTTCTTTCAATTTTTTCAAATCCGCAAACAAGAAATAGTCACTGCGGGCTAAATCTGCCGAATGCTGATGTTGTAATAATACGAATCTTAATTCCATAATGTTGGAGGATCTTTTTCTATTGCAGATGAGGATGTGTTTCCTTCGTTTCGTTGCTCTCCTCTATCATTATACTCTTTCCCAATTAATAAATGCAGATGATTCTCCGAGCGAGCGTCCTAAAAGATCTTAGCCATTGACTTGACCGTTTTTCTTCTTCTTTGGAGCCCGTTCACATTCAAAAATCCACTGTTTTGGCGGTTCTTTTATCTCTGCAGTGTAGTAGTGTACCCAAGTTCAAAGATATATGCTCCAAAACAGAACCGACCACACAATGATTTTAATCTCCACAACCAGTTTTTCGTGCAAAATTAAAGCCACTGCATCTTGCGATCAGCCTGTGGCCTCAACTATGCCGCACTTTAATTCGTTGATCACTTAAAATAATATTGATGATTTTGTCAATCCTCAGATCTTCATTCATGGTTTGTTGATGTACGATCACGTTTAAACTCATTCACCCGATTGTAAACACCAGAGCACATGTGCCATGAACATCCTACAATCCAGTTTTGATTTCTTTGGGCGTCAACCCTTTTTAAATATAAATGATTAATCACTGCTAGAAATTCAAATTTATCCAACGTTGTTTAATCGACAATAACCTGTGATGGATACCGCTGCAACTTTAGGAGCTGAGTTGTTAGGAGTACCAGTTAATAGCAATAATTTATTTTCGGTTTTATTTTATAAGGGCTTATTGAACAACCCTCATATCTCGCGTTATTTATTAAGAGATCCATATATTTATTATTACGACTCTGTGTTTTGATTTCTCATGAGATCTACGGATTGCAGAAAAAAAGTTGCATTTCAATAAGCTTTAATCTCATGCTGGATACTTATTATATAGAATTTCAATATAGTTACCATAATTTATAAATTTGTTCCAAAATCTATTGAATTAATTTAACGTGAATGTAAAGTATAATTGTGCGTTGCTTTTTTGTTTCATTTTATTTTTCAAATAGAAACTTCCTATTTTTATAATTTTATCATATTTGGCTTTTAAAAAAGCGGTGACTTTGTGTTTTTTTGTGAAAATAGTTCCGTGAAAATGCCGCATCCAAACTTATTGGCGATCTGTCAGCGGTCATGTTGATTGTTGTCATTGGTTAAAAACGAGATTTTAAATCTTGCACATATATATATTTGTTATTACGACTGTGTGTTTTGAGTGTGAGGTGTGTTCTGTGTTGCCCATTACTTTTTGTGCAAACAAAAATAAAAAATTCAGTTTTCTTTTTAAATAGTACCTATTAACAAAATTAATTTAAAAATGTCTTTAATATATCAGAAAGCGCCATTTAATGTTCGAAATTCGTGCATCATGTAACTCAGTAAAGCAATACTTCTGGGCAACTTTTTATACAGAAAACAGCACACTCTGTATAAACACATATACATACATAGTCCCGTCAACACCGTCGCTTTTTGTTAAAGATCATCGGAGGCCGCGTTAGAAATGATGCTGAAATTCAAACACATCGAGACGAGGGAAATGATCCTCGATAAACTGATGAAAAGGTTCGATGTCATCCTCGACCAATTTACGAAAGAGATTCTTAGCGTCGATGACAACTTCACGGTAATGCGGGACTCCTGCGAGAATTAGTTTGATTAGTTTTGTCACAGCGGAACAAGCGCCGTCCAGTTTTGTGCAGAGACGCCCCTACCCACGGAGGTGCCATCTACTGGGCCCGTCTGCTCTTTTACAAGCTAAAGAGGCCGATACTGAAGTTTCAGCGTGTGCCGGAGCTGATGGAATCGCCGCTCAAGGACGAGGTGTTCGATTTATACTTAAAACTGACTAAGGAGCTCAGAGCTTACGAGGAGGGTGAGTTTTGTAAAGCCTCCAGGCGACCCAAAATTTGTTACCGAAACCGATGGAAACGAGTTTCGACAAAGTGTCTACGCTCATCAATAAACTCGATATCTGGGTAAAGGTTGGTACGGGTTCAGGTTCAGTACAGAATTGATCAGCGTCGAAAAAAATCCTTTTTTTTTTTGTTTTCCGTAACCGTAATTGGCGAGGTTTTTTTTGGAATATTTCGAGGTACGGTAGTTCACCCGCAAAATATTGAAGCTATTCGACATCGGCATCTATTTTTGGTTTTGCTCGGAGAAGAGTCGCTATAAAACAAAGTGTGTCGGGTTATTGAATTCAAAGAAGTTTCGTGCTCAAATGGAACCAATTGCAATTTCAGACCCGAGGAAAACTAGCGCGAGATATGGGGAAATATCTAATCAAAACTGTATAATGCGTGCTAGTTATGGACCAAAAGCTGAAAATCATTATTTTCCGGAGTAAATCATTGACCCTAACTAACGAAGCTTGGCGAACGGTGCCGTTTGGTTTCGACATCTCCTAAGGCCGCGTCGCGAGCAACAATTTTCGCATTTACTGTTTTCATCTGTTGTGAAAGGTGCACGGTATACTGGTAGGAAAGATATTTCTAAAGAATATGAGAGTTTGGGTTTAATAGATGTGTAGAAGGTTCGAATTAAATTTGACCAAAACCACAAAGTCCGTGGCTAAAAATGTTATTAGATGTCGAAATTCTAAAACTAAAAGTCCCACAAGTTATAGTAAATTACGCCCTATTAGCATTTTGATCGATAGTTTCCAAAATTCTGGAAAATGTCATTAAAACGCGACTGATTGATCATTTGGAGATAAATAACATTCTTCCTGAAACTCAGTGTGGCTTCAGGAAGGGGCACAGTTGAACAACTGCTCTCCTGAACGTCACTGATAATTTCTTTCGCACAATTGACGAAGCCAAATGTAGCATCTTGGTCATGTTGGATTACTAAGGCGTTTGATCACCGTACTTTGCTAACTATTCTAATAATACCTAGGGCTTGATGAGGGTGCTGTCGAATTTTTGGGGAACTACTAACAAGGTCGCACACAAAAAGTGATTCTAAATGAACAGCAATCAGACTGCCGTGCTATAATATCTGGGGTGCCTCAAGGCTCCATTCTGGGGCTAATTTTATAGTGTATATACACGTTCGCGTTTCATAGTTTTATACAACATTGCAAAACCCAAATGTATGCAGATGATACACAAGTTTATTACTCACTTTCGGGAGATAAAATTTTGGAAAGCTGTCAAATCATAAATAATGATGTAGAAATCATTAACACGGTGTCCCTAGAACATTCACAAAACATTCCAAAAACATCTATAGCAACGTTCTTTGGTAGGCCCGTGGATGTTGATCGATTATCGCAACTAGTTGAAATAAAAATATCGAATGTGTGCATTCCTCTGAAAATGGAGTCAAAAAACCTTGGGCTTGTGCTCGACAGTAAGCTAAGATTTAATGGTCACATTACACAATGTATTAAAAAATCCATTGCTCACTTAAAATGCTTATATGGTTCTAAAAATATTTTAAATCAATCATTAAAAAAGCTCCTGTGTGATTCGATAGTTTTATCTTCTTTTAACCACTGTGATGTCGTCTATGGCCCATGTTTGACAGCGGCTGCCTCAGAAGGGATTCAAAAAATCCAGAAATACTGTCTAAGATTAATTTTTGGGATTAAACGCGTTAGGCCTGTTAGTCATAAATTGAAGGAAGGTCGACGGCTTAATATGAAAAATTGATGTCTTCACGCTATCTTTTTAAAAAAATCAGCTTTCGCACGGACGTTCACAATTTAAATTTAAGATTTAAAGCCCTGCTCACCCCTCCACGTCACACCTCTGGAAGTTTTGAAAGATTCTTTACATATGACATGGCTAAAACATATAATGTCTACTGTAAACTATTTCCAAAGTGTAAGTCCCTCTATTTGCACAGATCGTACTAGGTATTTATTTATTAATTTTTTTATGTGTATTCTTCCTGCCTAGCGCTGCTACCTTCTTCTTAGGATAGGTTTAAAAACGGAGGCACAATATATCTTATTTTCTTCATCCGAACCGTGTTCTTTTCATTGTATATCAATACGTGAATAAAATTATTATTATTAATATTATTATTATAAGGAAATTAGAAATCTTTTCACCTCGGCTGGATGGGCCGAAAAAAAAATCTTGTATTGACTATGTTAGTCGTACAAAAAAGTCAAAAAACATTTGAAAAATTATCAACAGAACAGATCAAAAAAGGGCGTCGATATTCCTAAACTTCTGAGGAATCCTGAGGTCATTAATCAATATTTTGTTGATTCAGCACGTCAGATTCCTAATGCTATTGACTTCTATACCTTTGATACCTTTAAGACCCAATGCCTTGCGTCATGCCCGGTATCCGGTTCAAATCGGTTTGGGACTCTTCGATTTTTCTTTTCTTTAAATATTTATTTAAAATACCTTGCAACGATAGCAGAAATTATTTTCAATTTAGCAAAAAACCTTAATAAGTGAAAAGGACCCACGAAGCAATCTTTTTCTGTCGTAAGAGTTTAAAATATATATTGGCAGCGTTTATTACACGAAACCAATTTCTAGTGGAACACTGGATTTTATGGAAAATTCTTTTATTATAACATTTACTACGGTTTTTATTAAAAAAATTAGTATTTGCTGGAAAATGTTAGCAAACAGAAATTTAAAGTGATGATTATAAAGATAAAAGATATTAAATACGCTAAATCGGAACCGAGGCGGGCAATACATCGTTGAAAACTATTCTCTATGCTGTTAATAGTTTTGTGAAATCAACTTGTATTCTATTTTCTTCAGCGAAGTTGAGAGAGTGGCTGCAGTTGTACGAACAACTGTTGGAACGCACCGTGCAGATGAACTTGCTGAAAATCGTGGACTCTCCGAAGAAAAGACAATTTTTCAAACCGATCAAGGGCTCGTTGTCGGGGATCGCGGGAATAGGTTCTCAACAAAAACTAAGTTCTACCGCCTCGGGGAGCAGAGGTCACGTCGTGACGTCCAAATGTGCGACGCCCGCCCACTCTGCGAGAGTACCCTTACTATCCATCCTGCTCATTTCAGCCCTAAAGATGCCGTTGAGGTCATCAACTGCGACGCACTCCGCGCACACCCTTATGAGTCGCATCCAATCACGGCGTAACTTAACGTGGCACGAGATCATCGGCCCAAACATCACAGTCGACTTTGGCCTGAAGTTTGACCTGAACTTTGATGAAACGCTGTGGCGCAGTTTCAAAGGCATCGAAACGTTCGAGCTACTGAATTTCGCGCTGCCCGAGCACGTCAGGATAATCGCGGTCAGGAAGGAGAAGGTGCAACGCGACGTCAACGCAGTGTCGCGTATGCTCGCGCGTTACAACTCCATCACGGACAGACTTGGTCCGCCGCAGGTTATGACTTGAACAGTAGTGTATTTTTATTGTTTTTACGCTCACCTCTGCCCCCCCCCCCCTCCGCCCTCTGGTGGCCCTTTTAACACTTTTCGCAGCTTATGGTTTTATTATAACGTAATGGATATTTATACGAAACTTAAGCTTTTATAACAGATATGATAGTTTTACAAGAAAACAGTTAGGGTTACAAGTTTTTCAAGGCTTCCAATCATTTCCGTTAATTTATGTATAAAATGGTTGGCGTGGATTATTAGCTCAGTACTTTATAAAAAAAATTATAAGGTCCTTGAAATCTTAATTATAATACTTTAACTGTTGGGATTTTATACCTTATTCCGTAAAATCCTTATAAATCTTAAAGCACTGAATAAATGAAATGAAACTGAACTGAACTCCCACTCGACCGCTAAAGAAGTTGTCTTCCCCCTTCTTTCGTTTTGTACAATTTTAAAATATATTTGTAGTTTAATTCTAAACTTAATCTTGATATTTAAAAAAAAAATTAAGCTCACTTTTTGCAAGACCGAATTAATAAATAACGACTAAAAAGTAAGGTCGTGATTGCCTTATTAACATTTGAAATTTGTGCATTAATTGTATTCAGTTGTTTTTCCGTTACTTTTAGTTTTGTAGCGGCGGCGAATGTTTCAATAAATACGCCTTTTCAGCAACTCGGACATCTACCTATTATATAATATTACTTGAAAGGCACTTATTGTAAACCTATAAGTTTTATATTTTTATTATAATGTAACTAATAACGAAAAACCTTAGCTTTTATGGCTTTCACAGTTTTACAAAAAAACCATTAGTTTTAGAAGTTTTGCAAGACTTCCAATAAATGCCAAAACACTTTTAAGTTTATGGTATTCCATCCCAATCATGTTTCATTAGCTAAGTGTTTTTAAAAAAGATGTTATAAGGTCCTTGAAATCCTTATTAAAACACTTTTACTATTGGGATTTTATAGCTTACTTCGTAAAACCCTTATAAATCTTAAAGCACCGAATAAATTAAGTGAAACCTACACTTCCACGCGCTTGGAACGACCGCTAAAGAAGTTGTTTTCTCCATTTTTGTTTTGAACAATTTTAAAATGCATGTGTAGTTTAATTCTAAACTTTATCTAAATATTTTTAAAAAAACTAAGCACACTTCTTAATATATAACAACTAAAATGTGAGGTTATGATATTTGAAATTTGTTTTCAATTGATTTCTCGTAACTTTTAGTTTTGCAGCGGTGGCAGCTTTTTCAGCAACTTGTACAACTACCGACCTAAAGGTATGGTTTCACTTGTGCATCTGGCAGTTGTGTTTTCACTTATGCGTTCAGACTTAGAAACTTGGCAGTCCTGTGCTGTATATCAAAGAGTAAATAAACGCTTGTTAGTTGCTTTTTTATTGGAAGAGGAGGAGGAGGACGAAGAATATTTGACATCATTGAAGAAAAAACATCAGAAAACAGAATAATTTTAAAAAACGAACCAGACTAAACGTTAGTCAGTTTCAGTTATACCGCACTGCGCAAGTCAATTAAGTTCCAGTCGCGTGTTGCCTATATCGATTTTGTTCGTCGTGCTGAGCATGGTCCTACAAATTTCTTGTCATTTATTCAGAGTAAGAAGGCAGATTCGCGGATCGCAGCCACGGTGTTCTATTCTAAACAGCCATGCCATAGGCCTAGTATGGTTGTCGTAGCTTTTGCAAAGCACTTTGGTAGAGTTAATACGATATCCCAGCCATATCCATGTTCATCTTCAACAGTGTCCTTTAATTCCGATCTAGTCAAATTAGCCAACCCCGGATGTCTTATCATCAAGCAAAGCACTCAAAAACCAAATGACTGCCGGTCCTGACGGCATATAAAGATTTGTCTTGAGAGATTGTTCCCACGCATTTTATGATCCTTTGCATCACATTTTTAACCTGGTACTTGAAGCGGGTGTTTATCCAAAATTGCCAAAGTTCATCTCATTCTCAAAAAAAGGGATTCTTTCGTTTTTGAATATTACCGACCAATTTCGCTCTTATACAGTTTTCTAAAAATATTAGAAACTATATTACATAATTTTTTTTTGATCAAATTCGAAATAAACTCCCTACGCAACAATATAGTTTTTATGTGAAAAGATCATGCATCACCAACTTATGTTCCATGTCTTCTTATGTCTGTGACTCCCTGAACAAGCAAGGTCAAGTTGATGTTATATACAAGGACTTCCACAATGCGTTTGACTAGATGAATCATCACTTACTTATTGAAAAAGCGGCTCAAAAATTTGGTTTTTCCGATTAGCTGATTTCAGTTTTGAGGTTCATTCTGGCGAACCGTCGACAGTTCGTTGAGATTGGGTGCTTTAGATCAGTTCCTTTTGTTCTACCTTCTAAGGTTCTAACTTTGGACCACTTCTGTTCAATATATTTATAGAAGACCTCATATCTTTAATCATCTGCGTCAAGCTTGCCTATGCAAATCACTTTACGTTACGTTAGGTCCAAGCTTCTGAGCACACGGAGAGACTTGTAATCTGTGTCATTCCTCTACAAGTTAGTTCATTACAGAATCGATTGTCTGTTTCTTTTGAAACAATTACATTTTCATGTGTCGCGGCTGGAAGGAAGACATCAATCAACTTTCTGGCCGCAGTTACTCAGATCCAATATCAATTTTCCAAACCCTATTTGCAATATGTGTGTTACCTTCAACCAACTATCATTGCACTCTGATGGTCTCCAGGCGAGCTTAGACAACTTCGTAATTGAAGTGGTATTATTATCTTTAAGAGAATAATTATTAAACTTCATAACCTCAAAAATATCGAGGCTTTCCTCTACATCAGTCAAATTGCTATTGGAATAATAAGTTTTATAATACTCTTTATGTTTCCTAGTAGCTGTATAAGCTAGAAAACCCCAGTTTTATAATAAGAATTTTAAGAACGCTATAAAAAAATCTGAAGTAGCCAACACCAAAATAAAGTGACGGAAACGCCTTGGATGCAATATTATAAAATTTCAAGTATTTTGGTATTTATTGGATGTCTTACAAAAAAACTTGTTATAAAAGTTAAGCTTTCATATAAAATAAAACCTTAAGTTGCGAAAAATATTAACTGAGTTAGCCATTTTTTGGATTTCATTGGATTAGGTTTTTCGGTGAGTGGAATAAACAAATATAATGTATTAGCAGGAACCATTTTTAATTAATTTGATATAACTTCCGGCATTGTACAGGGTGACCTGTTTACTATGGGATGATCTCCAAGAAAATATCAATAAAACTTAGAGACAAAAGTTATTTGTATTCACTTATTCACTTTTAAAATATTATATTGGTATATATACAGGATGTTTGTATTTTGGTATACAAGTAACAACCGACATGTTTTGAATTTTATGTCAAAACTGACTTTTGCCGGTCGAAATATATCCTCTCCGACTAAAAGCATTTGTTATACAGTGAACGCCTAAAATATGGAACAAATTAATTTAAAACTCAGATATTGAATTTCAACAAGAATAATTTTTTTTGCGCAATTTTTGCAGTACATAGACAATATTCAGGGTGAATCAAAAAATAGATGAAGTTTTTCGAATTCTGTGTCAAATTTGACTCGTAATTCATGTAGCATACCTTATCCCTATCTGCCACTTTTTACGAGCAAAAAAATAAAAAAACAAATTTAGTTTTGAAATGAACAAGTATAATACCAGTAAAGTTTTTAAATTGGATTGGATTCATATTATAATTTTAATTGGATGTGAAGACAAAACAAAAACTCTAGAAGAAATTTGTAATATATTTAAGGCAAAAAAATCCTGAAAGATCCATTACGAGATCCGCAGTGAGTAAAATTGAGAAAAAAATTATAGAAATAGGGCATGCATAAGATCGTCTACGGTCAGGTCGTCCAAAAACTAAAGAGAACACAAGATTAAATATTTTATCCCCATCATGTATCTTCCGAATTAGCTTGAAATAATGGTATTAATTAATGAACAGCTTTGCCTGTATTAAAAGAAGATTTCATTACTACAGGAACTGGACGCGGATGATCCCGACCACAACAAATGTGCAACTTTAAGCCATTTTTCCGTCGTCAGATACTGCTTAGTGATGAAACCTTGTTTTGTTGAAACCCCAAAAAAATCAGGAGTAATATTTTGGAACGGTTTTTAAACCCATTGATATATTGGCAACAAGTTCACGGTGGACATTTTCAACACCTAATAATGTTATTTTTTTGATGATTGTAATGGGTCTTTCGGGATATTTTGCGTTAAACGATTACAAACTTCTTCTTGAGTTCTGGGCAAGGCTACAATACCGGGATTCTGGGATCCTGAATACCGGAATTCCGAATGATTTTTGTCCGTTTTTAAAAATCAGTATTTATGTAAAAATACCAGTATTTTGGTATTACATTAGTTGATAAAAATTGAATTTATGCACAATATAAATCTAATTTAAAATAATATTAATTATTTTTTTAAACAATCAATTTCATGGTATTAAAATCTATATTGGGTACATTTATTACACATACCGGCACCATCGAGAATCGACGGTGTCGGCAATATAAAGTGATTGTTTATGTTTTTGTTTATAGGTCTCGTTGATACAAATACATAGAGGGCATAACGCAAAAATTATTAAATAGTTTAGATTAGATTGTTTAATTTTGCAAATCAGCTGTAGTGTTTACAAGTAAAAATTATATTTGATATTTTCAATTTTATTTTTCATTACGTTTTCTAGTTTTATTTCTAGCAATTGAAAATTATATAGCGGTATTTAAATACTGTTTAATCTATGTTGCTAAATGTAAAAAGTAAGCAAAAGAAATAAAGTGTACAGGATGATCCACAAGTAGCCTTCATTCTCACTTAAAAACGATACATGGACTAAATCTTAAAAAGAAATTGGAATCTCCACATGATGTCCAATCAAGTGTTTCTAAGAGCCGAAATTGTTAATAACAAATTATTTTAAAAATAATAAAAACGACAAACTTTCAGAAGTGCTTCCCGAATGATAGCGCGCGATGGTTTGTTTTTTAATATTTTTTTAAAATCGTAGACATAAGAGAAGGCTTTAAGGCAAGATGATTCAAACACTTACCAAAATCTGCAGTCACTATTAAAAATATGGTACTTGATTGTAGTAAAATTATTAAACAGTCTACAGTGCATGAAATTTCTAGACTGACATCTGAAGGTAAAGTTTTCAGTATCACATTTGACGAATGGACATCTATTCACAATCGGCGCTACATATACATTAATGCACATTGTGTTGAGGACGAACAATGTGGAATATCGGATTAGTGCGCACTTACGGATCCCTTGTAGAAGAAACATTGCAAGATTTTAATTTATATATATCTAAAGACATAGTTGGAGTAACTGCTGACTGTGAATCGGTTATGGTAAAATTTGGAAAATTATAGAAGCCAAACATCAATAAATTTTGCAATTACTGATGTTTTGTATACGTCAACTTTGAACCCGAGTGCGGATATTGATATTGTCGAGCAAAATTATAATGATGATGTTAAAGATGTTGATGATAACGACGATATACAGTAATTATTATAAAGTTAGATGCTAGTATTACTACTTGTAATATAAATATTAGACATATGGGTTATTATCTCTAGTTTCAAAAATTCGGAAAGTAGTGAAAACATTTAACAAAAGTACGTGGGAGAACAATTTTTTTATTCCAAAAGCGCTTATTGACAGTTGTTCCGATATTAATTTTTCTGACTAAGAATTTAATTTATTATCTTCAATTATTGCTGCTCTTACTCCTGTAAAATGAACATTTATGTTAGATAATCTTTCCCAGCAAAAATCTGCAATTGCATTATAATTATTGGAAGTATTAAAATCTCGAATACTTCACTTTTGCAAAAGATCTCACAAGATGTAGGCGAAGTAATTAAACGCGTATCCAAATTTACAATCATTTAAAAAATTGTAAGCCTTACTAAACGGCTCACACATGAAAATCTAGAAGATACAGAAGATATGGAAGTTGTGCAAGGAACATCCCTTCCAATATCTTCCCAAATTAGTAATGAAACAGTATTAGAATCTAACAAGGTATACGTAAACGCATTAAAGAAAAAACAACACCAATCGCTGAAACACTTAATACTTCACCCATGCCTGCGTTTAAAAAAATTCTAGATCTGGAGCAAAAAATAAACGATGAAATTACTTTCTTTGGAAAAAACAGGAACGAAAGGAACGTATTTACAAAACATGTATGATGACAATGACAATAGTGCCGACAAGTGTAGAATCAGAAAGAGCTTTTTCGGCGGCTGGTTATATTTGTACGAAAATTCGATCCTCGCTTGATGATTAAACGATTGATTGTTTATGTTTTTTAAGAGCATTCTTTAATAAACAAAACCCACGTTATTAATATTACTTCATAAATACTTTCAATTTAATTATATTTTTTGCTTCTTTAATTTTATAATGCCATATTATATGTAAAATGTAACATAGAATTTAATATGTACTTTTTTACTTGCACTTTTTTTGTATCTATCTACTCCTACTCTCTATGTAATAAAATAAATAATATCTACTCATTTCAGAACAATATTTATTGAATTTCATATATTATTTGTTAACAAGTCAATATAAGAACTGAAATAAGTAAAAATATAACTAATAAATTTTTTATTGACAATACCGGTTTTAATACCGGTATCCGGATATTTCAAATTTCAAATATTAAAAATCGGTATTCAGATTTTAGTTCGATATTGTAAGCCCTAGGTCTGGGTTTGCCTCCATACCCAATATTTGGCTCGCAATTTTAAATTATTAAAAAGAACTTGGTATCTACTTTTTGACCCACCCCGTATATTTTCTATTTATTGCAAAGAATGCCGAATTAAATTTAAATTAATTAAATTATGATGAATGTGTGCGAGCATTTTTGTTGAACTCCAATACCTGACTTTTAAATAAATTTGTCGTATATTTTAGCCGTTCATTCTCAAATGATTGTTTTTTTTTTCAGTCATATTTTGCCATTATTTTTATGGTCAATTGACAGTAACCGCGCAGCATTTTTACAATTATTGATAATTGTTCGAAATTTACAACTTTTTGGAATAGAGTACTTTTTTTCATTCCAATTTTTAATGTTACTTTTTGACCACCCTGTATAAATTTATTTTTAAAACTTTTTTTGCTATTTTTTTGCAGATTCTGGGGCAAGGTATCATCCCACAATAAACCCGCCACCCCGTACCACTTTATATAGAATGTCTGGTCAAAAGACAGCATTGCAAAGTAAAAAGGAAATATTTAAAATTTCTGATTTTCTTATTGTAAATAGTTCTAAAAGCAATACCTACGCAGGTGACTCTTTTGAAAGAGAAACTGATGGAAGTGGAACTTCACATTCAGCAAGGACTTTCTCGCATCAAATGGTCATCATTGAGCGTCGGAGAATACGCTACTGAATGCGAGATGCGCATAACCTCCGTGGCCACCCTTTTGGAGCATATCGAGCATATAGAGAACGACCTGCGCGGAAGAGTACGCTCCCTAGCGAGAACAAATTTATTCGATTATGTCCCTGCAGATAAAAACCCTAATCGACTGCCATGCAAAGAGTTCTTTAGCGTTATGCAATCTGGCCGAACGCAGAAAGTATCGGACATGTTGAAAACTTACGAATCGTTGACTCCGATCTTAATAAAACTCGAGGCTTTAGTGCTGAACACCAATACCGGTAATCATCCTCGAATGGTGCCGTACTATTCATTTTGGGAGGTGAGCTAATACTTTTAGGAGTTTGGGATATGGGTTATGAGGAAATTGAAAAAAAAATCAATTAAATCGGCTAAGAAAAAATGCTGGGCATTATTTTCGAGTTTCTGAAATGATTTAAAAGCTCAGATTATAAAAAAATGTAAAATGTAAAATTATTATTCCAAAGTTGACACAAATTCAAATAATTTTTGTTTAATGCTGTTTACCCTATCTCTGAAAGGAAAGTAGTGGGGGTTTCAATAAATGGCCATATCTATAAAAAGTCTTAAATTTGAAGTTACTATCAATCATGAGTGACTCTATTTTCCAGAAAAATAATAAGATAGTCAAATAAGAACCTAATAAGAACCGCATATCAATATCTTTACCCTAACTTAAAACAAAAAAAAAAAAAAAGCTCAAAAAAACTTGGATTATGGTGCGTTTTTATTAATGTCTAATTATCTTGAAATTTTCAAACTGATATTTAAAATCAAAACAAAATGTTATTATTCATTTTTATTACTTTTTTCACAATACCTTTGAAGGGCACCAAATTATACCGTGGTTAACATTACATTTTAACATGCTTAGCCGTTTTCAAATATTTAGTATTACGATTTATTTTCTCATTAAATATTAGTTTTAATCACAAAATTGCCACCTGGCGACGTAGGCATGCGCAATCGCGTCTCACGGCAAAAATGATACTCCAGGTTTCCTAAAATGCGTTGTCTTTTTAATGATTCAGAAACATTCAGAATGTCCTATAGAAAAATTATTTTTTGGATTGAACACTAATAATCTATTAGTTTTAGAAATGTTACACTTCAGTCATTAAATTCTTCGCAAAAAGTTGATTTGGAAATGTTTCCATAGAAAAACTAAGTTTTTCATTAAAAACAAGTTGCAGCGATTTTTTTAAAATGCGGATTTATTATTATTATTTAAATATCGATATTTATTTGCCGAGAGTATTATGCGGCGTTATTTTCGTCACAGCTTGAAGTTTATAAAGCGTTGATCTCAATGACACTGACGAATCTCGAATCGTTCGTGGCCAAATTCGAAACCAAAGAGCTGCTGTTTCAAATTGACGCAGTCGTCGTCACGCCGGAAATTCTTCTGCGGCCCACCGCCGCTGAAATATACAACGCGATCACTCGCACTGCTCATGACTTCCTCGATAGACTTGCTGCGTTCCCGAGATGGATGCAGGAGACCTGCTTGCCTTGTCGTCCAGTGATGCACTCCAAAAAGGAGGAGTTCCTATACTCGTTCTACGACGAGGTGCTAAAGGTGCCTGACGTGACGGAAGCAGTGCAGAAATTACAGGAGGTGGGCCACAGGTAATAATTAATAATATAGTGACCTAACGTGGCAATAATCTTCCAAGAATGCATTGAAATTTCACCAACTAATCTACCTTTTGCGCCATTTTGTTTCTAAACAGCTACATCCAGACGCTTAACTCTGATTCCCCTAAACGGAAACTTGTTGAAATGACGACCTGTCAGTGGCCATATTGGTTGTTGAGTGGCGCTGAGTCTATTGGTTGAAAACAAGATTACAAATGTCAATTTTTTTTCATTGTCGTGTAAAAAATTCTTGTATTGTAAGCACAGGCAGGGCTTCTATACCTTTAGTAGCTATATCGGTTAGGCAAAGTTACATTTACTGCGCAGTAGATGGCCCAGGTCGTATACAAGTTTCCCTAAACTCCATGGCATATTAGAACAGAACGGATACAATTTTTGAAAGAAACTTCCGCGGGCTATTGTAATATTATTTACAAAACTTGTGGATTCTTCCTGCGTCGGTTGTTATTGAGTCGAACTTATTAACGTTTCGCCAAACATCCTGTTGACTTCTTCAGAATTCAACTGAAACTGAACTAAAGCTGAAACGTTAGCTATTTCGACTTAAATGATCTTTTAGATAATGTGGCGACGCATTTATTTTTAAAATAATTCTTCATTTTTAAATTGTTTTAAATAAAAATCTAAAATTTTGTTTATCACTTGTCAATAGGTTGCTGTACCATTATGACATGAAAGTTAAAGTATCGTATATAGGTGATGTGATTTTGATAATACAAGAAGTTACGAAGAAACTATGAACAATTTTTTGAGTTCTATTCAACGTGCCTATGCGTAAGATTGAAACTCGTTTTTAACCAATAACACACGTAATTGCTAACTCTGGTTTTCGACCAATAAGACCTTGGGCATCTAACAGCCAATATAACCATTGATGGATTGTTAATAAGTTTGGCTGCCGCATTTTTATGAAAAAAAAACACAGTTCTCGGGTTTCTCAAAGATCCCATTATTTATTTTTAATTTCGTGAAAGAGCAAAGTATTAAAGGCAAAAATTATACAAGTTTAACAGTGGAAATCTTTTTACTTACCTTGTATATAAGGAAACACGACACATTCTTTTCGTTACAGTTTTGAGCGCAAACAAAAGTTTCTCAATATGTGGGCATTTTTAGCAAAAATACCCAAAAAAGATATTCATCAAACATCAGAAATGAAACGACAATCGCATAGACTGCTAGCATGCCGTGGCAATAGCAATAAATAGACTGGGCGTTGCCAAATAATGTCCGGATTTCAGAGAATGATATTGTGTTTTTATACGTGATTCTAGTTTTTTTTTATAACTCAAAAATGGTTTCCATATAGGTATGGTATATCATAATACTTTTAGTTCAAGAAAGAATCGTTTGTTTATTATGGCAATAAAATACAGGAAGATCGATATAAAAATGTGCCTAATGCGAATAATAAAATCCTAATAAATAATTGTTTTCTTCAATATAACTTAAGGGAAAATTTATATTACATAGACAGTTGTAGAATTTTTTGTAGAATAGAAAAATGCGATGTCCCAAATATTTGAAATCATATTTGGATCATTGTCTCCCATGGTTGCAACCTAATTTTTGACCATTCTCCATATCGTCATTTTACTTTCAAAACCTCGTCTGTTTTTTTCTAAAACGAGATTGGAGCGAAATTTAGTCCTACATTTCCCAATAGTACCTTCAACGCCTCCGTAAACTATATCGTCACTCATTTTTTTTAAACATGTTACTGGCACGGACAAAATACCCCAACTTTCACATGCTCAATTACCTATAAAAAAAATTGAAGTACAAGCAACTCCCAGATCTAAGGCAGGTAATTATCCAAGAGTTTCATCTTTTTAAATATTGTTCATTTAAACAATATTATTTTATTGCTCTCTACGTGTATGAATTATTTTATATTAAAGCCTTTGCCTAGCAAAAACTCTTTTTCCTTTCTTGCTTTTCTTAAAAAAATAAAATAAAATTGTAAACAAAACTTAAATATTTTAACGACTATGTTGCAAAGTTCTTTTAGTCTACTGCAAAATTTTCTCTGACAGACTTGCTAGCTTTTAACAGTAAAAAAAACGATATACGTTTAATCGGATTTCGAGTTTGGAGAACCCTGCATACGTGTTATTGTTGCTCGGTCCATGGCAACTTTAATTGACGTATGTTTGATTCTTAAGGAAATGCCCCTTTTGCAGGAATATTATCGAATTGTATGGTATTTAAACGCAGGTGTGTAGCTAACGCGCGTCGCGCCCTCTTCAAGTGGAGACGTTACCGTATGTTGTGGTCATTCGAGAAGACATCCACGTGTGAGAAGTTTATGGCACAAGGCGCGACGCTGGAGATGTACGACGAGAAATTCATGTTTTACCGAGATGTGAAGGAAAGCGTCGTCGGGTTCGCGGATTTTATTGACGTCGATGGCATTAGGTGAGTATTATGAGATTTCATATACTTCTGTAGATGCATATATAAGAAATTAATAGTCGCACTCTCATTAAAACACATCTGCCGATAATACCCAATCATCTTCATTAAGATCGACCTCCATTTCTGGAGGTTAGATCTATGGTCCGACTGGATTGCGATTAGAGAATATTACTGCCTTTAAGTTTCCATTTTTTTGCCATTGTAATAATGTACCTCCAAGACCTCGGCTAGAGCGTCTGTATGTAGTTTCGTTTGAAACTGCATAGCAAGAATGGGGGTTTTTGTTCTTCTTCTTCAAGTTCCCTCTCCGTTAGGACGGTTGGTAATCATCAAAGCTATGCGTATTTTCGAGACTGCTGTTCTGAACAGATTGGTACTGGTGGTGCTGAACCATTCGCCCAGATTTCTTGACCAGGAATGTGTTCTCTTTTCTACTGATCTTCTTCCACTTATTTGTATAGCATATATGACAGTTTCCACTTTTTAATAGTCATCACAACTTCCCTCTCGTTTTTCATTCGTCTTAGCACCTCAGCAGGTTATTCTTTTAACCCATGAAATTCGTAATCTGTGATTTCATGCTATAGTTCAGCACTGACAAAATTTGGTTTTATGGGCTTTTAGTGACAGTCCTCACTTAGGTTAGTGATACTCCTCTCTAACTGCAGCGACCGCATTAATTAGCGCCCGTAGGTCTTGTAGTGTTACGGCTATCAGCACCGTATCATCCTCATAACTTATATTATATATTTTAATTCCATATTTTGTTGGGCAATGCTTTATTCATGACGTCTTCTGAATACATACTAAAAGGATGCGTTTTATTTAAATTAAATAAATAGGAAAAACCTCGTTAAACACTTATTTATTCGAAAAAAAAGGCGTGAAAATATTCTTCGAGCAAGCTTTGTGATAATGGCCCACAACTGTGTAACAATCCTTTCGTTGTTCCTACCTTTAGATGACAGCGTATTGTATGGTCGCCAATGTTTTAACTCTGTTATCGGTATATTTACCCAGTGGCGCAGTTATGTTTCACATGCAGAGAATACCCTGTATATTAATATCTCTAAAATATCACACGGATCCATGGAACTTATTAAAAATGCAAAGCCCCATAACCACCGCTAATATTCAAGGTGTGAACTTCGGTTACCCGATTTCCAGTAGGGTACAGACAAAAACACTGGTTAAAATATCCTATATAACGTGTAATAAAAACTGTTAACACTTGATCCCTCTAAAGAACTCTCAATCTCAGCACTAGGTTCTAACGGCAATCAATAGCCATGAGTTCGTTAGATTAGTGTTCCTACTATCGTGTAATCAAAATAGGGCACGGGCATGACTTAAACAGGTATCATGTTTTAATACCGACTTCTTTTTTTTCGCCGATGTATTTATCCTCTGCAGCCTTCGAATTCGCCCTAGAAAACTGATGGAGGATGGCTTTATTTTTTTCGTGGAAATAGTAAGCCAGATTCATTTTTCTTTTAGAATTTAGGTTAAATGTTTGATTATTTTTGGTTAATGTATTGCTGAATATTTTTGCAAACATTATTGAATATCTGACAACAGGTTTTAATTAATTTTAATTGAGTTTTAGACCATGCAGAACCTTTTGATAAAGAATAACATTCTTTCACTAAACTAGGAACAAAAAAATTTTAAACATGGTGCCTACTTACTGCATACAAACTGAAGAATCCTGAGGCTAACATATAAAGCTTTAGCCCTTATTTATTAAAGTTTTATTAACAATTTTTTTTTGCCTAGTACTATTTGACGTAGCCTTGTCATACTTAACGACGACGTATCTCTCTTATTAATAAAGTAAGCAGCTTTCTTGACCCGATGCTATTTTTTCATAAAATGAAAGGTACGGGGTGATTTTGAAAATGTTCTATTTTTAGTTCACTTATGCGTCAACTTTTTAAAAATTTTCTTCTGAAATTTTTATATACAATCTAAAATTTTTGTTTGACTCCGTTATTAGCTTGTTAGAAATATATAACACGTAAGACCTATTTTAAGTAAAAAGCATAAATCTTAAATTTTTGTTATGTGTATACCATGAAAAATTAAAAAAAAAATCCATAAATTTTAATATTATATTATTAGTTATAATATAAACTTGTGTGCAATATAATTAATAATAGTCGCCTACTATATCTAATTTCTCATACTGTCATATTTTGGGTTAACGTGATATCAGAAGGAAAAGGAGGAAGGAGTAATTGGAATAATGATTACGAAGTGACTGTTTGACAGCTAAAGTATGTTAGGAAAATGGGCTCCTATTGGGTAGGTTTTACCTTAAATTTAATTAAGAAAAACTATAGAATTAGTTTAATTAAGAACTATGCAGAAAGTGTGTTTTTATAAGAGTAATACTGGATTACTATTTTATTGCCCTCTTCTCATTTTTAAGATAAAAATAAAAGCATTATTTTTCGGCCATATTTGTAGCTTGATATCGCGCAATAACTTGAGCCAACGTTTATATAACGAATTATCCTTCATTACCCTTAAAATTTTCGCATTTGTTTTGAGCCTCCCTGTACATGTTACGTGCCTTGAAGTACCTTGGAAGAGTGGAGAAAAACATGGACAATGCCTAGGGCGGCAACCAAAGTGAAATTTTCTACGTACCATTTGCTAGCGCTCTAATGAAATTTCGCGTAGAACAATAATTATCTATATTTTAACCGTTTTATAAATAAAATATAAAAATCTGAAATTTTGTTTACGGCGTGCCGTTGGGATGCTGTATCATATTGTGATACGAGATTTAAGTTATCACATACAGGATGTTTACAAAACATAAAAAAATTAAGAATTTTTCATAAAAACCAAAAATATAATAATATTCATTTAAAAAAAATTATTTGCAGTATTTTTTAAAAATCGGGATCCACCGCTGCTATCCATTCTCCAATTAATTCAAATATGTATCGAAGTTGATTCAACCCTGTAAAAGTCCGAAGATAAACAAAATTGCGTCCTTATTCATTAGCATTCTCAAGACTGAGGGACTTTGTACCATTATTATTTGAACACCCTGTATGAGAAGAATGACATACTGCATTTCACCATATTTCTTGTTTATTATTATTAGGATAAACATGAGACCGCTGCTAGACGCCGTAGCGCGTCATTGCCAAGAATGGAAGGACACTCTCGGTCATCTACTGGACGCGGACACGTTCCAAAAAATGCTAGACATGAAAAAAACCATAGACGATTTGCGCTTCGCCGTTCGTCAAAATATCAAAGGCCTGGATCGTTTCAAGTCGATAATGCTAGCGATAGCCAACGTAAGGAGGCGAAATATTCAATCCGAACTGGATTACCTACGCTTCCAGGAGATTTACTCGATGCTGCGCCAGCACGATATACCTTTCGATCCCGCTCATGAACACATGGCCCATTCTTTGGAACGCGACTGGAAGTCGTTAATGATGTCCGGTCTGTATAGGGAGCAAACTTTGGAAACCACGAAAGAACGTTTCGCCGGTGTCACATTGAACGAAATCAACGAATTTTGCGAGGTACTTAAGGAGTTTGTGGACAGGTTCGTCAGCGAAGGCCCCGGAGCGGTGGGGGATGATTTGGACCGAGGACTGTTACTTATGGACGATTTTCGGATCGAATTCGAGAAGTTGGAAACGAAGCGGACGGAGTTGGTCGAAGCGGAGGCACTGTTCGACGTTCCACTTCCCGATTACGCCGACTATTTGAACGCGAAGGATGCGTTTGACGGGATGGACGTCTTGTACAAGGTAGACATTTTAAAACTTCGTATCTCAAATAATCGTTGAAATAATTTAAAAAAATATCCTAAGAAATCTTAAGGATCGATTCATTTTGGAAAAAAAAAGATTTTTGTTGTATGAAAGTGACTAAAGTGACAAATTCAACAAACATTATTTATATAGAATTCTAGGAACAAATATGTCATATATTTTGTATACTGAACTTTGGTGGTACCGTCTTCAATGGAAATGGAGAAGCGAGGAACGGCGACAGCCGTAGAAAACTTCCCATATATCAGGTGTGTCGCGTCACCAAAACTACCCGTTTCAGCAACACGTCGATTCGTTAAAATAAAAGGCAGTATTTTTACACACAACCCTTTAATTCAGTAAACTCACCAAATTAGTAAAAAAACAAGTAACGTAAAAAAGTATGTACAATAACAAAGATAGATAATTAGTGATAAGTTATAAATTCTACAAGCAAAGCCCCGAATTCGTAAAAAAGAACCTGTCGGAAAAAATTGGCTCTCGATGCCTGCCAAATCCTTAACGATACTAAAATCCTAAAATTCAGTTTTCTAAAAAGTAAAACACATCTGTTTAACTCAATACCTACTTCAAAAGCCACTTGAACCATGCCCTAGGAGGAACCCTTGTCTTAGGTCATAAATTAATAGACAAGTGTTCGCAAGGCCGATCGTTACCATTAGTAAAAATCATAATAGGAATAGGATTAGGAATAGGATTGAGAAAAAACATATAAATATTGGCTCTAACAAGGTGTCTCAGTAAGCGCAAGGCAGGTATTAGGGAAACGGGTGGTGCTAGAAATTTGATAAAAAAAGAAGTAAATTAGCTAAGAAAAAAATGCTGGAAATTATTTTCGAGGTTCTGAAATGGCCACCAGTTGGCGTAATAATTATGATCTTGAATTTTAAAAATATGTTTCTACAAAAAATTTGAATGTTAATCATATTTGATGTGAGTACTGCTTTATAGCTCAGCTGTTAATTTTTTTGCTCTATCTCTGTAAGGAAAGTGGTGAAGGATGTGAATATTTTCTTAAATTGTCGATATCTCCAAAAAAGCTTAACGCATCTTAATAAATTTTGAGTGGTTAAAAGGGGCTTTATCCTAGGCTGTCAATCGTGCTATGAGTGACGTTATGGCCATTGGTTACGTTGGCACCAGGTGGCGTTTTATAATATTATGGCAAAAAAAAAATTCTAACAAAAAATGAATGCAATCATATGACTTGTTTACGCCATTAGGTAGTCAAATAAAGCCCGCCCATTAACCCAGTGAAAACCTTATATCCTATCCCGTATTCAATTAATTCAAAAATTCAATGAAACGTTTTATTAATTGCGTTCATAATTTTTTACAGTTTACTACTTAAATAAACGCCAATAGTTAATAAAACTAGTTGGTCACTAACAACTGATTTGTGACCGAGTTAGTGATTAGAAATAAATTTTTCATAAATAATAACATTTTATTATGATTTGTGGTTTTATTTGTTAAATTCGAGGTAGTTACGCATTAACAACAATCCGTAAGGGGAAATTTTTCCCAACTTTTTTTGAGCGTTAAATACTTTTGTTACGTTACGATAAAGATATTGAGAACCGGTTTCCATCGGACTGTTGACCAATTATTTGACCCTCTAACGACATAAAAAAGTATTTTTCGAGTAAATTTTTTTTTCCGATTATGTTAGAAGGAACACCACCTGACGGCAAAGTAAGCATTCACAATTCTCATAACCCCTTTATTAAAATGCCTTAAGTATTTCCCATAAAAACAGATTGAAAAATGCGTTCGGAAAAAATCGTGCTCCAATATAATTCCAATTGGCAATAGCTGGTCACAGCTGTTGCATTTTTGCACCCCGTATATGCCCAAATTTAAATTTGAATCAAATTTTTCAACAATTTTACAATTACAATTACAATTTTTAAAAAAAATATGAAAAGCAAAATGGGATACGTTTTTATTATTTTTCGTTTAGAAAATACCAAATTTTTTAAACCTCCTTTTTTTAGAAAAAATCAAGTCTCACGAGTGGCGGTGCAGATTATTTTAATTTCTGAAATAGTCTTAAACCCCCCAAAAGTAAATTTTCATATCTGAATAAAAAACCTCTTTATTAAATGTGCATTTTTCAATCGATTGTCTATTTTACCACATCTGTTGTAACTACATAAAGATATTTAAACATATTTTCTACTTTCTTCTGTAAAATGCGTAATTATGCACAAACGTAGTGTCGGAAAGCGGAAAGCGTCACTTTACCACTGGGTTTCTTTTCCTACGGATCCGAGCCACTTCCGACATTTCTGGGATACTTTTTCGTACGGCTCCCACGTTTTCGGAGATTTTCCAACACGGCTTGAATTTTGACGTTTGTCAATTCTGACTTTCAAGTCAGTGAAGGTATTCGTATTCGGTTCGTATTGGTAAACTTATTAAGTCACTCGCTGCGCTCCGCTCGTGCTAATTAAACTCGCGACTTACTTTTTACCGCACTTGTTGCATAATATACTCTCGGTAATAATCGGCGATATCGGATTAAAATCCGTATTTTATAGGAATACTTCATGAAAACCAAGGCAGCATATTACCATTGCATTTTTTGACATGTACGTTAACCTCATTGTAGGTTTACAAAACTCAAAAGCACGCTAGGGAGTTATGGGGAAAAACTCTGTGGGCCAACTTGAATCCGCAAGCTCTATTGGGAGGAATCGATGGCTTCCTAAAGGACTTCCGAACTATACCGAAGGAGATTCGTTCGATGCCCGTTGGTCTAACGCTGGAATTGAAAATGAAACAGTTTCGCAACGCAGTGCCGCTGATGGTCGCTTTGAAGAACGAAGCTCTCAGAGATCGACACTGGAAACTACTTATGGAAAAGACGGGCATAACTTTCGACTTAGCCCCAGAGCGGTTCACGCTGGATAACATGTTCGCTATGGAATTGCACCGTTTCCGAGACATCGCCGAGGCGATCATCAGCACCGCGGTGAAGGAGTTGGCGATCGAGCGGAGCGTGACGGAGATCATTGACAGTTGGAAGACGATCTCGTTCATGATTTATAAACACACGAAAAGCAACGAAGATCGCGGATTCGTCCTCGGTCCCACCGACGAGATCATGCAGATCCTGGAGGACCATTCGATGAACCTCCAGAATATGGCGGGGTCGCAGTATGTTGGTCCGTTCTTGCCGCAGGTGCAGCGTTGGGAGAAGACGTTGACGCTCATCGCCGAAGTGATCGACGAATGGTCGGTGACATTCATTGAACTTCTTGATCTATTTAGACCATTGCAGGTTATCGGTGCAACGCAGATGGTTATACCTGGAAGGTATATTTATCGGCGGCGACATTCGCGCCCAGTTGCAGGAAGAAGCCAAAAAATTCGACGACATTGACAAGGCGTTCAGACGCATGATGCTCGAAACTGTCAAGAGACCGGTCGTCTTGGAATGTTGTACAGTAGCCGGCCGCTTGGAAGAGTTGCAAGGGCTCGGGTCGGGCTTGGACCGGTGTCAAAAGTCACTGAACGAGTACCTGGACTCGAAACGGCGGCGATTTCCTCGATTTTATTTCATATCCACCGAGGAGCTGTTATCGGTTCTAGGCAGCGGCAGCCACCTGGTGATCCAGGAACATATGATCAAAATGTTCGACAACATCAAATCCCTACGTTTCGCCGCCGATACCAGCGACAGAGTGATCGCGTCCGCGATGATATCCAGCGAAGGTGAGGTGATGGAGTTTCGAAGTGTGGTCTACATAGAGGGTAGGGTGGAGGACTGGATGAACGACGTTCTCAAAGAAATGAGACGTTCGAACCGGTTCATAACCAAGAGCGCCATTTTTTATTACGGGAAAGTGAGACGGCCGCGGCCGCTGTGGATGATGGAGTACCAGGGGATGGTGTGTTTGGCTGGCAGTCAAGTGTGGTGGACCGCCGAAGTCGAAGACGTATTCGTCAAAATCAAAAAGGGCAACAAACGGGCGATGAAAGAGTATCTGCAGCAGCTTAATGCCCAGCTGGACGAGATCGTGATCACGGTGCGGGCCGAATTGAGTGCCAACGATCGATCGAAGTTTCGCACGGTTGCGATCGTGGAAGTTCACGCGAGGGACATCGTGGAGAAATTCGTGCGCGACAGCGTCGCCGACGCCCGCGAATTCGAGTGGGAGAGTCAGCTGCGATTTTATTGGACGAACAGCAAGGACAACTTGTGGGTGGCGCAGTGCACGGGCTCTTTCGAGTACGGTTACGAATACATGGGTCTAAACGGGAGACTGGTGATCACACCGCTGACCGATAGGATCTACTTGACGCTGACACAGGCACTGATGATGTATATGGGCGGCGCGCCGGCAGGACCAGCCGGCACCGGTAAAACCGAGACGGTCAAAGATTTAGCCAAGGCGCTGGCCTTGCTCTGCATAGTGACAAATTGCGGCGAAGGTAAGTACTTTTTGAAGGTTACGAATAAAGTCGAAACCGATAATATGGCTAATATAAAATACGGATTAGGCACACTAGCAAAATATCCAAAACTAACATTTTTCGCAGCTTAAGAAAAGAAAGCTTTGGTGTTATCACGGTTTTTATAGTTGTATAAGAAACCACTGGTGTTGCAAGTTTTGTAGGACGTCCAATAAACGTCAATTACTTCAAGTTGTACAATATTGCATCCGAAATGTTTCCGTCACTTTAATTAAAATACTTTGGTTGCTTAAATATTTTAAAAAGGGTTTTTAAAAACCTTATTATAACACTTTTGCTCTCGGGGATTTATAACTCCAAAACAAAACAAAAATTTAAGAAATTCAAACCAAAGAAATTGACAAATACCGAAATGTAGCACTGCTCTGCTAGGTTAAATGGGCACAACTTATCACCTTTTTGGATTATTTGACAATACAGAAACTTATGAAAGAACCATGATTTTTTTTGCAAATGTCCATTGAACATGGACCTGCATTAGATTTTTGCTTTCAACCAATAACCAACAACCAAAATGACCTGTGACAGAGCGTCAATAGGTTTGGCATTTTTGCAGCAGTATTTTCTCAAAATATGTTCAGGTGCCATTAAATCCTCCATCAAAATTTGTGTGAAGTTTGTTGTTTAGAAAGAAATTGACGCACAGTGCAGGTGCACTATATCTTTTTTCTACCGCTTTCTGTAAAATACCTAATTATACACCGATCTAGCGTGCGGTAAGTACCATTTTACCACGTCAGTTTCGTTTCCCACGGATCCGAGCAACTTCGGACATTTTCGGGATATTACCGCACGGGTTTGGGAGCAATCGGATGTTTGCGGAAATTTTACCGCACTTAGTGTATTTTTGTCGTTTTGCAAAAATATACCTAAAAACTAACGATTGTAGAAAACGTATAGTATGCAACACGTTTGTTAAACTTTTTAAGTCACTAGTTTATTAAACACTCGCTCCGCTGCGCTTCGCTCGTGCCAAATAAACTCGTGACTCAAATGTCGTTTACCGGACTTGTTGCATAATATGCTATTATCTGATAGCTTTATGTATAAAATCAATTACTACGAACTGTCAGCTGTCAAGAAAATAAATGATATTGTAAGCAAATGATATAAAAAACCATCTTGATTTTGGAGCTTGGTGTATATAAATATTGTAAGTTTTACAGCTGTAAAGAAAATGTATTCCATGCCGTTACAAAATAGCGGCGCAAGTACCTATTTCAGCGTTTATATGACACGAACTTACAAAAGCTGTCGAGGCCCGGATCATAATAACAATAATAAAAATAGTCGAACAAGTGGGTAAGGGACAGGAAAGTAAAAATAGAAGTAAAGCACTGAAATATACGTATATAACAAAAATCAAAAAATAATAGAAAAAAGTCAGAACTAAAATAGTATATTATCCAACAAGTGTGGTAAAGGGCATCTGAGTGACGAGTTTATTTGGCAAAAGCAGAGCGAGTGCTTAAAAAGCAAATGACTTAAAGTTAAAAAGTTTACCGAACGTGTTGCATACTATACTTTTTCAACGACCGTAAATTTTTGACAATTACTTTCACTGACATGACCGTCAAAATTGACAAACATCCGATCTCTCCAAGAGCGGAAATATCCAAAGTGACTCGGATTCGTGGGAAACTTATTTATTACATTATTATTTATGGTTTATAAAGGTTAGTTCTTAGTTCATCTTAGTTTTGCTTAGTTTTATTTATAACGAAAATTTTGTTACCTTTACATCTATAACGTTCTTGAATTTTATAAGAATGATGAAAATATTTCGTAACAGATTGATAGGTTCTCAGGTTTTATAAAATCGGACCACATCCTTTGGATAAACTGTCTTGTGTATCGAACCATGTTTTACCATTATCCATAATCATATCATATCATTACTTGCCGTTTTTCTATTTTGCTGTACTTAAATCCCATTTTACAAACAACTCTATGGAGGGTAGTATGTCTTATATTTATATTGGTTTCATCTTCTTCTAGCTTCTTTTTCAGTTTATCCGCTTTGATAAAGGCAATATATTTTCCTTTAGGTCTAGATCACTATTGTGTGTACGATGAGTTTGAAAATCACTATGTTTATTTCTTTTCTTCTCCACTATTAATTGGCGTTTTTGTAAGTAGAAAGGTTTCTTTTAAAGTTTTCGACGCAAAATTGATATATTCTCGTAAAATATTTTTTTCGAAACGCACAGTAAAAAACTGCCACAAATGGTCATCACTCAAGAAATTTATCAGAAAGAAAGAAATATACTTGGCCCACTCCTGTCTTGTCACTCAAGTAAGAATAGGTAATAATAACAATAGGTAATACTATTGTTAAAGTTTTACTGGTGAGGGTCCCTCGAAAGCCAACATGATGAAAATTGAGACAGACTATAGTGCCAGTAGCAGATTTCAAAAATTTTGTCTTGACATTATGCAATTTTGGTGTTTGTAAATGACATTTGTTTCAATTATTTATTTTTTTTAGATTTAAATGGATTTGAAAATAAATATAGAGGCTAAGGTAGTAGAAAACAAGAACATTCCACTCTGTACATACATATATTATAATTATCCTCAATTATAATTAATTATACCTTCTAAAATTCACATTTGAAAAGCTGTTAGAAAAAATTGTTATTCCCTGGGTTTCTTCTTCAAAAATAACTGACTGATAAAAAATAACTAAACATTCAAGAATAGGAATTGCGCACTATCCTGAGAAACAAGCATGCCCCGTTTTGTATTCTATCACGGTCAAGAATAATGTCCCCTTAGTTCCTCATATTCAGAAGATAATAGTAATAATAATAATAATAATAATAATAATAATAATAATAATAATAATAATAATATTATTAATAATAATAATATTAATAATAATAATATTAATAATAATAATAATATAATATAGAATACAAGGACTTATTTTAAAAGGCGAATACTTGCTCACTTAACTTAAAATTGACGTATATTTGGTATGATAGGAGGAAATTACTCAGTAACAGTTAACAGTAACGGCCGCACAATATACTAACTGAAACGCAAAGCAATACAAAAGAAAATAAAAAAAAAGGAAAAGAAAGCCATGTCAAATATTTTTGCACTCAGTAAGGAGAATTCTGTTATAATTTAAATATACCTGGTACGAAAAGGATCTCATAAAGAATGAGGTTTTATGAGAGGGAGACCATATGTTGTGTTTATACCACAAGTCCAAATTGTGAGCGTGATATCTATACTATACTATAATAATTTTACCCTTTTCCCCCTTTGAAGCACCCAATTTCCAGAAGGAAAAAACCGTACATAGTGTCACTAAAATTAAACTGCGATAGGACTAAACTATCATAAAATGATTTTTTTAATTATGATTTATAAGATATCTTTGGCTCAAAATAAGATTGGCAAATGTCTTTTTTCACTTGCACTTGCTGACGTGATCCTAAAATCTTACATCAACATAAAGAAACAGTCCCAGATTCCTAGAAACATTTGAACACTAAAAGAACTTCGTCATTAAGATTTAACGGTTTTTTAAGTCGGTTAGTGAAGTGGGTAGACGGGCGGAAGACGTGCCACAGGACGGTGTTTCCAGGGATAGAGAAAGTCCCGCGGTAATTTTTGTTTCTTTAGAAATTTGTAGTGTTACTTTCAGTAAAAGTTTGGTAGTGTTCAAAGTTTGTGCCTTATTTACCGCCGTAGAATCCATGACACACTCTCGGAGGTCCGAGAGCATCTCATAACAAACAACTTTTTTATAGGTATGGACTATAAAGCTATCGGGACTACGCTGGCGGGGTTAGCCCAGTGTGGTGCGTGGGGCTGTTTCGATGAATTCAACCGTATCGACGTATCAGTCCTCTCGGTAATTTCCACTCAACTACAGACGCTACGAAGCGCCCTCGCTATGAAACTCGTGCGGTTCAGTTTTGAGGGGGTAGAAATTAATCTGGACTCAAAAGTGGGCGTGTTCATTACGATGAATCCGGGCTACGCCGGCCGAACCGAACTCCCGGAATCGGTTAAGGCGCTTTTCAGACCCGTCGTTTGCATCGTACCGGATATGGAGATGATCTGCATGATATCATTATTTTCGGACGGGTTCGTAAATATATTTCATAGACTTACGTTTGCCTCGTTTCTATTTTGAAGTTAACATTCAAAACTTGTGTAAATGTGCTTAAAAGAGAAATTAGGGCAGATGCTAATATTTTTAAAAATCAGATTTCGTTCGCGAACGTCTATTTAAAAATAAGACGCTACTGAACTGGGAATAATATGACAGTAAGTTGTTTTAAATAACCAACAAGATAATACGATATAAGAATGAATTATGATGATCATGCTTTTTAATACCTCTATAAAATAGAGGACGTTCCAAAACTCCTCCTGTCCTCCTGTGTCGGTTTTTGCTTAGTCGAAATTGCTGACGTTTCGCCAATCATCCTGTTGGCTTCTTCAGAGCTTGACTGAAACTGAAACAGTTTGAATGTAGTTTCAGTCAAACTCTGAAGAAGCCAACAGGATGATTGGCGAAACGTCAGCTCAGCGAAAACCGATGCAGGAGGAATCCAGAAGTTGTGTAAAAAGCATTACAATAGCCTATGGAAGTTTCTTTGAAAAATTAACAAGCCTCCGTGCAAATTATTTTATAAATACCCTGCCCATGATAACTCAATGCATATCATGAGCTACTGCCTCCTGTTGGTAAACTATGACCAAAATTTGATATTTTAAAATAATTATTTATTATTATTAAAATAAATTTTGTACTATTTTTGCATAATCCGGCAAACTTATTCGTTCGACAATTAATTTCCGTAGTAAATTAATTTTGAAGTTAAACCAAATTTAAGTGTTGCGCTAATATTGACACGAATATTGAGTATAAAACTGGTTTTTCTTAAAACACTCTGTATATGTCGAAAACTAAAATATTTTTGTAACATCGTTTTTGAAGATTTAAGCTACAAATCGAGAAAAGGAACTTTAAAGTTGACTCAAATTTTAATGACGCTTTAATTTTGATGAGAAGTTTATGTTAATAAAAAATTTCGAAAAGTCGAAGAACATACAGTGAATTTCATTTTTTTTTTAATGAAAAATGCCTACTCTATTAATTAATTACAATGGGGATTGTAATATGGAAAAATTTGTACAACAATAGCAAATTACAAACTAACCAAAACTAGCTAAAATCAACATCTTTGTGCTTTTATCTTTAACATTTGGAGTTAAAAATTAAGAAAAAAGTTTTTAGACATAGATTGTTCAGAAAAAATTAACCTCTCCAAATATGATTAAAAAATATTATCAATATTAGTAATTTTAATAAAATTAGTTGAACAAGTGCGTAAGGAAAAGAAAAGAAAACATGAGAGTAAAGCAACAAGCAAGCATAAACGGTATTTGAGTCACGAGTTTAAATTAACCAAACGTGTTGCATACTATATTTTTTCTATTTTTCTAATTTTTGGGTACATTTTTGCGAAACAACACCAATACCGTCAATGATATAAGAAAAAGATTTTTTAAAGTGGTCTTTGTTATGACGTATTATGGCCACACCGTAGATTGCTTTTATGAATTTTAGTTCGATATCCTACTTTGTCTAGGAGATACTTTCTTTGAAAAGATTTCCCTTCCGTTGTGCATGTTTAGCCAATTTGCTTCCCGAAGTATATTAGAAAATCTATCATTCCATAAATTAGACAAGAATTTTGCAATTTTTGACTGCCGTTGAAATAAGAACTCAGGTGTTAAGTCACAATAATTTTTCGGCCATAAAACCACTGAGTCACACAGCATTCTTTGAGTATCTTCATTTAGATGTTTTTGACGTGAATAAAGTATTTTTAAGTTATAATAGCAAACCGGTCTTGCTGGTAATGATAAGGCATTATAATTTTAGAAATGTAATTAAGTATTTTTCAAATTTTCTTTGCCGAACGCTAGTTAGCAAAATAGGTAACTAAGAAAAAAATTTTGAAGGTTCCTTGAATCAAAAATGTTGGCCAAGAAGATGACAATACTATACAAATTGGCCCGCGAGCAACTATCGAAACAGTATCACTACGACTGGGGTCTGCGAGCGCTGAACGCTGTACTGAGAATGGCCGGTGTCCTCAAACGCGCATCGCCAGACCTTAAGGAAGCCCTGGTACTTATGCGGGCTCTCCGTGATATGAATCACCCGAAGTTCGTCTACGAGGACGTGCCGCTGTTTCTGGGCCTTATCAGGGACTTATTCCCTGGGATGGACTGCCCTCGTGTAAATTACCCGGAATTCAACGCCGCTGTGGAGGAGGTGTTAACTGGAGAGCGATTCGTGATAGTGCCGCATCAGGTCGGTGATGGCGCACCCTTGTAATAATAATGATCACTTTATTTAGTTGGGCTAGCCATACATTCATTTTTCCGACAAGCAGACAGACGACAGAGAACAAGCCAAAGAAAACAATAACAGCAAATACACATCGTTTTTTTTTTTTAAGATGTAGGCAAAGAATTGTTAGAACTATTTGTTGGGACTGTCATTGCCTTTAATTTAAGCTATAGCTCAACGTTTCGGCTGGCATGTATCTCCTCATGAGGATGATGATAAAATTAGTAAAACTTCGAACTTAAATGTGTACTGGGACTGTTGATTGCTGGCGAATAGGGTGTGTGTGTGTGTGTGTGCGTGTGTGTGTGACGTCTTTGTTTTGGATGTTCCCTGTTGCTAATCCGGCCAATAATGCCGCTTCATACCATTTCCAAATGAGGAGAAATTAGGTCCCCCCGCAGCGCAAGGTTATATGGAAGAATTCAAATGCATCAAGACAGAACAACAGGTACTCGAAACAACACTTACAAAAGAAGTAGGCAGATATAGAGAGGAGAAAAAAAACAATCAGCTGAACATGAAGAGAGAAAATACTGAGCATTTCATATCTAAGAGGATTATCATAAAAGCTCCAACGCATCGCTGGCCAATGCAAGATTAAAACATTCGTCATATCTGGCGATATGGGCACTTACTAACACAAATCCTTCTGAATAGCAAGCAACAAAAAACTGCGTATACAGGGCCCATGTAAATGATGGGACCCCCCTTTCATGTTTTGTAAGAGGATGGTACCTCATTTTAAAGATCTTTTCACTTTCTGTTCGCATATCAATTTTGAAAACATTTGGTTCGTCAGTTTTTGCAAGACAAAAAATTAAATAAATGAAGACTTTATTATATAGCACAAGGTGCTAATTTCTAACATTTAATAAAATCGTTGATAAAATGTTCGAACTATTTATTTTTTTAATTTAAACAACGGTGAAGTAATAGAAAAGTAATAAAACATTTGCAAGTATTCATTTGACTCTCTTGCAATATACCGTGCAAAGACCTTTAAAAACCCTCTTACCAAAATACTTAAAATGGTGCTGTGCAGTCATTTTGACATTTTGAAATATTGTTTTTATGTAAAAAATTAGACATTTTAATTATATACGTCCATACCAAATTTCACAAGGCTACAAAAAATAAAAGGGGGGATCCCATAATTTACGCAGGCGCATGTATTAAGCAACAATAATAATACAGCGAGGCGAAAGAACAAAGACCGGAATAGAACAGTACGCATCGGAAAAGAACACCGAATCCTATGGTTTATTCAGGAATACAAAGAGGCCTTCAGACATATCCGGTGAACATATTTAAACTGATAGTTTTAAGAATATTATCATTCTCTTTATAACGGTTACATGTCAATTTAAATGTTGAGAATGTAATTTTAAATAAATTTAAGGCAATGGGAATGCAAAAAAATAGAAACACACATTATTAAAGTGCAATAGTTCGTTATATATAATTTCCACATTCCCTTCTAAGGTTATTCCAGTATTTAATATTTGCAAGTAATATATTTTACTTCTTACATCCCTTATAAAACAGGTTATTTTGACAAAAACTAGTACATGCTTTATCTAAATGAAATCTATTTCTGAAGCGAGTATTATAACAATGAGGGGCTGACCCCTAACTAATGTTTTAGCATTTGGAACATAGACAATAATGGCCACAGTCTGTTTAACGCTTAAAATATTAGTTATCTGCTACATCTCAACCCGACTAGTGTACCGATTTCAGCCCAGTATGATTCTTAAAGCCCTATTTTTTAATTTCTGTAGATTATTAATTCGGTATTGTTCATTAAGGACACCAAAGTACAGGTAGGTGTCAACAACTTTTCGGTAGACAGTGTGCTTAACGCATTGTTTGGATCTACCACCAAATATTTTTTTTGCACATAATATAATAAATATAATATATTTATAATGTTCATTATTTATTTGCACATGCAAATTTGGATTCATACGCATGTTGGTATTTCTATTTCTAGCCGTGTATTCCTTAGGTTGATAAAATAGTTCAGCTTTACGAGACAATGATGACGAGACACTCGACCATGTTGGTGGGTCCGACAGGTGGCGGAAAGACAACCGTGATCAACACTTTGGCAAAAGCGCAAACGCTAATGGGACTTCCCACCAAGATATACGCTTTGAATCCCAAAGCTTGTTCCGTAGTGGAATTGTACGGGGTATTAGACCCCTTGACTCGTGACTGGACCGACGGATTATTGTCCAATATATTCCGGGAGATGAACAAGGCCACCGACCAACGGGAAAGGCGGTACATTCTATTCGACGGTATGTCAGTTGATGTTTGCTTATACACAAAAATGAACGCACCTCTTTCTTAAGCAACAGCACACGTTACGTGAAAAGCGCCATCTTGACGGTTTGAATTTTAGCGCCAATGATTGTAACACATGTAGGAACCATAGGAACGACTTATCTTAATTTTGTTAAAAATGTAAGTAAATATAAAAATTAATAGAAAAGGGTGAATTTTTTTTAACTTAATGCCCCAAATATAATATTAAGAATACTTAAAGATAAAAAAATGGAAAACAGAAAATGTTGCTTTTTATAAAACTTGTGGATTCCTCCTGCGTTAGTTTTTGTTGAGTCGAACTAGATAATGTTTCAGTCAAGCGCTAAAGAACTCAACAGGATGATTGGCGAAACGTTATCTAGATCGACTCAATAAAAACCGAAGCAGGAGGAATCCAAAAAGTAAAAGTAAAGTAGTAAAAGTAGTAAGTAGTAAAAGCAGTAAAAGTAGCCTGTGGAAGTTTCTTTGAAAAATTAATAGAAAATTTTATCTAAAATAATGTTCTGGAGTTTTTTTCTGGAGATTTTTTTTTTAAATTCAGAAATTAGGAACAAAGTAATTAAAATGCAATAAACAATTATTAAATTTATTTCTTTACACGTGATCAGCTTTTTAAGAGCACATTGGAATTTTCTTAAATATCAATGTTTAATTAGGTTCCTCCAACAAATCAAAATTTATCTACTATCAAACAACAAATTTAGAAAACACCTTTTAATACTATTAACCCAAACAAAAAGAAAAACATTTTTAATTTTTATGTATATTTATTTAATATTTTTATTCACTTCTAAACATTTTGTAGGAAAATCTGACGTTGTACCTTTTTAATATTTTCTTCTTTGCTAATTGCAACTGGTTCATGTTCATTCTCAAGCTGTTCTGCCATATTATGTGCTTGCTAGCATCTTAAAGAGTCCTACTGGTTGGTACAATCGGGAGTTCAATTTCTCAATTACGATTTGCTTCCCTATTGATGACCAATGCTTATTTCACTTTTTTTTCATTATGTCCAACAAGTGTCTTCCAAATTATAGCGGTAACTTATCCATCAATAAATAAATTGCAAACAATTCTCGTCCCACCAACTTTCTCTGTCATTACTTCAATATTGATATCTTGAGTGCCTTTAATGTGTTATTTTCAATCATCACATGGAACTTTGTCTTGTGCTGGTTCAGTAATTGAGGGTCTTAAAGCGGTTTATTCCGGAACCAAGTACATAGTACTGCGAAGATACGAGGTGTAGCCTCGGTAGAGGATTGCAAGTTTTCCTGCTAAGAATCTGATGATTAATGTGTTCCTATTATTATTAAATTATTATTATCAATATCACTGTATATCCAATAGTGTTTAGACATTTGTATAAGCTGTATTTCCATTTGTATAATACGGAAATCTCTTATGAGTCTTATGTTGATAATCGTCTTATGTTATCACAGTTTTTATGCAGAAACAATGATATTTTACATATAACAGAACTACAGAAACTTCTTATGAGTTTTGTCCTATGCTGTTAGGGTTGTGTTTTTAGGTGCCTATATTTATACCAACAGAACTAAGGAAGTTTCATAATCGTCCTATTATGTTAGGTGTTAGCTTTTCAACGTTTTTTATCCCAGTTCTTATACACAATTTTCACTAGCTTATCGTTTATTCTATCGTTGAATGTTTTTATTTGTAAAAAATAAACCAAACCTAACAACAATTCATTTTGTGTCGTCTAACGTTGAAGGCGATGTTGATGCGCTATGGATCGAGAACATGAACTCAGTGATGGATGATAACAAACTTCTGACGTTGGCTAACGGCGAGAGGATCAGGTTGCAGACCCCGGTAGGCGCGCTTCTTTTTGAAGTCGGGGATTTACAGTACGCCTCACCGGCAACTGTATCGAGGGCCGGAATGGTATACGTCGATCCCAAGAATTTGGGCTTCCAACCGTACTGGGAGCGATGGTTAAGTGGGAGGACGAGCGAGGACGAGAGAGCCGCGTTTGCCGAGCTGTACGAGCAGATCGTACCCGACTTGATGGCCTACGTTTTGGAAGGTAAGTAGGGGTTTTTTCATAACCGCGTGTCCCAAACTTCGATGTTATCCAATTTCAATCATATTTTGACACATACAAACATTTCCACAAGTAGCTCAAAATTCCTAGGTAGGTTTTGGCTAGGTTTACATTTTCCACGATCTTAGGTCAAATACTAGGTAGATTCTATCTATTTACTATCTTTATTTATCTACTTTGCCCTAACTATATTACCTATATAAGACTATAAGACGACCATCTAAGTTATAGTACATAATACGGTCTCAAAAAAAAAATTGTTGGGACAGTAAATTTTAATCATTTCTTAACAAAATACTAATCGGGAACCCTTTATACAACACATACTTAACTTATATAAAGTTTTGTGTTCTTCTTATACACTAATATTTGTTTTCCATTTTAAAAATTTAATTTGTGCAACAGACTAATTTTTACAAGGTAAATTAAGTCAAAATTTAATATTTCGTAATCAAAAAATTTACAGATATTGTTCTCTTTGCAAACGTCATTTTTGACATAAAATGGTGAACAATTTAGAAACGGTGAAATTTAGGTATAGATATTACACATGTATGTCTAGAATTTTCGAATCAATCCAAAAAAGTAATAATAAATAGGGTGTTCCATTTGAAGTAAAAAACTTGACACCCACTTCCAGGATATCCGGATGTGCTGCCATCTTGAAAATATTTTAGACCGATTGCCCTCACCAAAATAAGTTTCATTCTAAATTTTCAAATTTTCGATACATTCTGCCATGTTCCCGGTGGAACACCCTGTATGGCATGGTCTTGCCATCGTACAGAAGAAAAATATAGGGAACAGTTTCTTATTTTAACGAATTGAATAGCAGAAACTTTAAAAATTGTACCATTTATTACTGATTCTTGTTTTTATTGTATAACTTTATTCGTTATTACTTTTTCATCTAAGCGAGTATTTTGTTACAGGAGTTTTAGGAAATCGCCAAGTAGATCCCCTTAACACGGTGATCCCTCAAACCGGTCTGAACATGATCACCCAACTCTGCCATTTCATCGACGCCATTCATCCCCAAACCGAACCGAACAACACGGACGCTCACGAAATAGATCTCGACCTAATGAAATCGATTTTTGTGACCGCCCTCTACAATTCCGTGGGTGCGGTCCTCGTAGACGCTTGTCGCGTCGAATTCGACGACTACATGAAGTCCCATTTATCGATGATCGGCTTAAGCGACACCGTAGATAAGAAGTGCGACTTAAGGCACATTCCCATGGCGTTTCCCACATTTTACGATTACTTCCTCGACGTCGACCAAAAGGTGTGGGTGGCCTGGGATTGGTTGGTGCCCGAGTATGTTCACTCAAAGGACAAGAGATTCTCTGAAGTGTTGGTACCCACCGTGGACACCGTACGCGTCAACTACATCTTGGAGTTGATGAACAGAATTAAGAGGCCGGTGGTTTTGGTGGGTCAAACCGGTACTTCGAAGACGGCCATAGTGCGGCAATTCCTGCGCCAGTTGGAGCGTGACATCTACATCATTTTGAACGTGAACTTCTCGTCGAGAACCTCGTCCATGGACGTGCAAATGAACCTGGAATCGGTAGTGGAGAAGCGTACCAAAGATATCTACGGACCGCCCATGGGAAAGAAGCTGGTCTGTTTCGTCGACGACATGAACATGCCCCACGTGGACGACTATGGTACCCAACAACCGATCGCCCTCTTGAAGCACCTGTTTGAACGTGGCGGTTTCTACGACCGCGGAAAAGATTTGAACTGGAAAATTCTGCGAGACGTGTCGTTTCTGGCTGCGATGGGTGTGGCCGGCGGCGGCAGGAACGATGTGGATCCCCGATTTATGTCGATGTTTACCGTGATCAATTTGGTGTTTCCGTCAGAATCGACCCTGCACCACATTTACGCGTCGATTTTGTCGGGGCACTTATTCGATTTTAGCGACGAAGTGCAGGTCGCCCCCACTCTGACCACCGTTTCTCTGAGCTTATACAACGTCTTGGTGCAGCGCCTTCCCCCCACCCCCAGCAAATTTCACTACATATTCAACATGAGAGACTTGAGCCGCCTCGTCGCCGGTATATGCAAGATCACTCCCAAGTGAGTTATTGATAGGAATTTGAAATGATAAATATTGTCGAAAGCCGCAATTCACAAAATTATACAAAATTAGATTTGCTGCCCCAACATTCTATCCGATATACGTCCAGCGAACCAACATGTTTTATTCAAATGTGTTTTATAAATGCTTATATCGCACGTTTTAAAGTTTCCCAATCAAGTTACCCATTACAAAATTCCTACGTACAGGTGGCGGGACAATGGACGGACATTTTTGTCAAATAAATCGCGTACACTCAGTGTACAGTTTCATCACGGTAATAACAAAAAATAACCTTCGACACGAATCTACTCTGCATCACCGATAAACATTCATTACGCTTTTGTCGCATGGCAGCTTCTATGCCCTCTGTCGTTTTAGAATACCTGTAGACAAAGTTTATGCCAAAAAATTATCTGGCTTTGTTTTATTTTAAATCGATGCCCGTTTCTGAAAAACCGCAATATTTTCCTTATTATAGGAGCTGAAAGTTTGAAAATTTCAAGATAAAAAATTAAGCTTACCGTGTTGCGTACAGCTGAAGCCAACTTTTGTTTTCTTATGAGCGCCATAATGAATTTCAAATTTTTCAAAATCCTCTTTAAAAATAACAAAAATAAGATTTCGGACAGTAGGCGCTTCGTTTATTTTCCATCAAGTTCCCGGATGATTCGTAATTATGGTCAGCAGTCAGTGTCAGTTGTATAAAGCTAATAAATTGTGAGTTTTAAAATGAATTACTTTTCAAATAATGATAAGTATGATGTTTTATTCTCTCCCGTAGAAACAAAGCAAAAGCCTAGAAAATATATTTAAATAAATATCCGAAAAAATATCATCCGGGTAGAGCTATACGCCAGTGATCCGTAAGTCTTAGCTATATTGCTTCCATTTTTAGATGCGTTCCGATTTTAATGAATTAGAAATCATTAGTTTAAAGTTCGGAGATGCAATCCTAGAAAGTACATTAAAATTCGATGTTGTAAGGGTTTTTGCAAACGTGGAAGTTAGTCATCGTGTTATAAATAGTAAGTAAAACTAAAACACGGTTATAAAACGATGATTCGCAATAAATGTCATATGCTTTAAAACATATAATTATTTTTTTATAATGAGTCTATGGCAACTTGGTAGAGTAACGATTGATACGAACGGACAAAATAAAACGCGTCAAATATATGGGAGCAAACAAACACCAATTAGATTAGGTTTATTTTTGAAAAATTCTTAATGCTTCACGAACAGAAACAACGAAACTCATAACGCAAAGAGCAATAAAGGAGAACAAAAACTAGTCATCATCGGAAAAAATACCTTCCTCCGAGTCTGATTCACGCATATCGATAACAACTGGGAGAATATTAGATGCGTCGATCAACGTCTTTCCTAAGCCTCACTTATCAGTCGGTCAATGTGCCTACAATAATTCTTCCACTTTTTGGATGAAACCTGAAACAAAGTGTTATGAATACTTCATCAGAAGTATATTATTATTTTCCTTTAACAAGTGCTTCTTTCCATAAACGCAGTACAGACTCAGATGTTACGGGATTGATGGAACCTATTTCTATCTCTATCCCATTAAATTGGCAATGATAAGGCAGACGCCGCAAAACCCCGTGGCCATTTTCCAATGCTAACTTGTGCATTCTTATAGGATTTTATTTTCAAAGAGTTTGATATTCAAAGAAAACTACTTAGGAACTACCTATGCAGTTTTCCTAGCAAGTGTTACTTCACTGACATCTATAGCTGGGGTTTCATTAAAATTGGCTGAAATGAAATATTCCTTTTCTGCAGCTCGACGAGAGACTGCTTGATCCTACTTTGATTAGGTATTGCCTCAGCCGATTCACAGTGATGCATTGTCCATTAATATTAATGAAGGCTCACGAAGATTGGGCATCGCTGTTGACTTTTGAAAGTAAAAAAAAATGCATAAATTAGTTTTTTCCCAAAGCATATTAGTATTGAGGAAATAAAAGTTTCCGTGGGTACAAAACTGAAACTTTCAAATTTTTCAGTGTCCATTGAATCAAGATATTCCTCCGATTTGCAGCCCGAATTGAAAACAAGACTGACATACTTCACAAAGAGATTTTAAGTATCGACATAGTAAATACTTGCATTGTGTACAGCATTTAACGGGAATATATGTTTAGGCGTCTGAAAGTACAAGACAAGAGTTTTTCTAACGTATAATGGAACAAACCTCCAGATGAAAATAAAGAAAATTTGGTCTTGCGAAGCGTGGTTGAGACACCTCATACATCTTTACATCAGGCGTTGCTCGGTCAACAGCGATTTACAGCGTCATATATGTCATCTATGTCATATATGTCATATGGCAATACCGTTAGAGGAATAGCATTGATGTGGTAGTGCTTTATTCATAAAAATAACGAGATATCAAACTTTTCCTTAAAAGTGCTTTAGTTGGGTGATTGCCGACTTACTACTTGTGGACTTACTGACTGTGATGTACAAACAACCGTAACAGAAGATCTTATAAACCTTCCACTAGCCGCTCTGCAGCAAGTGTTTTTCTAACAAGACGGCGCACCACCACACACTGCACAGATTATTACGAACTTTTTAAATGCAGAATTTCCCAACAGATGGATAGGCAATCTGGATCCCCAGGCATAACACCCCTTTGATTTCCTTGTATGGGGTTATTTCAAAAATGAAGTATACAGTAGGTTCTAAAAAAACATTGGAAACTTAAGAGAAGCTGTTACAGAAGCCATATCACTCCGCAAATGTTGAGGCAGCCCTGTGACGCAGCGTTAAGCGAATGAGTGTTATGCGTGCAACAAAATGGCGGATTATTTGGACATTTACTCTAATTTTATTGTAAAATTTTGCGTATTTTCTTCGTTTTTTGTGTGTTAAAGAAGTAAAAACTTTCAACGGTATGTATTAAAATTCTACTGACCTCTTTTCTTCTCTCTTCAATTTTATTGACTGTTTTAAAATTCACTAGCAATATCAATGCCTACTGTCCTGAAATCTTATTTTGGTTATTTTTCCGGATTAAAGAGGATTTTGTTAATTTAGAAATTCAATATGGCACCCATATGAAAAACAAACGTTGACCTCGGCCGTACGTAACATAGTACCTAATTTTTTTACCATCGCTGTATTCTCTTGAATATTTCAGCTCCTAAAATAAGAAAAATATTATGGCTTTTCAAACATTTTCCTTTTTTACCCTGTATCTACGGAAGGGTATCGATTTAAAATACAACAAAGCTAGATTATTTTTCGGCATATACATACGGAGTTTTTTTCAATGTAAGCAACAGTTTCCAATACCCCAAATACTGACACCCTGTATACTTGTAAAACGATTCTCTTGCAGCGCTTATTTAGATGGCAGTTTCTTTTTAGTTCGTTATTCTCCAATCCGTTGTCGAAATTTTTTTCAACCGTCTAAACATAAAAAACGATTTTAAAATTTCTAAGGTGTCGACACTATTAAAATTAAAATACCTCTCTGTACTGATAAATTGGCTCTTTGTTGGTTGATTGCTTTTATTGCTTGAAGGGTAAATGACCTTACGTTTATGATAGGCTAGACATGTTATGAGTCCGTCAAAAGCCAAGACGATATATTTTGAGACCCGCTATGCAACGACATGATGTTTAACTATTACCGCAGGTACTTCAACGCTCTCCACCAATTGGTGAGAGTGTGGAGGAACGAGTTCACCAGAGTTTTTTGCGATCGCCTGATCAGCGTCGAAGATCAAGAACTGGTGACGACGGAAATGATTACACTATTGGGCAAACACTTTCCCAAAAAGGAAAAGTGGCAGCCTCCGCCACTAGACGACGAGGATTACGTTTTCGTCGATGAGGAACCGGAACAACAGGAGGAAGAGGAGGAGATCGACGTAGTCGAATATGCGATGAGGGATCCGCTGCTCTTCGGCGACTTCAGAAACGCTTGCAATATAGGCGAGCAGAGAGATTACGAAGATTTACTCGATTACGACGCGGTTTACTTCTTGTTCCAAGAAATCTTAGAGCTTTATAATGAGAACAAAGAGAAACTGGACATGGTTCTATTCGAAGACGCGTTGGAGCACCTGACTCGCGTCCAGAGAGGCTTGCGTTTGGAGAACGGACACGTGATGCTTATCGGAGTGGGGGGCAGCGGGAAAGCGAGTATCACGAAATTGGCGGCGTTCACCGCCGAATGCGAAATGTTCACCATCACCCTGTGCAGGGGATATAACGAAGCCATGTTTAAAGAAGACCTCAAGCGGCTCTATCACCAGCTGGGGATCGACCGAAAACGAACGGTATTCTTTTTCTGCGCATCCCAGATCATCGAAGAGGGTTTCTTAGAGTTTATCAACACCATCCTGATGGTCGGACACGTGCCAGCGTTATTTAACGATGAGGACAAGGAGGAGGTGGTCGCTCAGTGCAGAGAAATGGCCGTCAAATACGGTTATGGGTTGACCAAAGACAGCGTCTGGCAATACTTCGTAGACACGTGCATCGATAATCTCCACCTAGTGTTGTCGATGTCACCGTCGGGTGAAATGCTCAGCAAACGTTGCCGCAATTTTCCGGGTCTCGTGAACAACACGACCATCGACTGGATATTTCCGTGGCCGTTGCAGGCTTTGTTCGCCGTCGCGTCGGTGTCGCTGAAGGAGTCGGAGGCGATACCGGAGGGATATCGCGGGACGATCATCGAGCACGTGGTACACGTGCATCAGACCGTGAACCAATTTACGGCAGATTTCGCGATGACGCTGCGACGTAAGAATTACGTGACTCCGAAACACTACCTGGACTTTATCTCGACGTATCTGCGTCTGCTGCGGGAGAAGGGGAGGTTCATTGATGGCCAGTGCGAACGTCTAGCTAGCGGTCTGGGGAAAATCGACGAGGCTAGCGCCGAATTGGTGAGTTCTTAACGCCCGCCCTGCAGTACGAGCCTTCACAAGTTGGCAAAAGCACTTGCTTTGCGACTAAAATTCTAGTTTACCGAAATTCCTTTTTTTTAAATTTTAAATATCAAATTAGGAACATTTTTTATGATGTACGGGGTGGTCCAAATTCGATGGGCCTCTATGGCTTTAAGCATTTGCAGCATAGTTAGCCCAAAACTAATATGCATGTTACGGGTTCGATTTTCCAGAGAAGTCGAAAACTAAAAACCGTATCATAATATATCAAAGCGTTTCTGAGCTACAGGGTGATTCTTCAAAATGTGCGTTTCTATCACTTTTTTATTTGTGAAGACAGAGATTTTTATTAAAAACATTTTTTGAAGATTTTTTAAGGCCAAATCTACATGTTTCACCAATTTTGCCTTAAAGTCTTTAGTTCACGAGATATAACACAAAGTTACATTTTTTTTAATGGAATACCCCAATTTAAAAAAAATAGTTTTGTAATAAAATTTCCTGTCAACCGATGTGCCATACACGTATTTTTATTAAATAGTTAAAAAGATATCTGCAATTTTTAATAATTACCATAGTAGTGCTTAACCTATGCAGTTTTACGCTATCTATCTAGGTAGTTATGATCAGATAAAAACAATTGCCATGATACACAAACCCAAGTGTCAAAAGTGCATGATAAAATGTTAAATTGAAAGTAAAAAAATCTACAGACGACGTTAAATCTATATTTCCAGAGATATTCAGAAAGAAGGCAACCTAGCTCAAAAACATTTTTGAAGTTAAAACGTCATCTACAAGAATACGCATCCTTTACAAAACCTCGCCTTAGGGCGTATAGAAGCCTAGCCAGAGATAGAGAGTTGAAATAACTAACGATTCTGGGAGAAATAGAAATTAATCCAAATACTTTGACTATGGAGAGAACCACTGGAATTCTACGCAGCAATCCCGTGCGGGTGATTAAAAAACACAAGTTTATTCCCTATCGACCCCGACGGCAACGATATTTTCCTCCAAGACGTGCACTTTGCAGGTGGTGCCTAAATAAATGCCAAGAAGACCCCGATTTTTCCAGGAAAGTTATTTGGACGGATGAGGCAACGATTTTATCTACACATTTAGGGCGCGCACAGCGCCTATTGTTGTAAATATCGAAAATTGCCAATATCTTTTAATCTTATCTTATTTAATAAGAATAGGTGTATCGACAGGAAATTTTATTAGAAAACTGATTTTTTTAGAAAAATTGGGGCTACCCCATTTAAAGAAATATATAATTGTGATATCTCGGTAACTAAAGGCTCTAAGAAAAAACAGGTAAAATAGAGAGATTTCAACTTAAAAAAACTAAAAAAAAAAGATTTTTCCCAAAACTCTATTCTTACAATTAATTATTTAATTTAAAATCGCACATTTTTGAGAATTACCCTGCAGCTCAAAAATGCCTGACATATCACGATGCGGTTTTCAGTTTTTGACTTCTCTCGAAAATCGAGCCCGTAACATGCATATTAGTTTTGGGCCTTGCTGCAAATGCTTAAAGCAATAGACGGACCACCTTGTACAAAATTATTTATTACGGTTTAATTAACAGGAAATAGGTGAATACTATTTAATTAATTGATCGATAAACGAAAAATGCTGCAACATGTTTTGCTTTTCCTCAAGTTCCTTGATTTTCATCAGCCTCGCCCGAAGGAGGCTTTGAATTGAAACATACGAATGAGTGGTTTGTGTTGCCAACAAGACACAACAAGTCACCCGTCATTTCAGCAAAGTTTACAGAATTAAAATATGTTATCGTCGGACCTTTGATGTGTTGTTATTTAAGCTGACTGCGGCCGCTTGCCCATCATGTGCAATCGTTCGTTATTCTACGGGATTACGAGGGATCTCTGATCGTATGTTTGTTCCGCGTGTCACACATCTATATACGCGGATAATATATTTATAAATAATATGACGCACTTATAATTTTTTTTCCATAGTTTTAACTGAAAATTTGTAAGCAAATATATGAGTATACGCTTCTTAGGAAAAAAATATTGAATATTGAAATATATTTTCATAAAACTTAATGTAATTATGCTCTACTGCAACAAAAAAAGGCATCAAGCTGAACGAAAAATTGAACCATTAAAAAAGAATAAGGCTTTTGAAGGGTTTGACAGTTAAAAATTTATATTCTCATCTAACTAACTAACTAAAACTAACCAAAACTAACCTGAAAGCTGTCGAATTGACCTGTTAGCGGTCATGTTGGTTGATGAACCTATCTCAATTTTTTTCATTGTCGTTTGTCAAAAATTTCTGTATTATCAGCAAAGACACTAGACAGGGTGTTTCCAAGCCTTACGGATCAAAGGAAGTAGGAGACTTCTCTCAAAGATGTGATAAAATTGTTTGAAATGTCTTTTTTTGTTTAAAGTACAGCGTATTGAAATAATAATATTTTATGCTTTTTTCTTCTTTTTATTAAATAATGGCAAACGTTATTATAGTCCATTTTATGTTTCTACTGGCTAGCTCAAAAATAAGTAAGTAGTAAATAATAAGTAAGTGGTGTAGCATGATGGCTCTACTAGAAGCTCTTATTCGAAAGGATCTGTAATTTCTTCATCTATGTTTCAATGCTATAAACCGAGGCAGTTTTTTAATTCTTAAAATATTCATATTCGCCACCTGAAGGAGTGTTATGTGTTAAAAGTTTTCGTAGAATCTTCTTTAGAAGTGAGTGAGAATCTGTAATTTCGCAAATGTGCCCCACTGATGCACAGTTTTTTGATTCACAAAATTTGTATGTTCAACATCTAAAACATTGTTATGTGACAGTTTTATTGAAAAGACATTTTCAGAAGATTTCCTCTTTGGGGAAAAGTTTTCTTAAACTATATTTTCATTAACCAGGCGATCTTGAATGCAAAACTGGCAGAACAGAAGATTGTGGTGGCGGAGGCAACGAGACGATGCGAAATAATGCTCGCAGAAATCGAGGCAGGTACCCTAGCGGCGACAAACAAGAAGGACGTGGCTTCGTTGAAGAGTACCGAAATTGAAGAGCAAGCGCGTGTTATTAGTGTAGAACAAGCCGAAGCTGAAGAGGCCCTGTCGGCTGCGTTGCCTGCTCTGGAAACAGCTCGACTAGCGCTATCCGACTTAAATAAGGCCGACATCACGGAAATTCGTTCGTTTGCTACTCCCCCAGAAGCGGTGCAAATCGTGTGCGAGTGCGTTGTCATTTTGAGGGGATACAAAGAGGTTTCGTGGAAGACCGCCAAAGGTTCGATTAAATCATTTACAGGATTATGCAGCTTATGCAATAAAACGTTTCGAAATTTTGAACCTAAGCCACATAGCTTTTTATTTGACGGACATCTAATTAGAATCTGGAGCCCATTCTGATGCTAAATTCATATTTTATTCGGTGTCACTCTCTTTGCACTTAGTTGCAGTATTAGTATACAAAATAATAATAATAATAATAATAATAATAATAATAATAATAATAATAATAATAATAATAATAATAATAATAATAATAATAATAATAATAATAATAATAATAACAACAAATAATAATAATAACAGGTCTTTATTTATATATCTATAAACAATAAGAAATAAACCAGTATTACATAGGATGGTGGTGAAATCTAGCAAAGCTACTCACCTAACCACCCTGAATTAATTTAATCTACATTAACTTCATTGTATCACTGTACGTTCATACACATTTTAACAAAAAAAAACTGAAAACATTTTTATAGTTAGTCACTTCAGTGGAACAGAGATGCTGCAAGGAAGTACAGAAATAAGCAAAATAAAAAGGAAAAAAGTGTTAATTGCACAGTAGATTATTTTTAAGACGCTTTCTAAAGTCGGAAGCGGTCCCGCAGCACTTGATATCATCTGGATTGGAGTTAAACAATTGTGACGTTATAGCTGAAAGAACACTGATAGAGGAGAAAGAATCTTCGGTCTAATTTAAGCCATCCGGATTCGAAAGAATAAGTGTCGCATAACTTTAGTTTGATGTCTGTATTTAAAGTATCTCTGAATATATGGTTTCCCATAACTTCGAAACGAAGATTGCTATTAAAAAACACACACCCAAATTCTTGCAAGAATCGGTAATATTAATGTTCTCATTATTAATGTCAACCTTAAAACTAATATTCTTGAACGAGCTATCGTTTTTTCCAAAAAATAATACCTTAGTTTTCGTTTCATTTCTGAGAAGAGCATGGGCACAAGAAATTTTTGAAAAACCTTGCAAATCCCTCCCTTTTCCTTTCCTTCATCGCTAATCTTAAAAATATCATCGCTTACCTTTAACAAGGCGGTAGCTGTACTATGCATTGCACGAAATCGAGACTGTATTGAAGGGATAACTTCGAACTGCAAGAAATATTCATTAAATTGTTCCTGCATTATCTATATAATTTTTGAAAGCCCTGGTAATACACTTGTCGACCGAATACTTGACAGTTCACTTGGAATGGGAATCACGTTGGCGCGCTTCCAGAGGTAGGGAAACTAATTAGAGGTTATTGACCAAAAAAGTTATGTGCACTAGCAAATATCATTTTAATATCAATCTCGTCCATCCGACAAAAGACAAACTCCCTCAGGTAACCATGAAATCTTGAAGTGGCATACTTGCGCAAGTTTATATTATTGCTTTTATCAATGTCAACATCCGCAATACTTTCAATAAGACAATTATTAAAATCGTTAGCAGTGCCTACTTTTTCAGGTCGACTATTAGGAGAACCTTTGATATTAAGTAATTTTAAAGTGCACCAAAATCCACCTGGATCGATTATAAATTGATGCTGGAGATATACTTTGATTTCTCACGCTCATAGTTAATAAGTTTTTAAGTTGCTTGTACGCATTCTATGCGACATTAGCTTTAATGTTTTAATAGCGTGAGTATGCTTTATCCCTTAATCGCAACATTTTATTATTATTTATTGTTGTCAGTGATCCATGGAGCCGGAGATCTTGACATACGTGCCGTCCTGATAGGTGCATGTATATCGAATTGAATATTTGTTGCCCAAATATTGTTATACTAGTGCCGAATTTTTTTTTTTTTTGGATTTGAGATTCATTAATTAATATATAGGATGTCATTTCACTAACGCTCTATATGTTGGTTTAATTTTATTAACAGTTTGATATGATTTTTTCTATTCAAATTTGATTGTTTGAAAAGTGGGGTCAACTTTTGATATGTTCATTAATGTATCTTATATACAGGAATGATGGCAGAGGCAAACTTTCTCAGAAATCTCCAAGAAATGAACTGCGATGCGATCACCCAGGCTCAAGTGAGGACGGTCAAAGCGCACATGAAACGGTCCAGTAAGTTGGACGAGATGGCTACTATAAGTAAGGCCGGCTACGGCTTGTTGAAGTTCGTACAAGCGGTTCTGGGCTACTGCGCAGTATACAGGGAGGTCAAACCGAAAAAGGACCGCGTCGAACAGCTTCAGGCGGAATACGACAGCGCTAAACGCAGCCTTGATAAACTCTACGCGGAAATAGCCAAGCTAGAGAGCGACCTAGACAAGCTACACAGCAAGTACATGGAGGCGATGCAGCGACGGCAAGAACTTCAAATCGAGACCGATTTGATGATGCGAAGGTTGGAAGCAGCGGATAAACTCATATCCGGTTTGAAATCGGAGAAGATCCGTTGGACCGAAGACCTTCGCGTGCTTGATTCAAATAAGGAGAAACTGGTTGGCGATTGTTTGCTCTGCGCGGCATTTCTGGCCTATTGCGGACCATTCACTTTCGAGTTTAGGAGACAAATGGTGTACGAAAACTGGCTGAATGACATCACCGCGCGGAACGTACAGATATCGTCGCCGTTTAAGCTAGAAACCAGCCTTACAAACGACGTAGAAGTCAGCCTGTGGACGTCGCAGAGGCTGCCACCCGACGAACTATCGATCCAGAATGGAATAATGACGGTACAGGGTTCCCGATTTCCGCTATGTATCGATCCCCAACAGCAGGCCTCGAACTGGATCCAAAAGCGCGAGGAAAAGAACAACTTGAAAACGTTGAGTTTCGGAGACGTCGACTTCTTGAAGCAGTTGGACATGGCTATTAATTACGGAGCGCCGGTACTGTTCCAAGACGTTGACGACTACATAGATCCAGTGGTAGAGAACGTTATCCAGAAAAAACTGAAAACAGTAGCCGGTCGGACTTTCGTAATATTGGGGGACAAGGAGGTCGACTGGGACCCGAATTTTAGACTCTACATGACTACGAAGTTTGCGAACCCGGTGTTCAACCCGTCGGTATACGCCATCGCTGTGGTTATAAACTATACTGTGACGCTTACCGGGTTGGAAGATCAGTTACTGAGCGTCGTAGTCAGAAACGAACGGCCCGACTTGGAGGAGCAACGGGAGGTCCTCATTAAGGAGACCAGCGAGAATAAAAATTTGCTGCAAAACTTGGAGGATTCGTTGCTTCGCGAGCTGTCGACCACCACGGGTAACATGCTGGACAACGTAGAACTGGTGCAAACGCTGGAAAACACGAAAATCAAAGCGTCGGAAGTTACCGAGAAGCTGGAACTGGGGGTTCAGACGTCGCAAGACATCGACAGGCTTAGACGTCGCAAGACATCGACAGGCTTAGAGACGTCTACCGGCCGGTGGCTATAAGAGGCGCCGTATTGTTTTTCGTCATGGCCGACATGGCAGCGGTCAACGCTATGTACCAGTACTCGTTGACGTCGTATTTGGAAGTATTCGCATTCTCGTTGAGGAAGGCCCTGCCGCATACCGTTTTGGATCGTCGTCTAATGAATATCGTGTCTACGCTGACCCAGAATGTCTACGACTGCGGCTGTACGGGTATATTCGAGAGGCACAAACTGCTGTTTTCGTTCCAGATGACCGTCAGGTTGGAACAGAACGCTGACAGGGTCACTCAGTCCGAATTGGACTTTTTCCTAAAGGTTAGTTTAAATTGATTCGTGTCGTTCCGATGAAGCAAGATCGCTAGTTACTTTCAAGAAACGGATAAAATCGACTTTCATGAAAGTTTCTACGTTCCTCACAAAACACCAGATCTCGATAACGGTAAGTCTTACGTATTCGCTGTCCGTACAGATCAATTTAGCCTTTTTTTCTGTTCTCTGTTTCGGAATATCGAGTTATCGAATAGAAATTCCGCAGGAAGAGTTCTATAAACAGATGAAAGCTGTTCAAAATGGGCAGGATTGCTGGAAAGTCCTAAAGTTTTTTGTTTCTCTAAAACCGTATCTCCTATCGAAAAAAAACTCACAAGAATTGGGACAATAACCCAAGAATTTAATCAAAATTGTACAGGGTGTTCCGGTTATAGACAAAAAGCTGAAAATTGCCATTTTTCGTAGTAAATTATTCCCCGTAACTGACCAACTTTGGCGAACGGTGCCGCTTGGTTTTAACGTTCTTTAAGCTACAAGAGCTAAATTTTTTGCATTTACCTGTTTCGCCTATCATACCATATTGTCATAGAATGCGCAGTATTCGGCCTAGAAAGCGATTGGGTGGAATTATATATATTATTATATATGTGCCAACTTGGGATTAACGGTTACGTAGACGGTATCCAAGGTACAAATTTTTGCATTATGCTCTTTCACGTATTTTATAAACTCCACGATAGATCGGAATAATAATTCCTGCAACAAATAACCTATATAACGGGTGATTCAATAAGAGTTTCCACATTACAATCTGAAATATTTTTGAAACGCCACTGTATTTGTTTTTTATCATATGAGATTTCTAACCTCAAAACATAAACAAAATTAGTCATGGAGCAATATACGACTGGACAAGGTGTAAAAATTGTACAAGTCTATTATGAAAATGGTCGATCAAGAAAAAATGCATTTCGGACTATACGTCCTTCTGAGAGGCCAATTTGAATGTGGTTCAAAAATTTGAGCAAACTGTATCTGTAACTAACCTCAAAGTGGTATTAAGTTAAGTTCGTATGACGTATTCCAATCTCCACCCATATAACTCAGGAGTTGAAACCTCGAGATCATCAACAGCGCCGCGCGTTTGCAGAATGGATACGAGAACAAGGGGTTCATTTTTCAACGAAAATCATCTTTAGCGATGAGGCACATTTGCACTTGGGGGGCTTTGTAAACAAACACATTGCTCGTATTTGGGGATTAGAAAATCCAAAAGAGATTGTTCAAAAAGCAATGCATCCTCAAAAAGTGACTGGTGCGCATTTTGGTGCGGAGGAATAATTAGCTCTATTTTTTTCGAGGATAATGCGAAGAACGCTGTTACGGTTAATGGTGTTCGCTATCGAAACATGATATCTGATTTTTTCTGGGAGCAGTTGGAAGATTGTGGATTTGTGGTTCCAACAGGATGGAGCCACTTGTCACACATCCAGAGAAACGATGCAATTGCTGCGGGGAAAGTTTCCTGGTCGGATTATGTCACGTAACGGCGATATCAATTGGCCGCCGCGATCATGTGATCTTACTCTCCTAGATTATTTTTGGGGTATCTAAAAAGCAGAATGTATAGAAATAAACGAGATTAGACGCGAGATAGCCGGCATAGAACCTGAATTGTGTCAAAAAGTGATAGAAAATTTCAATAAACGAATTACGTCATGCCACATGAGTCGCGGGGATCATTTGAATGACATCATGTTTCATATCTAATTGTAATACACTAATCTAAAATAGCAAATAAAAATGTTTGTATATTTTTATTTTTTTTTATTATTTTAATGCGGAAACCCTTATTGAATCAAGCTTTATACCTATACCAAATCAGAAATTAGTTACACATTATGGAGCTCCATTGTAAATTATTGTTATAGGAGTTGTGCACGATGAAAAATCAGGTTTTAATTTTTCAAAAAGAGCCAGACGTACAATACCATCAAGAAAACTACCTTTAGAATTTTCGTGAAATCAACTTGTTCCTTTTAGGGGAGCGTCTCTTTGGAAAAATCTTCCAGAGAGTGTCCGGCGCCGTGGATCGGAACCCAGAACTGGGAAAATATACTCAAACTCACCGTCCTTTTTCCCGATAAGTTTGACGGACTACCGGACCAGATCGAAAGCAACTCGAACATATGGAAGCAGTGGTACGATTCCGACGCCCCGGAGGCAGAAGACTTTCCCTTCGGTTATAGAGAAACGCTATCTCCGTTCCAAATTCTGGTGTTTCTCCGGTGCTTCAGAATCGACAGAATATACCGGGCGATCGGCGATTACATAACCGAAATCATGGGCGAAGAGTACATAATGCCACCGTCAATCGGCATGGACAACATCTATGAGCAAAGCGGCCCGACAACTCCGGTCATCTTCATCCTTAGCCCCGGATCGGACCCGACGGCTGAGCTGATGAAGTTGGCCGATCGTTCCGGTTTTGGCGGTGGAAAGTTTCGTCATCTCTCGTTGGGCCAAGGCCAGGAGGTGATCGCCGCGGCTCTGTTGGAGACCGCCATATCTCGGGGTCAGTGGTTGATGTTTCAGAACTGCCACCTGCTACTATCTTTCGTCAGACGCTTAGAGAAGCAGGTGGAACGAATTAGCAAACCGCATCCGGACTTTCGACTGTGGCTGACTACGGATCCGGTGGTAAATTTCCCCATAGGCATCCTTCAGGGTTCCCTCAAAGTGGTTACCGAGCCGCCCAGCGGTCTGAAATTGAACCTGCGGAACACATATTTCAAGATGCGACCGCAAACACTGGACGAAGTCGGGCATCCCGCCTTTAAACGACTGATCTATGTATTGGCGTTTTTCCATGCGGTAGTGCAGGAGAGGAGACGCTACGATAAGATAGGCTGGAACATTTGCTACGACTTCAACGAATCGGACTTTAACGTGACTTCAACGAATCGGACTTTAACGTAGGGGTCGGCATTTTAGCCACGTATCTGGCGAAAGCGTCTCCGATGAACGACCTTAGGCGGATACCGTGGAATAGTCTGAAGTATTTGATCGGCGAGGTGATGTACGGTGGTCGGGTCATCGACGACTACGACAGACGAGTGGTGAAAACGTATATGGACGAGTATATGGGCGAGTTTCTGTTCGACCCGTTCCAACCGTTTCACTTTTATCGCGACGAACGGGTGGACTACGTGCTGCCGCCGGACGGCGTCAAAGATGACTACGTCGCGTTTATAGACGAGTTGCCGCTGTCCAGCGGCCCGGAAGCCTTCGGCCTTCATCCAAACGCGGAAATCGGATTCTACACTCAGGCGACGAAGGAGATGTGGCACACACTGGTTGAACTGCAGCCACAAGTTGGTAAGAGCCAAACGGTTTCGTTTTTCTTTTGTGCGCCTTCGCCGGTTTAACATTGTTTTATCCACAAAATCTCGAGCTTTTTATATTAAGAACTAATTAATTTAATACTATGTAATTTAGTACTATTGCTGAAGAACCTAACCACTTTTAGAGCCAGACTAAATGAAGCCAACCGAAAAGTGTCTCCACGACTTCGGCTTCTCACTTAACTTAAATTGAACTACGACCAACGTCTAAAATGCTATATCAAAAATCTTAGGTGATTCATCTTTACTTTATCTTGGCACGCTAACTTTTCAAACAACTTCCTGAGTGAAATATCCCTGCCACTGAAATTTTACTGATAAACGTGGTCAGGGTAGCAAATGTGCGGGCTTTAAAAACAATATGTTTTTTGTCTTTTTTGCAAAATTAAATATTTTAATAAAACCTATTTTTTTGGATCAATTTTAATTTAAGTTGTAAAAAACGACCATAAAATCATTGCAAATAATTATAACTATCTAAAAAACATAAATTTGTCTAATGGCGGTCGTGTCATATCGTGTGTGTGAAGCATATAGCTACTAAAGGTGGTCTTGCCTAATGCCAATAATACAGCAACTTACGCAGCAACTATGAAAAAAAATTTTTGAGATGTGCATGCGAGTGATTTCAAATCTCGTTATTAACCAATGACTGTTTAGAGGGAAAATAACTCAAAGTGCATGTAAATGAGTACGAAAATATCAATGTTGCCTGCGGATGAACTTTATAGAAATCCAACAATAAAATATCCAACGGATTCTCACCGAATAGGAGACTTAAACAAGGATGCTGCTTGTTTAAGATATATCTCTAGACACTTAGAATATGGAAGAAAAATTGCGAAAATATGGGCAGCTCACTGAACAACGCAAACCTATATATCTTGAGTTTCCCAGACGAGCACAAGCACAAGCCTACGATGATATAAAATACATATAATGTATATATATATATATATATATATATATATATATATATATATATATATATATATATATATATATATATATATATATATATATATATATATATATATACATTATATACTTCCTTATTGGGAATAGTTCAGACTTTTCAAAATTTGATATTTATTTACTTGTTTTAACTGTTTAAACAATTGACTTATTTTAATTTATTTATCATAAAAATTAAGAAATCATTGAAAATGCTAAATATTGAGGTTGATTTTTTAAAAATAACTGTACAGAATAATTTATTTTTAAAAAGCGCACCTGATTCTTAAGCAAAATAAAAAATAATATATAGCTTAGATATAAATTAGGGTGTACTTACTTTCAGAGGAACAGTACTAAATTCTATGCAAAATATTATATATGGAACAGTTATTAATTTTTCAAGGTGCAACTGTAAAAATGCAAATTCTAATGTCGTGGCAGTAACTATAATTTGGAAAAAATCTAACTGACATCTCATGATATTTGTGAATAAGGTGAATTATAATATCCAACGGTTGTTTCAAATTAGAGTTTTTGAATTTAGCATTGCCGATGTACAGGGTAAGTCAACAATTACGCGTAATTTAATTGAATGGTTTTTATAATAACCTTAAAAAATGCCTTTATTTTCCGACTACTAGTTCAAAAAATGTTGAATCAAATTTTGTTACCTGATTTGTTTAATTGTGCAAAAGGTTTAATTAAATCGATACAAACAAATGTAAGATAATAAGTCACACAAATAAGCTGTTATAGTATATAGAAACAGCCTCATAATAAAATAATGCTGTGAAGAAATGCTGTGAAGAAATGCTGAGACACTGCTGGAAAGTAAGGCATTTTTGCTTATTTTTATTTATTAAAAGCAGCGAATTAGCTCTATGTTGGATGTATATAACGATAATCTTAATAATAATAATCTTTATTGGCTATACTCTGTCGCTTAATACGAAAGCGTTATGAATCATTATTGAACTGTAAAACTTAGAGGTCGTGGGCGTATTCCATAGGCGTAGTATTGTACATGTGATTATTGTCAGGGATCTTGAAAGTAGACGGACAGGGAGTTGACCTACCTGTGCCTTAATGTTTAAAATTACTTCCCGGCAGTTTTCATCAATCTGAATTTGTTGCTAAGAAACGAGGTAGTAAAACTGAGCTTTTTAAAAATGAGCAAATATTATTCTTAAAAGCTCTACGCGACCAAAACTCAACCATTATCTGTCCATCTCTACAATTAAAATCAGGTGTAGTAACTATTATATTTATTATTATAATAAACTACCTCTAACGCCGCTATCAAATTTCTTCCACTCACAAAACTCGTCTTTTTATTGTATGCAAATTAGTGTGACCTTAATTTAGGAACAATTTAAAGATTGAAATACTCAATTTATTATAAAAACTGTCGTTGCAATTTATCTGAACTTTATGAAGCTTTAAGTTGTTCACCTTATTTATTGTTCCCTGTAATTGCAAATGTACATTATATTTCTCTCTTGGAATAAGAAACGAAATGTAACAGATGCACATCTATCTGGAAAATAATTCCACACTAACATCTATCAAGTATTCCTATTCATCTATGTTCTCTCCAGTAAAATAATAATAGTAACAATAGTAAAAGAACAAACATGATACACTATAATCACTGTGACAAAACAGGTATATTTAATTAATATGATAAACTGTTAGCGACTAAGAAAACGTCAATATCGTTACAAGAAGTCATTAAATAATTTCATCAACTGATTTGACCAAAAAATTGTTATGTGGAGTTACTCGGTAATGCTCTTACAGTCCTCGATGGTACATGAAGATTGAGTTGGCTCTGCAACTTAGGGTAGGCCACCTAATTTATGTAAAAATTAAAATGAAAGGTATCTCTTATAATTTAACAGTGAGGAAACCTTCAATAATCCTAATAAATCACTGTGTGGCAGTCCCCTAACCGGTTAGAAACCGCTTACATAAAAGTGAAATCATTTTCCTATTCCTATTCATTTCCGATGCAGATGTTATGATTTCATGAATGCCACAAGGTCATCGCAGAATCCAAGCATCCGACCATGAATGTAAAATACATTTATGTAATTTATTTATTTCAAAGGGTACACCAACATTTTAAATGTAATTTCAACTTTTAATAATATACAAGATAAGAACACTATAGCTGGAAAACCACATTTTAAAATAGCTGATTATACAAGACAATACCTACTAGCACACATAACTATGAAATCTGCTTTAACTTTGTTTCATATCCCGAAAATGTGTTCATACTCAACTCGGTGTGAACCTCATCAAAAGGAGACCAGATTGTTGACTCATACTCCAATACGGATCGCACATATGAACTGTACATTTCAAGTTTTCTAAATCACCAAACATTCTCAGCACCAGTCCCAACATACAGTTAGCACGGTTGACGAGACCATTTAAATGCCGATCGAAGCGTGAAGATGCTTCCATTATCATGTCCTAATTCTTCACAACATCCACTCTATTCAACAGACTCCATGTTATTCTGTACAAGAATTCCTACGACGAGAAAAAGACAGACACACTTTACAGTATTCGATTTCAAGTTTTTAATCCTACACCACTCGAGTAAGAAGCTTATGTCACTTTGGAGTACTTCACAAAATGTATTGAGATCGTCTGCAATAAGTAGGTAATTAGGCTCCAACTCGCTTACTATATCGTTTGCAAGGGGAAGACATAATTTTCTGCCCAAAGAATTATTGGTGACACATTCTGGATTTTACAGCCGTTTCCGAGACAGGCATTAGCCGCGAAGACTTTGTCGAGTCGGTCGCTGACGATGTGCTAAAGAAAATTCCTGACCCGTACGAGATCTGGAAGGTGCGCCGACACTTTCAGCGAACGATGTCGCCCACCGTTGTAGTTCTCCTCCAGGAACTGGAACGATTTAACCGTCTAATAATCGCCATGAAAGATACCCTGATTCGATTAAAAAAAGCTCTAGCCGGCGAAATTGGTATGGACAGTGTTCTCGACAACGTGGCCTATTCGCTATTCAACGGCCAGTTGCCGCAGAGTTGGAGGCGGCTCGCGCCGGCAACCTGCAAGAGTTTAGGCGGCTGGATCGAGCATTTCGAAGCCAGGCAGCAACAGTACTTCTCTTGGGTGAGGTGGAAAGTAAGGATTGAGGGTTGGAGTCGTTAATACGACTCGGTTGCAGTCTAATACTGGAGAACCTGCGGTCCTTTGGATGTCCGGCCTTCACATTCCCGAAACGTATCTCGCGGCTTTGGTGCAGATCTCCTGCAGGTTGCATGATTGGCCATTGGACAAATCGACGCTATACACTTACGTTACGGAACACGTTGATCCGGCTGACGTGGTTCTGAGACCGACGGCGGTAAGTAGATTTGGTAATTTCACTTAAAGACAGCACGCGTAGGTGAAATTCGGGGAATATTTTCAGAAATATGTCAGCTTAAACATTTCTTTAAATTAGGGTTATTTTATTGCGAGTTACGTTAAAAATCTGTGTTTTAAAATAATTTTTTCTGATTTACTTTTTTTATGAAATTCTTGAAGGCTCCAACGGGGCCTCTCCGTAATGGTAAATTAATTCTAAAAAAGTTGTTTTTTTACTTTTCTTATAGCAAAAAAATTGTTATTTCCACGCATTTTCGCTTTCAAACTATATTAATACTTTTAATCAAGAAAGGTGGGATTAAAAAGTTCTGCGGTTTGATACATTTAAAAAAAAATTATTGAGCTTAAATAGGTAATTTAAGTTTATTTCAAATGTAGGAACTACTACTAAGATTTCTTTATCGTTTTTTAAAAAATAAACATTTTTAATGGTAAGGTAATGACAGGTGGTTGGCTGAAATTTTGATAATATTATTCTATGGTTATGTGTTTTGGTGGCTTAGGGCTTTATTTTTTATTTTTGTATCTGCTCGTGACGTACTACGGAGTATCACTACAGAGTGTTTTATTCGGATGTAACCAATCGAAGTACAATTGAAAGGTGAAACGTAATAAACACCCAAGTTTTTCACATCTAGCATCTAGTGCATTTAGTTCTTGAATTAATGGTAAAATTGCACCAAGTTCTTAGTTGTTGACATAAAAATACCCCCAATGAAAGAGTAATATTACTGCTAACCGGTATGAAACAGCAGCCATAGAATTAAAAGTAACGAACAAGTTAATATATGATATTCTTTTCTATTCCTAGTTCCTGTCTTCCTCCTTCTGCAGTGGGGCGCGACTAGTATAGCCTCTTTTGTTAAACTAAGCATACCGCTTTCTTGCGTTTCTTCAGATGTGTCGTCCTATAGCGGAATCTGTTGAGAATATCTCTAAATAATGGTTGCCCTAAGTAGGGCTCCTGGTCAGTCCGCTGTTAAATTTTGGGCAGAATGACTTTAATTTTTGTGTTTATACACTGGTCACAGTGGACAAGTTAAGATTTGGATTTTTTTTATCAAAATTAAGTCTTAATTCTCTACATAGATTTTTAAGAATTTTAATTATTTTAATTATGCAATAGTTCAGGTATGATATACAAAATAATATAAAGGTTAAAGAGCTATAGAAACCAATTTTCTTTATCTCCACATCACGTACCAATACGTAGAAAGTGTTAATATGATGTAACAAATATTGAATACACTTATTGCCCACTCTGACTAAAAGGTTTTAAAAATTAACAAGTCCTGACAGGAAAACATCAGTAACTCTATACTGAAAGTCTTACGCTTTCGTCCTAACAGTGTTGGCGTTGAACTTATTACGGAAACGGCATCGTCAACTATTAAATATTATTAAAAAATGCAATAAACAACAAGCTCCATTGAGGAATTCTATTCAAAATCGCCCTGAATATAAAGGTTAGTTCCATCCCCGAGCTTCAATACGCGAGTTCCATTATTTAAAAAATATTTAATCCATTTGAATTCATTACCATAAATACCACATAACTAAATAATTTTCTAAGTAGCATATTAGGCTTTCGAAGTCTGTAGCTGTAGCTGATTTGTTATGCGTTTCTAACGAAAGCCAAATTGCAATTTGAGAAAAAAACATATTGCTGTAAACTAATAGGGACGCGTAAAAGGATTTCTTAAAGATTTTGGAAAACAGGGACAGCAAAATTAAAATGTTTATAGGGTAATTGTCTCCTTCACGGTCTGTATCTGGAGGGAGCCGCCTGGGACCTGGACAAAAATCGCCTGAAGAGGTCAGCGCCGAAGGTTCTGATCGAGCAACTACCAGTGTTGGCCGTTGCTCCCACAGAAGCGTTTCGATTAAAGTTGCAGAACACCCTCAAGACCCCCGTGTATACAACTTCACAGAGGCGAAATGCTATGGGGGAGGGATTAGTGTTCGAAGCGGACTTAAGGACTGCGGAACATGCCAGCCACTGGGTGTTGCAAGGAGTGTGTTTGTTGCTCAACACCGATTAGTCGGTTTAGAGTGTTTTATGTAGTGCGTTTGTCGAAATAAAATATTTTTTTTTGTAACGACTTTTATTTTTGGTACAGTATTACAGACTTGTTTCGGTAGCCTCTCGACGAGGACAGTAAGTTTGATGTTCCGCACTACATCAGACCTACTATCCGGGCACGCGTTTCGCGTATTTAATCTCTCAGTTGGTCTTCTTGGCGTCCTTAGCCTCCCCTTCCTTGATCTGTCCCTTGCCGAATATTTTCGCTAGCGAATCCCAGATGCCGCCGAAGAAAAGGGCGCACATCAGATTCTCGAAGGGTATGAACGGGTCGTGAATGCCGAGTATTATTGACGACAGTTTGAAGTAGACGAAAAATATTACAATTCCGAAATAGACGAGGGCGTGGGGAGCGGAAATCAGCTCCGTCTTCTTATCTAGAATGAAAATAATGGAGGCCACCAAGGACGCCTTGGTGTAGCTGTAAAGATGGACCGTTAAACAACTAAAACGACGTATCATTGGCGACCTTACAAGCTGGGTTGCATAAACTCCATTGCCGTGGGTGTCCAAACTCCTCGAATCAGTCGCTCCATGAGGCGAGTGAACCCCGCTCCGTTACCTTTCAATGTGCCAATAATGATCATTACAAGGTAAGCGTTGGGGTAGAGCTTGGCTGCGTGCGTCACCCCGTCGTACACCTTTTTGCATCTGTAGATTTCCTTCATCGCCGAGAACGCTATTTTGACGGGCAAGAATTTGGCTAGTTTGTACCCCACGTCGGCAGGGGTATAGAAAACGATGTACCTATAACGATTGTTCTATAAAATTCATTCAAAATTTAATCACGAACTGCTTAGATCTTCAGAAACGGTGTTGTGAAAAAGGCTTTTATTTAAATTTTAGATATATGCAGAGTGTTTAAACAAGCATCTGGTTTATACTCAATGCTTGTCACATTGTTAGGGAATTTCTATTAGATGTCTGTTTAAGTCAATTCATAGCCCCAGCATCTATTCACGTCTTTGTCTCTGTTGTTAAATGAAATACAGAAGAATACAGGGTTTGTACGATATTTGAGGACAAATTGATATTAAAATTTATTTATGCATATTTATGGCAAAATTTATTATAATTCCATGAAATTTTAACATAACGTTAATTGACTCTTAGACTAAATAATTATTCAATAAAATCCCCATTAGCGCCAATAACGGACTCAATCCGAGAACGGAAACGACAGTATGCCCGAGTCAAATGCTCTTTCTTCATGTTGATCATTGTAGTTGTTATAGCATCCTTCAGCGACGAAATACTGTTATGGGAATGTTTATTGGTCTCACGCTCAACTGTGTCCCATACGTAATAATCAGGAGGATTAGGATCCGGGGACCTAGGTGGTGATGTGGTCATAAAAATTTTCGACCATCAAAACTTGTATCTTGTCTCTGATTCCGAGTTTGTGACCACATAAACTGTCCTCTGCGCATAATGTAGGACTTATAGCGGATATTAAGGTCCCTCGCAATGGCCCTCATGAACGTTGAAGCAATTTCGTGAACGATCTCTTGCACTTGTTGGACAAATTGTGTATTTCTAGTAGTGTCCGAACGTTCCTCGTGTCTTTTGCGTTTTGCAATGATGCTTCCAATTCACGACGAACCTTATGTAGGAGTGATCGGGCGCAGGTGAGAAAATTGGAGATTTCTAAATCGGTGTTTCGCGCATATAGCGACGATCACTCTTAATTTTTTTGCGTTATAGTCCTCCATTGATGATCTCAGAAAAAAAATTGTTCTCCATAAATTTACAGCCCCATACATTCATTATAAAACTCGTTTTCTTTAAACACACTGTCGATGCCTAAAAATTAACTTTAAATAAAAATAATTTTTTATGACATCGTTTCTGAAGATTTAAGCGAAATTTTTTTATAAATATATATCCAAATCGAGCCGGCAGTCCGCGAGAAAATTAACTTTGGAATTAGGCCAAATTTTATTGCTGCGTTAATTTTGATGCGATTTGCATAATATATTTTTTTAATATAAGTATAATATGTATTATAATATTATGATATAATTGTTATACATTTTTAGAAAGCGAATAAAAGGTTCATTCGAATTTATATACAGTGTTAAATTCAAACTATATCCCAGGGTTTGTATCTCAAAACTTAAGGCTTTATTAAGAAATCTGAGTACGCCACTGAATTCCGAATTCTATGTTCTAGACAATTTTCCTTGTAAACGCATAAAGAAGAATTTGTAAAATATATAAAAAAATTTTGGAGAGCTGGTGGAAATCAGTTTGAGTTTTTTTTCGAAAATTTTCTATTTTGTGCATTCTATTCGAATTTTTTATAATAAAATAATAATAATGTGCTAATTTGAATAATATAAAGATAGACAACAAGAATAGTTTTCACAATATCAATATGTATGTTTATTTAAAGAAATTTGTTTAGACAATTTTACCTGTTTGAAAAACATATAAAAAGCGCAATACAGTATATGTACAGGGTGTTTTACTTAAAAACATAACTTGAGCTCGTATTTTAAAAATATATATCTGAGATGCCCTATTAGATTTGCGTTTTCACATTGCGATACATGCTTTTTGAAACACAAAAGGTAACTGAAATGAACCAATTTTCTGTTTGTCCTGGTACCTCAAAATGGAAGCCACCAAAGACCTCATTACCTCTTTTTTTACCTTTACCTCGCAATAACAAAGAAAAAATGCAAATGTGCGCTTCAGTGTTCAGCACAATCATCACAAACAATCATTTTATTTGCTCATAACTTTAATTAAGGAAGGTACAGCAATAGCAATTATCATTATTTGGTTAAAATATTGAGAAATTCTGAGGATCTCCGTCAGTAAACTAATTAAAAAATTTAAAAGCGGCACCAACTTAAACCCCTTAATATCACTTGAATATCGCTTGCCACTAATTAACAATAAAAGAAAATAAATCATTTTTTTTTCTACACCCTGCATTTAGAAAACGAAACGTCGTTTCAAAAAAATTTATACCACATTTTCGTCGTAAAACTAGGTGGTAAATATATTTTTATAAAAAGGGTTCGAAAACAGCCTAAAATTTGATCTGTAAAAGTCTTACCAGACGGCAGTCGCGACTAAGACTTGGGGTGTGTTTTTCAGGGGTGCTAATATGGGTTCTGCCAGGAGTCCATTGGCTACCATTCCCCCCGCGAAGACAACCAGCATGTACGATAGCCAGCACGCCACAGGATGTTTGCGAGAAAATGTTTGAGCACCTAGTTCAAAAATTGCAATTAAAAGTGTCTATAGTTTATATGAAAACTGCGAAGTGTAATGGTATTTGCGAAATTCAAGATACAAAGCTACTCTCTCAATAATTGATTGTTAAATGAGGAAAATTACTAATTTTGATGCTTAGCAAGCAGGAGTAAACCGCAGAGGTAAGAGTAAATTCAAAATTCCTTTGGAATTGTTTTGGAATTCCTCCATACTGTCCGACCTGTTTAAAATATCCATTTTTGAAGGTTTCAAAGTTAGCGTGTTTCGGCTTTCGTGAACGAAGGCTACTGTTTCATGAACTCTAAGGTAGCACATGGAAATCCGTAAGGACCAAGGCGAAGTGTTTTAGGGCCCCTAATGATAAATTTGTCAAATTAGTTTACTACGTAATGTTTACGTAAAATTTTGCGAGTTTCAGAAGAAAACTGACTACGGATCCATAACCGAACTACAAAGGGTGTCTAAAAATATATTTAACATTTTCAAAATCATCCTGTAACTTAAAATCCAAGATAGCAATGAAGTTTTTGCTAGCGTCACCTTTTATTTCATGAAAAAGTAGTAGTAGGGTTACGAAAGCAGCTTCAACTATATCAAATTGAATATTGAAATCACATCATATAAATATTGCTCGTTCACAAAAATAAATTTTTAGTAAATAAAGTAATGCAGTTTTTGCTTACATTAATACTAGAATAATTTTTGTTATGGTTTGAATTATATATCAACCTGTTTAACGTACTAAATTTTTTTCTACGACCATTTGTTTTTGGATATATTTTTGCAAAACAGCAGGTTTGTCAATTCTGACGGTCATATCACACATCATTCAGTATGTGTATTCATCCTGTTTTGCATATTTGCAAATGAAACTCGTGACTAAAATTGCGTTTATCAAACTTGTTCCATAAAATACCATAAGACACCACACCTCCAGGTATGCATATTTAATTTAAAATAAATTGTTTAGTGCGGTATAAGGATCAAAGTGGCCCTCTAAGTGCCTAATCATAAGAAACAAATCCACCTTAAGGTCCAATTTAACTGGCATGCCATGATTTAATCCCTTTTCCTTAGCAGTATTTTTACCAATCTCCTTGGAATTAAGTACGTATTTCAAAAATTTAATAAAAAAAAAGAAAGTCCATTATCGTTGCACTCTCGGTTGCGCCAATAAAAAATAATAGGATTGTGATTAACTTTTTTATAGAATTCACGAAATACGTGAAAATACAATAATATTGTGCCTAAATTTTTATGAAACTACACTCGACAAAGGTTTCACTTTTATGGTAAACGTACTTTTTGAAGTTATTTTCATATTAACAACTATACAGAAGCGATAAAAATATCAACGTTGCGTAAATGCCAAGGAAAATTGTTTTGTTTGAATGTGGCATTTTCAAGTACTTGCTGACCAGCATATACGCTAAAAGCTATAAGATTTTGAAAAAGTTTTACTTTAAATAAAGTAGAATAAAAAATTAATTCGATTTTTCAAAGAAACTTCCACAGGCTACTGTAATACTTTTTACAATACTTCTGGATTCCTCCTGCGTCTGTTTGAGTTTCAATCAAGCTCTGAAGAAACCAACAGGATGATTGGCGAAAGGTCAGCAAGTTAGACTCAGCAAAAACAGAAGCAGGCGGAATCCAGAAGTATTGTAAAAAAAATAATTCATTTAAATTTTGTCAAAATATGACTTAACTTGAATTTCTCAAATAGTTAAGAAGTATTTATGAGATGTAAGCGAAATCTATAGTAAAGTGTAACGACAGACCAATTTTTATATCTCAATTATAAAAACCTTTCCATCTTATAAAGGGTGATCAAAAATTAATTTTAGTCTAATAACAACTTTGTGACTATAACCTTTACCGAGAATATACTTTTTAATTATCTATCGAATGGTTTAAAGGGTCCTGTAGCAAATTCTTGTTTTCGTAGAATACACGAAATTATGATTTTGAGTGTTATCTAAATAAATATTTTATTGTATTTAGTTACCTATCTGTATTTGTATTTATAAATGACAGATTATTTATTGTTTTGGTCTTCTAATACGTATTTTCTTATTATCTGGTGTGGTTGGAAGCGTCTTGTAAACATAATTAGATTATATCTTAATAAAACTCAAATTACTTTAAAAACCTTAAGATTTAGATATTAAAAGCCTTACTCCAACACACACTTATTTTGATCGTAGAATCCCGAACTGTTATAATATAAAGGGTGTTCCAATTGAAAAAAAAAGGTTGATTCTTTTCAACGCTTTGGAAACTGTAACTATCAAAACAATTTTAAAAAGCGACCGAAACTGAAATTCGCATATCCCAGCAGTAAAACTTTTTTGAAAACCTTCTATTTTGGCTATAATATGCCGCACCGTACAGCCTGAATAACATTTCATTCATATTCACATATGCAAATTACTCTAAAACTCGCGTATGAAGTAATCACAATTAGTATAAAATATTATATAAACTTATTTACTCAACTGCAATAATATAATGAAAATATTAATTATAATATGGACCCAACTAAAAAGGTACACGGTTGCGCCATCTATTGGTGCGTCTGTAGAAATTAAAACGAAACGGGCACGCGTCAAAGTTGGCGGGGCCCGCCGTGTCCCGTGACGTACCGGTGCCGAGGTCTTCCCTCACCGAGAGAGCGCACAGCGTGCAATGGGCGATGTCAAAGTACGGGAACATTTTCAGTTTGACGACCTGATTCGCAATGTCGAGAAATGCCTCGGGATCCATTTTGACGTCTCGGATTTAATATTTATTACGAAAACTTGCACCCCCTCGACTGGCGTGTTTAACTTAACGGATCAACGGCGGCGACGGGACATTCCGTCGTTAAAACGAGCGCGGCGCGGACTAGCGAAAAATTGTAGCCGGCCTGGATCTATTTTCGCCGCAGCCGCTGTCTACATCCGCGGCTTAACCTCCGTCGCCAACTATCTAGATTTAGATATGGTTACGGCGACTTGCGCGATTACCGCGTACTTTTAAAAATAATGCCGAGGAAAAGTTCGGTTTATTAATTAATTATAGACGAGAGATAGCACGGAACACAGCTGCGCGCAAAAGACAACAAACTTAAAACGAAACAATATTTCCAATGAGGTATTATTATTTCATTTTGAATCGAACAGAACCAAAACAAATCTAGATTAGCGGTATTTGCAACACAGATTATAGGTTAAGTCCGATAAAAACATAAACAAAAAACCAATCATAGCGCTAATTTAAAATCAATTCCATAAAATCGTTTATATGCAATTAATAATTCAACCGTAGCCAATATCAAGGGTCGGTTATAATGTAAATTGCTCCCAATAGTTAATAACGGCAATATGTTGTCCTGATATAAATTACATATTCAATGGTGTAAATAACTTTCTAGGTAAGTGTTTTTTTTAATATCATGGCGGATATAAATAAACGTCGTCAAAAAAATGGCTTTCCCAAACCCAAAGATGAAGTGGTAGGTTTTACAGCGTACAACGACGATTATTTTAAAATTTAGAGGTTAAAGAAAAAAGGTTATATTCAGGAGAAATCGATAGCCGCGTTCGGAGAAAGGCACAATCGCGATGTTGTCAAGTCCCGATAACTGGCGAAGTCCTGATAATTCTTATTGTACGATATCATTGTGTGGTCAATGTTTTTAACCAGGGATATTCTGTGGTTTTGAAAATTTTTATCTTTTTGAACTCATTCCTGCAGAACTTCGACGTACAATACCAAATGACTGGCCAAAATGTCAGGCGAATCTAAAGGCTTCATCGCTGCCCTTGACGTTGGAACCACTACGCTGCGTTGCCACATAATCGACAGCACGGGCGCCGCAGTGGGAATTGCAAATTCCGACGTAAGCGTTATTTCGATAAAATTAGGGACTTTGGACACCTGTTTATTTTGGTGTTGTTTTACTTTTTCCTAATTGTCTCTTATCAAAAAAGTTGTTTCTATGAGTCAGTGATTTTAAGGTAAAATTTTGTAGCAGAAAAATTTTAGATTTCTCGAAAATTCAAAACATTTGAAAGTGGATACAGCTTGGCGATAATCCTGCGGGAGGCCTAAATCCTTTCCTAAATGCTAATGTGTGGAGTATAATTTAGGAACATGTTCGGCCCCTAACATTATTTCTAAATTAACAGGAAGTCACGCAAAATAATATTAATTAGAAGCTTGTGATTGTGATTAACGTCAAGTACTCTTCAGCATCTTAAAACTTCATCAAACAAGTTTTGGTTAGTGTTTTGCATTGTGACAAACACATTTTTTTTTTAAACCAAAACTCTCCCACACGTAATCCATTTTTTTAACGTTACGCCACCAAGGCAGAACGTGCAAAAACCAAAAATGTTGTTAATAACCAATAAAATGACACAAGGGTTCATAAGAGGTGCGAAAAATCCCTAATATATTTAAATAGATTACATAGGCCAAAATATGTTTTGGTGCTTGCGATTTTTTAAACTGTTCCTGGGTAATTTTTGAGTGCAGAATTTAAAAAAGCCCTCAGAGTTTGTCTATCAGATATAGCTTTTAACTTGTTATAACTTGGTATAACTGATATATTATTATTGTCAACTAAGCAAAACTTAAACATTTTCTAGTTTTCTGCTTTCTAGAATGAGGACCATTAAATATATAGATTTTAATTTTTCCGTGCTAATCGCAGTAAATGTAGGCGACAAGTACCCAGAACAATTTATCAATCTCGATTTGAAGCCTTCACAAGCCTTCAGTCTCAATTTGTCGGAAGGAAAATGTTTTATTTCGAAACCTAAGTTTCGCTTGGGGAGTCGTTTATGAAGTTTTGTTTTCTTTGAATCATGACCATCCAGTGCTCAAAGGCACTTTAAATAAGGATACTTTGTATAGCAATTCTGCTGTCCAAGGAAGAAGTCTAATCAACCGTAATTGGAACTAATGTTCTTCGTATTTATTTTTTTCAAAACTAATGCAATTCTTTCACATTCCCAAATGGTAGTAATAGAATGAGCCATATTTGTTACTGTTTGTGAAAGAACTCATTTTGAAATACGTTTCGAAGTGTCAATAAAAAAGCGCCAATCGTCTGGATTCATTTTTTCTAAGAGTCCTGATATTTTGTTACCGAATAGAAGCTTAGTTTCCTGATCGTAAAAAGGCAGCAGATTCTTATCTCTTTTAGGATGAAATGTAATATTTTAATCTGGACGAAAATAATTCAGCAAACTCCTTTAAGAGGTTCAGGTCTCATAAGTATTTTTTTATTGTAACACTGCAAAGTTGTTAAATCTGTTTCAAATTCGCTGTTGTTGTTGAACTCTTTAAACTTTGCCAGACGTTGATGTTTCTGTATCATCATCTGGAGCTCACGACAACTGCTGATTGTCCTGACGAATGGAACAGGCATTTGTTCCGAGTGCACTACAAGACTTCCGTAGAATCTAGTTCAGGATATTATCCATTTGTATCTATTGTTTTTAAATATTACCTTTAATATTATCCAGACATCATAATGATTTCGCGGTTCTTTCCAAACCATTGATACAATCAACTTTAGACGCTTCCTCTTTCTACTGTTGCAAATATTTGACATACAAAATGTGGGACCTGGGATTTATCCCGATCCATAAAATGAAGGCCATAATAGGCAATATAGGCTTTTTTCGAAAAGTAAGAAACAGTTTTTCTTTTTCCACACACATATACACACACATAATTTACACAGGTACATCTGAGTGTGGATGCTATTGTTTAAGTTCAGTGTTAAGATACTATAAACCTAACCAAAATTTACACAAAATGATAACAACTTTATTTAAAATTAATTGTAGTGAAGGTAAAAAGGTATAAATGGATTGGGTCCTAAGTAATTACAGGTACAAAAATAATTAATAATGTAATTAAGAGCAGAGGATCAAATAGGACCAGTAAACTTAATAAAGGAAGAATGAATCAGGACCTATTTCAAGAAAATGTTTGGCTAGCTAAAATCTAATTTTAAGTAGAAAATTTTTTTTTGAGCAATAAGTATATTTAAAAAAACAAAATCTGGTGTCATTTTGGAATCAGTACATTAAACACATCTAAAATCAGTTGTCGGATTTCCGACACCATTTTTTTTTTCATTTTGTTACCCTGTGTTATGAACCTGCGCATTTGTTCTTCAGATAAAACTGCTGTATCCAGAGAAAAATCAGGTGGAGATAGACCCCGAGGAACTATGGAATAGCATTGTCGATGTAATAAAAAAGGCGACCTTAGGTAAAACCAAGTCATCGGTAACGCCCGGTTTTCACGTTGCAATAAGTTGCTGCGACTTGCTGCTAAGCTGGTGATGCTGAGATCCTCCTTAGATAAAAACAAGGCTGCGGTGACAACCTCTAAAAAAGTTCCCCGGATACTAAATATCACTAACAAAAAATAACCTAACCCCACTCCGCGCTGATTATCACGTTCAAATAAAGCTCATAAAATGCGAAGAATTTAAATTAACCTTACATTATTCTTCAAAAATAATTTTTCCAACTCCAACTCCAAATACATCCAAATAAAAGTGTTCACTTTGCAAAAAAAAAGTGCTACAAAAATTACCAAACAATTTCTCGCCTAACCTTAGAGAACGTTCTAATTTGATGGAACTTGCGTACATCGGCATGGTTTTTAAGGTGGCTAAAGGTCATAAGTTTTTGTAGACGCAGCGATAAGTTATATAGTGAAAATCGGGCTTTATAAAGCTCGGTATAGACTATGCGTGTGACTCGTGGAGCTTATATAGAGCCCCTGCCTGTGCTGATAATACACAAACTTTTTAAGCGACGGTGAAGAGTGATAAGAAGGATATTTTCGCCTCGTTGTTGTGCATTTATTTTTTTTCACTCAATTTAACGCCAAATAGTTTGGCAACCAGTTTAACATGCATTCTGTGTTGGGTAAAGCCCTACCGTTTTGGATCCGAAAGACCAGAAATGCACATTGAAGAAAAATTTTTTGGTGTCTAAGTAAAATAAATATGTTCTAATTCCGAATACTCGTCAAACGCATTGTCTAGAACCGACGTAACACTTACCGGTCAACTTTTACTGGCCGTCTTTTTTTAGGCGCGAACTTAACTTTTGGTAGAATCAAATCTTTGGGCATTTCTACCCAACGGGGGACGTTTCTGACATGGAGAAAAAGCAATTTCAAGCCTCTCCACAATTTTGTCACGTGGAAAGATTTACGAACTACGGAATTAGTAAAAGATGTGAATAGATCTTGGAGAATGGTTGTAAGTTACCAGATAACTTTTTTTTATTATTTATTTATGACACTACATTTTTAATAGCGTTACATAACCCCCTAAACAATACCGTCAGCACTGGTTTCGAGGACAATCTAAATCTATGCTAAATTTAAATTTCCGGCAAAGGCAAAAAGAAATAGACTACTGATAAATAATATTATTAGTGACACAACCGTAATATTGATATTAATCACACAGTAACCATAAATTGAAAAAATTACTCTACGAATATCCTTTATTTATACATACACAAAAACCTTTCAAATAACCTTAAATTAATAAAATGTTTATGATCGGTGTGATTTCAACATCTTAACTTCTGGTAAACACAGAAACACTAACCAAAACTGGATTACAGAGATCCATATTAGTTCTAAGATTGGTTTTATAAATCTTGCAGCTTGCTAATATTTTAATCGCGAATATCCCTCGTAAAGACAAAATTGGAGTTATTTTTTTGTATTTTCTTAATAACTTTGTATTTATATTTACATTGTTCAATTTGCAATATTCTATTTAACCGTGCGGCACTCTATATCGGTACTCCGTCAGTCTGTCACATGAAAAGAAAATTTTCAATATTTTGTTTGGGAAAATTTGCATACATTTAGACTTAGTCGCACCACCTCATACAGTCATCAGATACCTTAGGTGGTATAAGTAAAATGTATGTCTATGTCATTCTAGAGCGAAAAATTAGATAATCTTGACATCTGAACAATGCACGGACAGCAAATTTTCATTTACTTTTTGAGCCAAATATCTAATTAAGTTCTGTGTTAATGATTTTGATTCCCTTCTGTAAAATACCTAATTATACACCGATCTAACGTGCGGGACGCGTCACTACCACGTGAGTTTGGTGTCCCACGGATCCGAGTCACTTCGGACATTTCCGGGATAATATCGCACGGATGTGGGAGCAATCGCACGGCTTGAATTTTGACGTTAGTTGACTCACGAGTTTACTTGACCCGAGCGGAGCGCAGCGGAACGAGTATTTAAGAAACGAGTGATTTAAAAAGTTTACGAAACGTGTTGCATGCCATACTTTTTCTACGACCGTTAGTTTTTGGGTACATTTTTGCAAAACAACATTAATAGGTTCACTGATATGACCGTCAGAATTGACAAACGTCAAAATTCAAGGCGTGGGAAATATATCCGAAAATATCCGATTGCTCCCAAACCCATGCGGTAAATCCCGCCGATCTAGCGTGCGGGAAGCGTCACTTTACCACGTCAGTTTCATTTCCCATGAATCCGAGCCACTTAGGACATTTCCGGGATTTTACCACACGGATTTGGGAGCAATCGAATGTATTCGGAGATATTTCCCACGCTTTGAATTTTGACGTTTATTATTCTTGACGGTCATGTCAGTGAATGCATTCGTGTTTTGTTTTGCGAAAATATACCCAAAAACTAACGGTCGTAGAAAAAGTATAGTATGCAACATGTTCGGTAATAGTATATTATGCAACAAGTGCGGTAAATGGCACTTGACTTAGGAGTTTATTTGACACGAGCGGAACGCAGCGGAGCGAGTTTTTAATAAACTATACTTTTTCTACGACCGCTAGTTTTTGGGTACATTTTCGCAAAACAACATTAATACATTCACTGACATGACCGTCAGAATTGACAAACGTCAAAATTCAAAGCGTGGGAAATATCTCCGAAAACATCCGATTGCTCCTAAACCCGTGCTGTAAAATCCCGGAAATGTCCGAAGTGGCTCGGATTCATGGGCAACGAAACTGACGTGGTAAAGTAACGCTTCCCGCACGCTAGATCGATGGGTAATTAGGTATTTTACAGACGGAAGCAGAACATTTTTTTAACTCACTCCTTTATTAAAAACTCGCTCCGCTCGTACCAAATAAACTCTTGAGTCAAATGCCGTTTACCGCACTTGTTACATAATATACTATAAAAACTCTGAACATATTGCTAATTAACATGCGAAATTTCCAGCAATAATTTAAATTTTTGCGGAAATATTGCGAATTATAATGCAAAATTAGATTAAATATTAATATTTATGTTGTGCCTCCCCGACACAATCATTGACTGAGTGACATGTGACGTGACTATCAGACAAGCATCAAATCCAATCAAGTGTTTAAAATCTACCGAAAACATACGATACGTGACTAAAGTTTCCGAAACGTCAAGCTAATGGCCGTCGAAAAAGCATACTATGAAACACGTTTATAAAATTTTCATAACTAAAATTTACTATTTATTATTTATTTTTAGGACAAAAATATGTTGAATTATTCATGTTCGTTTTAAGCAGCAAAACTAGATTGAAGCCTATTTTTGCATAACCCTATCTACAATAAAATTGCTTTACATACTGTATTTATTGAAAATGATCCAATATAAATAACCTTTTTGAATCTCATCGTCGAAAAACAAATGGAAAAAAGTCTCGTCATAACTGGTATTCCAAAAAAAATATTTCAAAAAATCATGGAAAAACTATTTCAATATTATCCAAAAAGTATACATTAAAAAGTTCTATACAAATTATTCTGCAGGTCACAGTTTCATTATTTAGTTATTCCCCAGTCGTATCCAGTAATGTCTCCAGTTTAATGTTGGATTCTGGATTCCTCCAGCGTCGGTTTTTGCTGAGTCAAAATTGCTGACGTTTCGCCAATCATCCTGTTGGCTTCTTTAGAGACCTGACTCGCAGTTAAGATTTTTAGGTTGTTTATAGATTTCTCTCGGATTTTTCGTTGGTACAAGAACTGATTACATGCAAGAATTTTAGTTGTATCGAGTAAAATTTTATGCCCGGTGTCATGAGGGTGTTCGGCAACAGCTGATGAGTTTATTTGTCATAATCATTATTACTCATAAGGCCCTTTCGTGTTCTTTGAGCCTAGTTGATATTTTTCGTCCGGTCTCTCCAATGTATTCTTTGCCGCATATGCATGGAATGCTGTAAACTCTTGGCATCTCAAATGGACTTTTGTCTTTGACGGACCGCAGATATTGACAGATTTTTGGTCTGATTTTCTATTGATAAGAATATCTAAGAATAGCATGTTATTATGAGCTTCCAACTCAATGGTAAAACGTATGTTAGGGTGTATCGAGTTTAAATGTCTAAGAAAATCTACTGGGGTTTCTTGACCATGGGGCCAAAATTCAAAAGTATCATCGACGTAGCGTTTCCATAATTTTGGTTTTAGATGAAAGGTGTCGAGAGCTTTCTTCTCAAAGGCTTTCATAATACAAAGCCGTAAAACTATCTCAGCCCGAGTCGCTGAAAACAGAATTAAAACACCTTACCACAAAAATACACTTCACCACAACCTTCCAATAGCAATGAGACCGAAAGCAATCCTATACTTGCCACTGTCCTTCCTTACATTCAAAACATCACTAATCACATATCAAAAGTGCTAAAGAAGTATAACGTCAAAACCAGATTTACCACTTGTCCAAAAATCTCTCAACATCTGCGGTCCGTCAAAGACAAAATTCCATTTGAGGTTTACAGGAGTTTACAGCATTCCATGCATAAGCATGCATGCATACATTGGAGAGACCGGACGAAAAATATCAACTAGACTCAAAGAACACGAAAGAGCCTTACGACTAAGACAAATAAACTCATCAGCTGTTGCCGGTCGTAAAATTTTATTCGATAAAACTAAAATTCTTGCATGTAATCAGTTCTTCTACCAACGAAAAATCCGAGGGTCTATAGAAATCTATAAATAACCTAACAATCTTAACCGCGACTCAGTCACCAATTTGGGAATCAGTCATCCGAGACTGTGTTTATACCCCTCATTAACGCCCCCCTCAAACAATATATAAGCAGGTACAGAATAAAATACGAGCCAGTTTCAGTCAAGCTCTGAAGAAGCCAACAGGATGATTGGCGAAACGTCAGCAATTTCGACCCATCAAAAACCGACGCCGGAGGAATCCAGAAGATTTGTAAACAGTCTTACAGTAGCCTGTGGAAGTTTCTTTGAAAAAAAAAAGTGATTTTCTTTACTACGAAAACTTCCGATTCATTTACACTGCATTATTTTCTTTCCCCACTTCATTGCAAAAATTTCCGAGCAAAATAGTTGTACAATGTCGTTGATAATCCTAAATAAACTCGGTTTCACAAACTTTAACTTAACAGCCAAAACATAACTTAAGAGAGACATCTAAATAAGTATTTAGCGATCCATATCGACCCGTGCATGGGCATCAGCTTACTGCCACGGTATACTAGGTTAGTTTTTGGTAGTTTTCCAATGTCTGAATAACCGCTCTTTTAGGGCTCGTCTGGGTTTAAACTTTACTTATTTGCCCCTTGCCACTTCTTCACTGGCACCCTAACAGTTAGTTTTACACGCAATTAAGAGTATTAATGCTCTACTATTAGTAACTAAAATTTAATTTAAATAATTTAAATGTTTTTTTTAAATACCTAATCATAGATCGTTTAAGTGTAGTCGTCAGAGAGATTTAAATGTCCCCAAAAGTGAATTTTATTTTGTTTATAATTTTTTATTCTTGTAATTTGGTGTACCCCCATATACTCTTATGTGATAATTTTATTGCTATTGAGAGAACTATCACTGTTCATTCAATATGTTATAATTGTAGAATGAGAAATTACGGATGGAATGGATACATTAGAAAATTACATCTATCATAGAATCCATTCATCATTTCAGATTTTTGCACTTTGTTGTCAATTAATTGAGATCGATGCAGTTTATAAACAAAAGATGACCTGAGTCATTACACACATAAATGGTATTGCTTAGTTTTGTACCATAACCAACCAAGTACCGAATAAAAAGGTTTTGCAGCTTAACGAAAAAATAATCTGTTATTACCCGGGGGTCCAGATCCACTAATGAGAATATATGATGTCAGTAAAGTAATAATAATAATAATAATAATAATAATAATAATGATAAATAAATAAAATAAATATATCTCTAAAACACACAATTTTTACTGATCCGTTTCGAGTGTTTTTCGAATTTTCGAAAAATAAGAAGCCCTACGACTGGGGCACCATTTTAATTAATTAATATCTTTGGAGTATTTCAGGGCCTTCGCACAATATCCTACATCGGTTACATCTTCACTAGACTGGCAAAGCTCCACCTGGCAAGTCAATTGCGGTTTTCCAGCTTGCACGTAGATCCGATCGCTATAATCAAAAATCGATATGGTGAGTGATACGTCATTTTCAGGTGACGGTTCGCTTGCTATGGATCCTACGTCATAACGAAGAGGTACAGCAAGCGTTGAAAGATGACGATGTGTCGTTCGGAACTATGGAAACATGGCTGCTCGAAAAATTGACAGGCGGCAAATCTTACTTCACCGATATATCGAACGCGAGCGTCACCGGCCTGTTTGACCCAACAGCTCTGTGTTGGAGTTTTGTACCGCGCCTTATGGGTATACCAACGACGTTACTGCCGCCCGTGGCAGATAATGACTGTAAATTCGGAGATACTCTGCGTGAAATTTTCGGAGTGCCTATTCGGATTGGCTCGGTGGTAATTTAATATTCAATTTTAGAAAAATCTAGGAATAACTAGGAATTTAAAAAGTTCTTAAAGGATATATTATTAGGAACTGAAATCAGCAACGTCGCCACAATTTAACGATAATCGTATTTTACATATCGTATCAGAAAGTGCCAATGGTAAGAAACGTACAATGTACATTTTTAAAAAATAACGGTGACTTTTTTGTTATTGAAAATGTTGTGTTTCTATGAAAACATTTCGAGAGGATTTTTTTACTAATATTTTATGACTTAGTAACCGAAAAATCAATGTATGGTTTGGTCTATATTTTTAAATCATTGAAAAATTACCTCTCCAAAAATACAGCGCGCCTAATAGTTTGCACGAGTCTTCTTGTAAAAAATAGAAGTTTTGCAGTTTGAACGTGGGAACAGTAAACAAATGCGAAAAGTTACAGGTCAAATTGTGCTTTTGGCTGTTTTGAACCTTTCAAATAAATTTCAAAGAATGAACGGCAAACGCGTACTCGATTACATTTTTTATAGGAGTCACTTACAACATGCACTTTTCTAGAACTGTGTGACCACTATTACCTTCAATGTTTGTTTTGTCTCGGGATATTGTACAAATTGTTTGCTGTCTCTGCATTTTTCTCGTTTTTCATAAAACAAACTATAATATTTAATTTATTTAAAAGACTAGGTAAAATTTCGACGCAGTAGCAACCAAATTCCCACAATTTGATAACTGAATTTGTTTCCAGTATTACGGTCAGTTCGTCCAAAGCTTACTTGTTCAAAGTGCAAAAATGCTATATTTTGGAAAGGTAATTTCAAGTTCCTTGCAATGATTTAAAAATATTTATTATGTCCCGTATAAAAAATCGCATTTTCGGATTGCAACTAAGGAACTATTAGTTTTAGGAAGACAAAATGTTTCGCGGTTTTTGCCATTACATACATTATGAAAATCGAGCTTCAGACACCGACTTTAGTTTTCCTTTAGAAAGGGAAGTTTCCATTTCAAAGTGTCCAATTTGGGGAATGTGTCCCATTTTTTATGATTTTACAGCGCCGTCCCTTACTAACTTATGGAATATGTGAAAATTGGTTGGGAAGGGTTTTTACGCAGGACCCAAAGCCTTGTGAGTTTTCTTCTTCAACACGAATTTTGAAATATAAGTTAAACTTTTGTTTTGTTTCTGTAGATATTTTAATAATTTTATTAGGCTTTAAAAAAATATGTGACATATAAGACGAATTTCAAATACAAAGTTTATATCTTTAATTTTACTATTTTTATGAATAGGCCATGGTAAAATCGAAAAAAGGGTTATATACATTTGTTTCTTATTTATTTTCTTATAAACAGCCTGTGCCTTAGTAAAAAAAAACACAATTTTAGTTTATATATCAAAATTTGACAATTTGAGAAGAAAACTGTCTAGGCAACTGGGTTTTACATAAAAACTGACCAGTTCTTAACTTTACGATAAGTTAACGTCTCGTAGAATATTTACGGCGGTCATTTTTAAAATCACGTGTATTGTGTTTTGCAGAAAACTATTTTTTTATGCGTTTTTTCTAGTTATGTTGACATTTTTTTTTTATTTTAAATATATTTTTTATTACGATCAATTAAAAGAAAATTATTTTTAAATTTTGAAAATTTTTAGATTTCATTTTCCACTTTTTCCTCTGGTTGGATCGGTACAGCAAAATGCAAAAGAGTGAAAATAAAAATATACCTTGGCACACAAGAAAAGATGTCGATTAGTGGAGTTTCCTTTTTCTGCGGTGGAATCATATGTGAATCAATCGATTCTGCATCTATTACCAAATTCACTCTTGAAGAATTTAATTTACACAATTTAATTTAAAATAAAACAATCGTAAATATTCGTTAGTGAGGTTATCCAGTAAACTTTATTATACTGGGCCGAGAACTACTACTATCAAGTGATGTCAGCGCCGATCAAAACATTATAAAATATTTGAATTTGAATGACAATTTAAATATTTTCCAAAGGCAAATTTTTATTTAACAATTTTACGATTGAAATTATGAACAAACGACTAAATTCGATTTTTATAGATGGCGGATCAGTCGGCTTCGATGTATGGCTCCTGCAGCTTCAAAGAAAACGATTTGAAGCTGACCCTTGGCACGGGGGCATTTATGAACGTGAATACGGGTGAGAAGATTCACGCCAGTCTGAATGGAATGTATCCGCTTATCGGATGGAAAGTTAAAAATCGATTGACTTACGCTTTGGAAATTTCCTGTTCAGATGCTGGTTCGCTAGTTCAGTGGATGCTAAACGCTGGTAACGACAAAATATTGCAGCAATATAACAAGATTTTAAGATTTCAAAGTTTTGCTGGTTGCAATTTGGCTTATTGCAGGATTGCTAAGCAATTCATCCGAGTCCAGCTCTTTAGCCAGCAAGCTGTCAGATAATGGAGGAGTCTATTTTGTACCAGCATTTAGCGGATTAGGTGTAAGTTGAATATCACCAAAATTACAATATAAAGTCGTAGGCCTCCAAGCTAATTAGAAATTGTTTATTAAAAAGGAAAATAATAAGGTATTCTTAGTTTTAATCGTTCAGTCTTAAGTTACCAACATGATTACCAAAATTTTAGGACGTCATAATAACACAGGTACAAATTGTCATTAAATATAAATCCTAACAAACTAGTTTGGGTTTGTGTATTTAGTAAATCTGTCAAGGACGTCCATGCACTGGGCCATTATCTTTAAATTTCCTGAAACGAAAAGTTTGTCTCAAAGTATATCGTTTTGGTTAGTTGCCTTCTTATTGGGTAAACCCAAAAACCAATGATTTATTCATAAGTAAGGAATAAGAAGCCAGAATTGTAAAAAATGTGTATGAATGTTTAATAGGTAAAAAATGGGTCCTCTAGATAAGAAGCTTCAAAAGAAACCTGCCTACCTACAAAAAACAAAAACGCGAATATCCTCGGTAAGGTGTGAAAGAAAAAACGTATTGATTTTCGATCTCACTGTCTGGACGCTAGTGAACAAGATTTGATAAGAAGGACAATATATGTTATTACTTTCTGTCTTTAAAATATAACGCGTCAGACATCAAACTGTGTTTTCCAAATTTAATAGCGGTTAGTATTTTAGCCACCCATCAGCAACGAAACAGCAGCTACCGGTTTCATAGGAGTGACTCCGAAAACCACTAAAGACCACCTCGTCCGGGCCGTGCTCGAGAGTATAGCATTCAGAGTCGCGCTGGCGTACAATATGCTAAGAAAAGAGCGGGCATTCGCATTTCGCAGTATAAAGTAAGAGAAATGACATCTTATAACTTAATTTTTTTTTGACCGAGTGACATTTAATTAATTTGCTAGGAAAATTAATTGTGGTAAAATATTTTTTTCTACTCTTTAAGACGTTAACTTCGTTACCCACGGTCGGGTGCCATTTTGGACGTTTTCGCTATTTTAGTTACGGATTTGGGGGCGATTGGATGTTTTCAGTAGATTTAAGCCATCGTATTTTGACATTTGTCAATTCCGACGGCACGTCATGAATGCATTAGTGTAGTTTTGCAAAAATGTACCCAAAATCTAATAGTATGCAGCACTTCAGTCACTCGTTTATTAAGACTTCACTTCGCTTGCGCCAAATCAAACTCGGGCTACAGTGGCGGTTAACTTGAATTTTGTATATTATTTTGTCCCTTATGCCAATCTATCTTTTGTTTTTCTAATATCTTTTAATTGTTATTTACCTACTAAGATAGCATTTTATGGGTATGAGAGTGGTGGGTTATAAAACACATTGTGTCAAATCAAAATCGACACTAAAATACCTTGTGATTTTGATTATATTTTTCAGAATATCTGCTAAACTGCTTCATATCGGTATAGGGATTATAACACCATTTAATCAAGCCCTGTCTCATTATCATAGTCATTGTACCTTTCCTATATTTTTACATATAATTGGTAATTGGTTTCGTTTGCGATTCATCGCCGGCATGGACTCATACGAGCGTGCAACATTAAACAAAAACGAATAAGTTGATGGATATCACTCAAGAAATATTAAATAACAATTATTCTAATAAGAGCTTTTGAAGTGAAAATTGTATTCGTCAAACCTACTTAGGCACACTCTAGAAGAACTGCCACTGCAACTTCCCGACAAACCATGTTTACGTCTGTAGCGATGTATGTATACTTCTCCTTCTACAATATTTATTTGGCCATTTATGTCATAAGCAGCACTTTTGTTTTGCTATATTTAAGGTATAATGCAAAAATGACCTTTCTGAGTTACCCGCCTCTACAGTAGACATAAAAAAAAATCATGTTTTGCTTTTAATATAACTTTTCCTTCTACCCAATTTCCATATCTTAATAAAATCGTCAAAGGCAGTAGCGCCACCATGGGCGAATAAATTAGCGAATGATATCCGCATTTCTCTCTCTCTCTCTCTCTCTCTCTCTTTCTCTCTTTTTGTTTGTACCTAGTTAAATTAAAGTAGGTTATTTATTTTACAATTTATTTTAGGGTAGATGGTGGTGTGTCGAAAAACGATTTTATCTGTCAAATGGTGTCCGACCTTACCGATTTAAAAGTGGAAAGGTTATCGTCAGAAATGTCGGTTCTGGGAGCCGCTTACGTTGCCGGGTTGTCCTGTGGTTAGTTATATTCAATTTAGGTTGTAAGATTTGAGTAAGTTTTTTTTTTACATGTTTGAAGGAATGTGGAGTTCCGAGAGCGAATTGACTGGCATGATTAAAATTCAACGAACGTTCCTGCCGACGAACGATCCCAAGTACAAGAAATCTGTTGACGTGAGTTTGCATCAATGGCAACGGGCTGCTGAAAGGTTTTTGTCATGGTACGAGTATATTTGACTGATTTGTAATTTTGGTAATAAAAGAGGGCAACATTTTTTTTTTGTTTTACTTACACTCCTACCCTATCGCCATATTTCGTAGACCCTGTGCGATATTTTTGTTTTGGCGCATCCGCCGGAATAATACAAACACACTATTGGTCTTTAATTTTTAGCCTGCACCCATTTAAAGTCTACTAAAACCCCCGTTTTGAAGTTAAACAAATTGGAAAAAAATATTCTTAGGTTTAAGCAAGATTTAATTTTTTTTAAGAAACTTCCACAGGCTACTCCGTACTACTATTTACAAATCTTCACGAAACATCCTGTTTACTTCTTCAGAGCTTAACTGAAACTTCAATTTCAATAGGACTAAAATTCTTGCATGTAATCAATTCTTTTAAAAACGAAAAATCCAAGAATCTATAGAAATTAATAAGCAACCAAACAATATGGGAATCGGCCATTCGAAACGATGTTCATGCCCAACCATTTGCCCCGCTGCCTTCAAACAATATATAAAGAGGTGGCAATTTCAGTTATACTCTGAAGAAATCCACACGATAATTGGCGAAACGACGCTTGACGAATCAAGAATATTTGTAAACAGTAAGACACTTATGTCAAAGACTGCAAATTATTTGTTATATGACATCAATCTGACTTATGTGACAAGTGTGGAAGATAAATAATTTTATCAATTACCTACTTCTAATACACTAATACATACTGATAATAACAAGTACGCGATTTTTTCCTATCTGGAGAAACTCAACAATCTTTAATTCAAAAAGCTAGTCGAATAACACCAAAAGAAAGCCCTAGGCACCTTCGAAGTTTTGTACAGTGTTGCGTGACCCAAGCCAACTTTTTTGTGAAAAGATGACACAAGCGAAAATCTATCTATCTTTAATTTTCAGATACAGGGTAATTTTTGAAATTTTGTATTTTTAAACATTCTTTGTATCTCGGTTATGCCTGGACTTATCGAAAAGGTGAAAACTGCTCTGGATGGAGTTTCTTAAGTAGGATCCAATTTTCTTCTGAGGCTCACAGAATTTGATATATAAAATACACTTATATTTTTTTAATGGAACACCCTGTATATCTTATCATAATTTTTTTATGCTTTTCAAAAATATATAATACGTAAGAGCTACGACTTTATTTTTTATATTAAATGTGCATTATTTTCTCTTTTTACCATCCAATTTTTCATACTTATCACATAAGCGAAAAAGAAATCATGATATGTACTGGTTAGTTCAATCACCCCTGTGGAACCTTTAACAACACACTAACTTTATTTATAAAGGAGTGCCGTCATAAAAACATCAAAAATGCTGAACCCCGTGACCAATTAACGGCACTCGGCCCTATGTCGACAATTAAATGTCGTAAAGACTTGAGGGGTGAAAAAACTTATAACCAAAGCGGACAAGAGCAAATGCTGGAAATTATATTTAAGTTTTCAGAATAGCCGCCTGCCAAAATGAATAAAAACCCGAAATAATGTCGCATCTTTGGGAATATTTTCAGTATACAAGGTATTGCATAGCAGTTTTCTACATACCCTCTTGTTCAAGCTACGTCGTTTCTCCAGTTCAATAAATGGGTCGGTCCTGTTTTATATTAACATATAGTAATTCAAATTAATGGTTTCATTACAGCATAATCATTTATTGAAAATACTGTATAAATAATAGATTATTTTATTTTTAAAACAGTAACAATATTTGACAAAACTTTTCAAAAATAAAATTAATAATTTTACATTTGATTTTTCACATGACCACCATTTTAAATGAAATTTTGAAAAATATTGAATAATATATACCCAATAATTAAAGTCAAATAATTTAAATAATTGGTCGCATTTAATTGGTTAATTCTATCCCGAATTTATTGTTGTAATGCAAAAACTTCTGCGGGCGTATTATTGTATAGCATTTTTTTAAGTTTCCTTCAAAAAGAAGTCCATCCAATGATATCAAATCCATCAAATATCATCAAGTTACAAAACTCTAACCTTAAATTCAAATTCTCTCGTAATTTTTGGACTGGTGTAAACTGAAACGCTTTATAAGCATACATTTTTAGGCAATCTTGAAGAGTTGTTCTGTTTACGTCCAGATCTGAAGCTGCTAGACGGGTGGAGCTTTCTGGAGAATCTTTAAAGTGTTTATTTAAGAAAGTGCCATTTCTTCGGAATTGTTGATATATTTTGCCAAATATTTTTTCCTGGCAATCGCCTGTCAGCAAATTTGGCTCTATACTCCCGTAGAGCAAGAGTTGTACTTTTATTTATTATTATTATTTATTATTTATTGAAGAACGACAATTCTTTCAAAACCCACTAATGTTTTTTTGAAAACACCTCAATAAATAAATGAAATAATATATATATATATATATATATATATATATATATATATATATATATATATATGATGACACTATATTCCGGGATATCATCCGTTCGCTCGTTGAACTCCGACTGGAATCCTGCATCCGACTGGAATCCTGCAAATCTTGCATCCGACTGGAATCCTGCAGACGTTTCGCCAAAATCTCACTTGGCATCTTCAATGCTCGCGCTCCGAAAACACTTCGAACACTGGGAGGTTATCGGCGGTGCGTGCGGTATTTATACTCTGCGCCGGAGATGGTAACGGTGCTGCTTGTGCGCGGGGGGAGGTGGCTCCGCCCCCTGAATTGTCGCGTTGTTAATTTCGCCCGATCGTAGTTGCGATGTTCCCGTTGACTGCTGCGCATCGCTCTGCTGTTTGATTATCGTTCTCCACGTGTTGGATAAATGCAGAGCGTCGTCTCTCGTATTGAGGTGTCCGGAATTTTCTATTTCGATGGCCTCTCGTATAATCCTTGTCCTAAAATCAGGAATATTAACTATTTGTTTACAAGTGCCGAACAATTTTATGGCCTGTCTGATGTTGGTGCTGAAACAAAGCAGATGTTGTTTGTTTGTTTCTTATGGCTAAACGATGTTCCTCGAGCCTGGCTGAAATCCTTCTGTTGGTCTGTCCCACATACGTCAGGCTGCACGATCCGCACGCTACACTGTATACTCCTTGGTTTTCCAGAGTAATTTTTTGTTTTGGGTTTCTTAGTATTGCTCCGATGGTATGGTCAGGTTTGTATGCCGTTGATATGTCGTATTTCCGTAATATTCGGCCGATTTTGTCAGTAACCCCCTTGATGTATGGCAGGACAGCGATCGATCTTCGTTGGGTCTCGTCCTGCACTCTCTGCTGCGGCTGTTGTTGTTTACTGATTGCCTTGCTGATGGTGCGCCTTTGGTATCCGACAAAACGGATACCAACGGAGTGCAGGACGAGACCCAACGAAGATCGATCGCTGTCCTGCCATACATCAAGGGGGTTACTGACAAAATCGGCCGAATATTACGGAAATACGACATATCAACGGCATACAAACCTGACCATACCATCGGAGCAATACTAAGAAACCCAAAACAAAAAATTACTCTGGAAAACCAAGGAGTATACAGTGTAGCGTGCGGATCGTGCAGCCTGACGTATGTGGGACAGACCAACAGAAGGATTTCAGCCAGGCTCGAGGAACATCGTTTAGCCATAAGAAACAAACAAACAACATCTGCTTTGTTTCAGCACCAACATCAGACAGGCCATAAAATTGATTTCGGCACTTGTAAACAAATAGTTAATATTCCTGATTTTAGGACTAGGATTATACGAGAGGCCATCGAAATAGAAAAGTCCGGACACCTCAATACGAGAGACGACGCTCTGCATTTATCCAACACGTGGAGAACGATAATCAAACAGCAGAGCGATGCGCAGCAGTCAACGGGGACATCGCAACTACGATCGGGCGAAATTAACAACGCGACAATTCAGGGGGCGGAGCCACCTCCCCCCACGCACAAGCAGCACCGTTACCATCTCCGGCGCAGAGTATAAATACCGCACGCACCGCCGATAACCTCCCAGTGTTCGAAGTGTTTTCGGAGCGCGAGCATTGAAGATGCCAAGTGAGATTTTGGCGAAACGTCTGCAGGATTCCAGTCGGATGCAGGATTTGCAGGATTCCAGCCGGATGCAGGATTCCAGTTGGAGTTCAAATATATATATATATATATATATATATATATATATATATATATATATATATATATATATATATATATATATATATATATATATATATATATATATATATATATATATATATATATATATATATATATATATATATATATATATATATATATATATATATATATATATATATATATATATATATATATATATATATTCATTTATTTATTTTCTAATTAAGAGTTTTCATAATATGTAATTTATAACAAACTGCCTCGGAATTGATAAAAATCGTCAATAAATTCGAAATGGTACATCACAGAGCAATGTTCACATATATCGTTGAATTCGTATCTTAAAGGGCTATCCAGAAATGCACAAATATACAGGGTGATTTATTAAAAAAAATAGGGGAAGTAACATATCAAATAATAAAATATTATGTGTTCTATTTTAAAAAATGGGTGCAGAATTTCAATGTGTTTTATGTGAGAAGTTTGTGGTGATGGTAGCACGAGGACTGTTTCAATTATCTTTGGAGTGGGAGGTTCACGTGTGATCGCTGTTAAGTACCTATAGTTTGAGATTACTTACTACTCTGTTCATTTATTTACTTATAACAAAATATATGTTTATTTTATGTTTTTAAAAAGTTTTTTGCGTGTTTATGAATATATTTATTTCAACGTTGAAAAGATCCAGGACGCCTACTTTTGGGAGTTGGGTATGAAAAGAATACGCGTGTACCGACTTTTACAAAATAATATACACAAATTAAGCAACGAGTTCTAAACCCTCACATTAAGTAGTGTAAGACAGCCCTAAAAGAATATACAAATATATAATGGTGTTTCACAGCATGCCTTATTCATAAAAGTTGTATACTCTCTCATGCTAACAAATAGGTTGTAGAAGAATTCTTGAATGGAAAAGCCAAACAGTTATAAGACCATGCCATATGATATATCTTAAACTCACTAGACATTTGAATATTTGAACATTTAAATGAATGTGTACAGGGTGTTCGCAATTTATACGGCGTGTTGCGTTCACCTGGAGTAAAGACCATACCTAAGTCTAATCGTTTTCGACAAATATTAAATTTTATGTCAAAAATGACGTTTGCAGGCCCTAAAATAATGAACAATTTTTCATATAAGGGCGACTTAATTATTTAATTTTCGATGGATTGCCTATTGTTATATATTGAGTGTTTATTTAGGATGTTAATTAACACAGGGTAAGCAACAATGAAGTACAAAACTTAAATTATAAAAAACATAAAATTCAATTTATTCAAATGCAAACCGTCTCTTTTTATAATTTTATCCAAAAAATTCAAGTGACTTTGTATGAGATTCTCTATTCTTGAAATTTATAGTTTCCGAAATAGTTCCTATTGGCTGTTAAGTTTTGTAATTGGTTGGCTATGACGGCGGGACGCGCGAAAAGTAGACAATCGGACAGCACAGAAACTTCTGATTTGTTTCCATTGAAACCCAGATCGTATTCATAAAATTAAAGATTGGATCCATATAATTGTTATATTGAAAACAACAAATGTATGGCTTTAACAATAAAATAATATCAGATAAAATATCCTCAAGGAAGAATTCCCGATAAAACATTTTTTGGAAAAATCGGATGTGATTTGCGGACGCATGGTTTTTATAAAGTATAAGAGGAACAAGATTTGGAAGATCCTCCGACACAAGCAGAATTAGAAATTATTACCTACCCTGTTTAACCATTACATCAACAATACAAACTCAAAAATAAATAAATTTAATTCCGATACTTAAAATAAATGTTCCACATAACTAGGGTTGTGGAATTAACCGGTAAACTTTTTTTGTGGCAATTGGCCAGTCGATTCGGGTATTCCTTGAATTGAAGAGGGTTATAGGAAAATTGGACATAACAAAGGCATAATAATTTATTATAAAATACATATTATTATTAAGTAATACTCTACAATTGCAAAATTTTATTTAAAACATTTTGATCCAATTTGACTAGTCAATTTAAGATGCGGTCAAATGACCAGTCAATTGACCGTGCAATTGACGAACATTACACATGACCCACAATTTTGAGCGATATACGTCGTATATATATATATATATATATATATATATATATATATATATATATATATATATATATATATATATATATCGAAAATCGAATTTCGTTCCTAACTTTATTTTTTAGAGATCATGGGAAAGTGTCAAATTGTCAATTATTTCGAAAACCATATATTTCCGCAATAGGAAACAAAGTCACCTTAATTCTCAACGCCAAACCGGATAAAATTCCAAAAATTTAGAATTAAAAACATTCTTTCCACTTAGTATGTGACAATAGGGCTCTTTACGTAAGGTAGACTTCCAAAATTAAATAATTAAACTCCATTGTAGGAATTTTTTTTAATTATTTTCGGGTCTGCAACTTAATTTTTTACATAAAAGTAGAAATATGTCGAAAACGGCTAGTTATATATCTAGATTTTCCCGGGATATACAGGGTCCTATTTAAAATAAGAAATCTGATATTTAAACCAAATAATGCCCTGTATATATGAAAAATTAAGAAATCATATGAAACTACAGAAACTTTTATATTTAACTTTTTTTTTAGGGGATTATGGAACTTTGTTTCGGACACAATGTATATGTCACATTATTCGCCGGACAATGCTCAAATATTACGTACAAATCTGTTTGGAAGACGCATTTACCAGACGGTACGTCCTTCGTCATTTATTAACGAGTTGACGCGTGACGTAACAGGAACCGAATACGGTTCTGTATCCCACAACAATGCAAAGTCGTGCGGCCGGGTCAAAAGAACAAATAACTATAGAGGGAGATTCCGAAAGCGGCATCGCCGGCGATGTTGGGCGATTTCGAAACCTGTTCTCCGAAGGTACCTGACCGGCCGACCGCCCGGGGATTCCATCCTGCCAGACGAAGACGACAACAACGTTGTTATAACAACGACGGCGGATTTCCTATTCGCAATAACGCGCCGACGAATACGGAGAAACGCTTTTCCGACTCGGCGGGGCGGCCGATAATCTAATTTTAGACGTGATCGGGTCGCGCCACACGGACGATAATTTCTAATCTAATCGAAAACCAAATGACATAAGCGGTTCGAATACGTCAAAGCGATCGGTAAACAGGGAAACGCGGCAACGTCGCCATTGAAGAAAGCCGATCTCGCTCCAGTGACAACAACAATTTTTCGTTTTTTAATTGTTTGCCCCTAGTCGCTTGCTCTCGGTCGAAGCAGACTTTGCACGCGTAGAACGCGGACCCGGCCCGGTAAAACAACCCGACAAGAACGAAGGTGAATCCACGCAGAGACAGAGAAAAGAGATCGGGCAACAAACAGGTTCGGTGCGTTTCGTGGAATGAAGCTGAAACGGGGCGGGCGGGGGGGCGGTGATTCCTACCGCGAGAGAGACGGAGTGACTCAGTGTGTCGCGAGCGCGAAACAGAGACAATCGTACGCAGTAAACATGGCGCCGTGTGACCCATCATCATATTATCGTATTTAGTTTACGTACGGGTCGTATTGTGTGCGGTATTGTTTCGAGAATTATTGTAATCGAATTGTCGAGATAAGTGCGTGAATCGCGCGGCGATAATGCGGTCGTCGTTGTCCTCATCGAATGATTGAATTCGCGCAAAGTACCAGTCGGCACGTTGCTGCGACCCCAAGTGCCAAACAAATTGTTTCGGGTGATGTAAACACGGTGGTGTGTGTTCTCTAGACGTCGGGGCCAGAGAGGCAATAAGGTAAGCGTTGAAAACCGAGGCTGAGTGCGTGGGTTTTCGCACTGGCGCCAGCTAGACTATCGCTCTGGCGTCATACGCTGTCTGTCTCGGGAAACGTCGTCGTCGTCGCCGATCCCCCTTCGCGCGCGCGAATTCCTGCCAACGGTAAAAAAACAGCTCCGTTTCTTCCAAAGCCACACGACGAATCCCTGACGCGGTGTTTATTTTCAAACGAGCGGTTTTCATTCATTCTTTCTTTATTTATGTCGCTCGTACAGTTTAAGTTTTAAAAACGGTGACCTTTCGACGTGCTCGATAGCAATCTGGGAATTTTAAATGCCTTTGTTTTTAGAGCCAAAACGATGATCGTAGTGATTGGGCGTGAGTGAGCAAAAGAGTAGTCGCTTGTCACTCGCTGCCGCTGACCTTGACTAATCACGTCGGCCGCGCGGCGGCGTTGTCGGCTCGCGCGCCGACGTGTTGCGCCGTTGTTTATATTGTTTGTTGACGTTGACGCGCGGTCAACGTCGAAAGTGTACGTGGGGAATCTGGATTTTCAGTCGTTTCCTTATCGACACGGATAATTATCGATAAATGAAATTTTGGGATTGACTTGATGTTTCGCGAAGGAAATGCGCACAGGAGATGCGATAATTAAAAAACAGTTAGCGTTGACCGTAACAAAGCGGAGGCGGTTAAGAGTTAAACCACGTCGACACTATTTATGTGCCAACAATATGATACCGCCGAATAACCCTGGATAACATAAAAAAAACTTTTTGTTAACTCTCTTGTCGATTTTCTATTTCTATTTCTGTATAACTCATTCTTGAATGAAATGAAAGGAAACAGGTTGCCAAATTTCTCAACCATTTGCACAATATATAATTGTGTTGATAGTCAACTGACCAAAAAAAAAAACGTGAACCTTCTTGATAAAATTTAAAGTGGTCTCATAACTAGTGCCACCATACATTTTTTATCGAACCTGTTCGAAAATACGAAGTACTTTCTATCAACTCTAATAAAATGAATACAAAAAATGTTAGCGAACAAGGGAAAGATACAATAATTTCCTATATAACAGAAAAGCATCACATACTAATATCCAATCAGACAAGTAAGAGGTCTTGTTTGTCTAAATAAGTGAATATATTTTCTGAAAGACACGTCTTCTCCAATTTCAATCTTCTCCAAGTCTCCTCAAAATCGGCCTTAACAATTTCATATCAGCACAGGGATTTAGTTAGCGCCCTTCATTAATATTGCAATTTTTGGCCAAATACTTATTCTGTAGAAAAAATATTGTGAAAACTAGTTTGTATGTATACATGTATAATCCTGTCTTTTTTCCTCATTTCCATCATTTCCAATACCGTAGATTTCTCCTGGTGGAATAAAAAATCCCTTTTTTAATACTTTTGACAATTTGAAACCGTTAGAATTGTTCAATTCATATGACCATTTCGCTTTTTTATCTTTTTTTTTAAATGTAAGTAAAATCCTGACTGATTAAAAATACTGACAGAAGTATGGTGTATTTGTCCTCTGATTAATAATAATGCGTGAATAATCATAAGCGCCGAGATAAAAATGTCAAAAAGAACATAAGCAATTTGCAAATGGTACGACTTCGAGTACGGTTACGCACGGCTCATGGAGAACGGGAATATAATAAATTTCACTCTATAACTGTCTGGCGGGGGCTGTTTCGCTGAAACCATTGTGTGTTAGAAAATATGTTGTTCTTGAAATGAAAACGTCCAAGTTGTTGACCCTTACCATTCTCTATACTTAGTATACAGTTTGGGCCAAAGGTTCCTTGTTGATAATAATAAAAGAAAATGATTTTGCAGCTTTTTTACAGTGTTACCTAACCCCCTGAACTATGCACTTTGCACTAGTCTCGAGGATATTCTAAAACCATGCCAAATCTAAATATCTGACAAAGGTGGAAAGAAATATAGTGCTGGTAAATAATACATAATCAGCAACATAACATATGCGCACTACCAGTAACGTAACCCAACTTTTAAAACAATCCGAGTAACAATTTTTATTACAAGTGTGTGTTGTAAATCCAAAATAAATAATTTTTTTATAAAAAACACTTAAAAGAATTTTTATTATATTATATGTAAACCTTGATGTACACATTATTTGAATTAATTAAATAAACTGTGATTTCAACATCTTAGCAAATTTGCTATACAAAGATGCATTTTTTATATTTTCCGGTAATTAATTAAATTCGCGGCACATTTTCCTGATACGAGAATCAGATACCCTAGATGGGATAAGAAAAATGCATTGCAGGCGATCGTTTTACAGTCAGATAATTTCGACATCTGAACAATGCACTGCACAGTAGGTGCCTCTTCTTTTATCGAATTTTTTATTGGCCCTAAGGATCTAATCTTATAGACCGGCTCTAGTTATTAATTTTTATTTGTATTGCTCCAACACACTTATTTTTCTATATTTATCTTTAATTTGTTACTCAATAACCAATCCTCCCAAAACTCTTATTTACCTAGCTTTCTACCGCTCTCCGCGCTGCAAAGCAGTATAAAATTATCGGCAAATGCAAAATAAAGTGCCATCAAACCTGAGATCATCAAATTAAGAACATACAAGGAGTACAACAAAGGTACCAACACATCGTTTTCCATTTTTGAAAATAATGGTTTGATAATTCATACTCAGGGAGCATATCGCTGAAATATCTGTAACAGAACGGTCCATCGGAAGTGACTATACGCAACATCACTCGCCGTCTTCAGCAACAAGGCTCTGTTTTTGATTTAATTCGATCAAAGAAATCACGTCCGGGTCTACAGGAAAACCTCGAAACATCAATCCAATTGAAAGTGCCTGGAATCAAGCAATAAGATGTCGCATTTTAAATCACCTAAGAACTTTTGATGAATTTATTATTCACCAAGTTTTTGAAACCGCGACCAACCACTTATGACCCAAAAAAAAATCAATTTTAGAAACTCCAACTATAAAGTAGGAGCATTAAATGAAATTGGAATGGACAACGAACGATAAGTTGCCAATTCTATTTTATTAAATAGATGATTGACACATAACACTGGACAAAGCATAATGGGCTTTAATTTCTATAAGATTGCCTAGCGTTTTGCAAATTAAGAATGATGCCACAACTTACGGGCTATAAAACAAAATTTCCTGATCGAATGTATTATGCTGGTAATACAGGAAACCACTAAGAAACCACTAAGAAACAAAAAAAAAAGAGAAGATCCATTCAACACGTACGAGATTTAAAATCTGTTTTTTAACCAATGACTGCGGCATTCCACAACCAACATGACCGCCGACAGATCGTTAATAAGTTTGTATGCGGCAAATACTTTGGCGGATGTAAAACTATATTTTGACGTTTGTCAGTTCTGATGGTCACTTCACTCGGAATATTTTGGTTTGCAAACGCTAACGGTCATAGAAAAAGTATATAGAACACATTTATAAGCTTCTTTAGTCATTCACTTATTATTAAATAATACTCCATTATATATGTATTTAGATATTTACTTATTTATAGGCAAAATAGCAGCGATGACAACAGGTTTTCTCTACAAAAAATCTTGAACAAAATAATACCTATTCGATTCATGTAATGATAGGTTGTGTTTTTTTACTTAGTCGATTGGTTCAGCAGATTGAATAAACGAACTAACCACAACTATCGGGGATGGTATAATAAAAATATAAATTAATAATAATAGTATGAATTTAGCACGACAGTGAAGCCCATTTGGTGGCATTTTGTCAATACTAATTTTAAAATTCAACCCTATATAAAGCGGTTAACAGACCAATATTTTTGTTATTTTTACACCTCAGCGGTATTTATCGGCAATTCTTCATTATATCAGTACTTCGGGCGATAGGAGAGACATTTTTTTTGGCAAGGGTAGAGCCACCCCATAAGTGTGGCAACACTGCCAATAACAGTAGAAATATGAACACGTGGGGTAATCAAGTGTGGGCGCACCAGCGCAGAAGCGAACGTATTCGGAGAATTTCTCTTATGTCAGAGTCTATTTTTGCCGGCTGTAGTCTTCTACAAACTGCGTCAGGCTGTGATGCCGAAAAATGCAGGAGTTCTGAGAACGTTCGGTTGAAATTGACGCTCTCGAACATTTTCCAAGCCCCTCACCTAAACAAATATTTATTATAAGTTTCCATTCATATTTATTATGTTATAATATATTTATATGTATCTAATTATCTGATCGACCTTGCAGAAGTTGTTGTCAATGACAAAATAGCTTTTCCACTAAACTCCACATCTTTAAAACTGGAAAAGTCAGATTTGCTGCTGTCATTTCTACCGACAACTCAATAATGGACGATAGCTACGGGTACCAAGGTAGTTAAGAGATTTTCTGCTTTGCTCCCAAGCAAAGTTCTGGGTTAATGCAGAAAAAATCCCACAGCCGAATTGCGAACTCTACACTTTATGAACCGTCAGGCGGTCGAAGGTCTTATTTGTTGGTTAGCATTGCCAACATCTCTATGATAAACAAATGCGTCAACACCCTTCTGTAAAATACCCAATTATACACCGAGCGGAAACATGCAGTTTCGTTTGCCACGGATCCGAGCCATTTGAGAGTAATCCGATGTTTTCGGAGATACTATCGCGCGGCTTGGATTTTGACGTGTGTTGTTTTGCAAAAATGTACCCAAAAAATAACGGCCGTAGAAAAAGCATAGTATGCAACAAGTTTGGTAAACTTTTTAACTTTAAGTCACTCGTTTATTAAGCCAGTGACGCCTTTGTGACTATTCTTGAATTTTAAGGAATAGAAAGGTGATAGGCAAATAGGCAAAAGTGGGATTGATTCTCTAAAATGTTAAAACGCGGTATTCTTAAAAGTTTTGTATTAACGAAATAGGAAAATGTTTACACTGCAAGGATTATTCTATTCGATTAGTCACCAATGGGATGAAAAAGCAAGATTAGAATTTATAAATCCGTTTTTGTC